GGGTGTTGGTATGCCGTTTTGATCATGATATTTAAGTCTTAATTTTATTAAAGGAAATGACAAAAATATTCAGATTATTTTATTCTACTACATTTTCGATCTATATATCTCTTATTACAACAAGATTAATTTGCTTTGCTTGAACTGTTTTAACGCCCTGTTTAAAGGCACAATACTTTTCTCTGCAGCAGAGACAAGTGTTTTTCCTTGCGGTAATGAATTCGAATGATCCAAAAAAATAGTTGTCATATCAAATGTTGGCTCTACATGTCCATGTGTGCTAACCTTGCGCAGCATGCTGAAACTACACTAGTATGCACACAAAAATCGAGCCGTTGTCTACATCGGTCAGGAAATCCCGGCCATTGCGCGCATTGGCCGCTCAATGTACGAAAGCTCTTCGGACATTCGCCAGGAAAGACGGACAATGCGCGCTTTGACCGCTCTTTGGATTTTGGCTATAACGCCAAAGATAAAATATTCTGGGATAAGCATTAGCAAGAAACAGGTTACAGTTACAGTTTTAGTAGTCCTTGGCAAGAGGATGACATTATGGATTACTGGGTGTTGCCCGACCAAGTGACTCAATTTCAACTGTACCGTTTATTAAGTAGCCTACATTTTTTTAACTCTTTGATGCGCGTTTTTCATAATACTGTCGGTTATGAGAGCATTCAATGTATACAACTTTTTCGCCGCTCATGCCCTATGCACTGAAAACGTAAGGTAGTGGTTTCATTGTCAACACCTTTTTTTATAATAATACTATTGATATTTATAAATAAAAATTAAAGTACAAGTACTTCAATTCTACCCTTGAAACCTTAATTCGCCAACAATGCTGAGCAATAGATCCATTAGCAGACGCTATACTTTTGGGTAGTAAAATAATACGATCAGGCACAAAGCATACTTCACAACTCCAAACACAAATTAACCATCATATTAATATTTCTTCTCAATGGAGGACGTCGCCTATTAAGTGTAAGGATACCAGAACTTGTCAGGAGTTTGATTTTCTAAGCAAGCGTTTTTTTTTAAACATCCACGGTTTGAACTTGATGCGGCCTTAAAAAAAATAGCTTATCTCTGCGTCTTTTGGGTCATACGGTCGAAATGTTTTACATTTGTAAAGACACAACAGTAATACTAATAAACACTATTTATAAATATAATAAAGCCCAGTCATTGATTCGTATGATGATGTAACACATTTTTATCTAACAAATAGTAACATTATTTGCTTACAATAACAATGAGAAAGGATTACATGTTATCCTACCGCAAAACAGCTTGGTAGGGGGAAGGAAGAATAATGTATAGTAGTACTTCGAGATACGAGTTGCCTAACGATAGACTGCGATTTTTTTAGATACGAGCCCTCGAGCGAGTGATGTTTTAAAATACGAGCAAAATTTTGGATATAAGCAACCGGAATAGCGGGTGTCACATTTTGCGGTAAAGGAACACCCCGAAAAAAAAAGATGCAAATGGTCGTGCATCGGAGCTATTTAGAACTTATTAGTGACACTTGATTTTAATTCTTTTCCATAGCACTTTGAAAAGAAGGAAGAAACAAAACCTCCTTGGACTGTTTCTTATTTAAATTATATAGGAGGAGATGGGTAAAATATCAAACTTTTGTTGTTCTGTTCTTATGATGCTCACTATTGTTTACCTGTTGCTACAAGGAGAGCTAGAGCAGCATATTTTTTATGTAATGCATATACACAACTCCTTTGCCACTTTATATCATGGAAAAATCGTTGTACATCCCAGAGTTCTGTAAATGAAAGGGGATCGTATTTTTACTCCATGCGGTGTGGATCGAAGAAGTATTTCGTTTTCCACGAACATCATCAACATGAATTGTAATCTTGCTGGACTGATAATTGTGATAGTAGGTTCAAATCACCTTTTTTTTTACCTTTAACTTTAACTTAAAATTAAATGTCATCTTCGGTCATCATCATAATAACTATCATTATTCCCAGCAGAGTCTGCGGGTTTAGAACATTACCGCCACCACCATCCCTTCTCAGATCGATTGTCCTCCATGGGAATTACTTCCTATCGCGAATGTTTATTATGTCAGGGTTGGCACGCAGTCTGGAAAATATGGGGAAAAAAAGTCTTGAATTTAGATACGTGGATTTCAGACTTCAAAAAGTCGGGAAAATCGCTCGTTTTTTTTTTTGGGGGGGGGGGGGGGGGGGGGGGGGGGCTGGAGTTTTTTTTAAATGTCTGGAATCTAGTTTTAGAAACAATTTGTCCACGAAGTCCATTTTTCCGACTACGGCTATTCTTTTGTGAATTTATTTAAAAACTTTCACCGCGCTATCACGCGGGTCTACAAATTGTTATAACATCACGTTGGATCACCGAATAAACCCAATTGATCAGTTGTTACGTCATTGGGAGAGGAGGGGAAAGGGGAGGGAAGAGAATTTTATTTTGCTCGACTGACCGTGTGAATGTGTTACAATTATTTAAAATTTTCATTTATTTAATGAAAGAATTATCGCCCTCAGAAATGCTAGGCTCTCGATTTCACCCGCTATTTTTCATTAAGTTTGTCTGAGTTTGCTGGCAGACAGTCACAACAGAAAATTACGGGAGAGGTGTGTAAGTGGTAGTTTAGGTATAATTTATCTATCTGTATTTTAATCCACCTTCCGTTAAACTTTTTTTAAAAATCTTTTCATTTAATCATTTTATAACATACTTAAACTTAAAGCCAAGATCTATAGAACGACATGAGCTCATCTACACGGCGCGAACGGTCGATATTGAAGGCAGGTTTTAATAACCAAATGTGTAAAAACGAACGATGTAGAAATGAAATGCATGTTACGCTTTGTGAATGTTTTTATCAACAAAATATCAAAAACCAAAGTTTTAAAATCTACCCTTAACCAACCTAGCTTAAGCCCCTGACCATTAATAAGGTTATATTAGGGTTAGGCCCTGCTTCCATTATGTAGAATGTTTACAGTTTGTAGAGGTTTAACCTCATTCGGTATAAATCATGAATACGTCTCCCTTCATGTACACTCATCATCTTTTCCCGTGACACATGTTGCAGATATAACTAATCTGTTTCACTGACATTGCCACAAAGGGGGATAGTGTGGTCAGCACCATGCCCATTCACCTTTTTTTCCTACAGGTTCCAGCCCGTGATTAGCTGTCATTAGATCTGCCATCCGACCACGCCGTCCCATAACAAAGTATTTAGTACTTATTAAGATAAACCTCATAAACAGGGGATGAGAAAAACTTTTAACCCGTATGCCGTTTAACATCAACGCCTTCGCAACCAGTTAGAACTTTTCTTTCCTCCTCCCCCCCCCCCCCCCCTCTCCCGAAATATACTTCCAAAATTAAAAATTGTCTCCCGCTAGGCTGTTGACTATTTCAAAAGTTTGAATGTCATAAGCACAATGCTACCTTCTGATAGTAGATAGGTAGATTGATTGGTTGATTGATACAGTGAGGTAGATGGATGCATGTAAGGATAGATGATGGATAAAGAGAGATACATTACATATTACTATTATTACATGCATTTGTTTTGTTTGAAAACGCCCAATCACTCTGCATGACAAGTTCCTGGCTGCGCCACTGTAAACAACAGTATACCAACATTAAATTCCAACAGTTAAATCACAATATGTACCTGATGTATGTACACATTATTCAACAAAAGTATCTAGTGGACTGTGGTGGGAAAAAGTACTTAGCAATAAATTGAGTTAGGGCTGATGCCCTGCTCACACAACCCAAATAGAATAAAGTTGCGTGCCTTACTAGGTAGGTGAACATATTCCGTCTATGTCCGTTTTCACTTGCATCGCTGTTGAAGTTGAAGCAAGTGTTTCACTGTACTTTTACCCCATTACCGTATAATTCCACCGCCGTGGTCGTTATCCACATGTCGACAGTTTGGGCCATACTTTCTGCCAGTACAGGCTACACTCACAACACTGGGAAAACCACTGTCGCTACCTTGATTCTCCTTGGACTAATTTCACGTTAGTATGTTGTAAGCGTGAACGGCAAGTTAGGCGTCGTTAGGGAATTGATATAACAATTAGCTCTAGGTTTAATATCGTGATATTTTCTTGAGGGAAGATGCTTATTACACAGGTTTTTTTCCTCACGTGCGTTCAAGAGAATGTCAAGGCTATGTATGCAAACAATGTAGTCAATTCTTTGACGGCCTAGTTAAGGGTTTCACTCTCATCCGGTAACATAGACACTATGATTTAATACTTTAAACTTTAATATAACGTAGTTGTTTACTAAACTGAAATGACCGGGGGCACTAATCTGGAATTAGTGCACATTCGCCAATATTTCTGTTAAGACTTATGAAAACAAAACATGTTCAAGTCGGTACTAGCTAGTTAAAATATAAGTTGGACTATCGCCAACGTAAAAATAAATAACGGTCATCTCCCCTGTCATTGTTCTGTCTTTTCGCAGCTTCTCTGTGAATAAGTGGGTGCACTGTTTTTTTTTCAGGCATTCCGTCGTGGGAGGAGTGGGGCAACTCCTCTTCTCCTACACCCCCCCCCCCCCCCGAACGAAATATAATTTATATAGAAAATATATACTTTGAAAATTAATAGATAGACCTAGATCATTCATATTTATCACATGCGCCGAATATAAACAGGATTAGTTTCTATGACTATGGGTATATTGAGTTCGCTAAATCGCGTGATAAAAAGCAGTCTGTATACAATTACTATTACAAAATCTTAAACTTAGGTGACTGAACCTTCACCTCACTCATCCGGAGTCATCATCCCTAAATAACTAATTGCCTCCGTTGTGTGAGGCAGGGGAAGTAACCACTAACTGTGGTGGTGGGATGGACTTTACAGTATTGAAAACGATAATTGAAAAGATCAAAATAAAAGCTTATCTATTCAAGATAAACAGCTTAGTACATTTAAATAATGATTCTTTTTCTTTTTTCTTTCTTCAGAAAACAGAAGCAAAAATGTCTGTAATAATACGCCTTCAGGGCCTACCATGGTCTGCAAGTGCCATGAACATTCGCCATTTCTTCAGTGGACTCAGTATACCAGCGGGTGGTGTTCATATCATCGGTGGAGATGGTGGTGATGCCTTCATTGCATTTAGTTCTGATGACGATGCTAGAGTAGCCATGAAGAAGAACTTGTGTCCTCTCAATGGGACACCTGTCCAGCTGTTCTTGAGCAGTAAAGCAGAAATGCAGAGTGTTATCGATGCTGCCCGCTCAGGTGGGTCCTCAGCTACTGCCACACCAGTTTTAAATGCTGGCAGCTTGAATATTCCCCAAGCTCCAGCGTCTCAGCAGCCAAGGCAGTTCAACAACCTGGCTGGGGCATATCCAGTGGATAACCAAAACAACAGCAACCTCTCTGCTCAACAGCAGCTCAGTGGTTTTAATGCCGATGTTGGAAATCAGTTTGGCAAGAATGATTGGCCAGGGTTTTCTATGTATGGGGGTAGAGAAGATCAGGGAGCTCAAGGCCAGTTTAACCTGCAAAACCAGAAATCCGCACCGAATGAGAATTTTATGGGAATGCAAGGGAATATCAATGCACGGGGAGGCTTCCCATCTGCCCAGCAGCCTGCTAAAATATCTCCTGAGCCTCAGCCGCAGTTCCCAGACCCTAAAGCTATCCTAGCATCTATTGGGTTAGGTGGGGCACCACAACAGAATTCTGAAATGCCTTCCATGGGACAGTTGAATTCAATGAACCAGAAATCAAATATGTTTAACGATGCTATGGGATCAATGCAAGGAAATATGTCAACAAATCTAGGTGTCAATCAATCTGAATCTTCCTCTGCTGCTCCGGGCATGTTACCTGGTTTAGGAAGAGGCCAAGGTAATTTTCCTGGTCAGATGATGCATGGATTAAACCGAGGTTTTAATAACCAGGTACCAAACAGGTTTGGACCAGGCAATGTCCCAGCAGGCAGAGACCCAATAAATGATGGTACAATGGGCAGGCCTAATGTTTTAGGAGACAAGGGACCAGTTTTACCTGAGGGGATCAAATCTATGTTAGCCAGTGAAAAATTTAATCAGTTCCTGGAGGAACATAAATCAAAGTTGAATCTTGATGATAGGAATAAGGAAATGATGCAATGGGCTGGTGGTCCTCAGCAAGATCTACATGTTACATCTCACCAGAAACCTTTTGAACTTCCAGGGAAAGCTGACCCGTCAATGTTGGGTAGAGAGGGACAGCAATTTGAGCAGTTCCCACTTCGAGGTGGCTCAACTGAGAAAATGAACAGAATCCCTGGTGAATTAGATTCCTCTGGGCCTGCAGGTCAAGACATGCCCTACCCAGGAAGAGACGGAAGATTGTTAGGTAGATTTCCCGGTGATGAACCAGCTGGAAGATTCAACATGGACAGGTTCCCTGACAGGGCTGTTGACAGGTTTGATAGCCGCCGCCCCCCGCCAGATGACTCAATGCCAAGCACCAGGTACCCTCCTGACGACGAACCTGAACCGAATAGTCTGATTGACTCCAGGCCACCTCACATGAGGGGAAGACCCGATGAGAAGCCATTCCTTCCTGAAGAACAAAAGTTTCCAGCTAGAGATGCAGGTTTTCAGCCAGATGAAAGGTTTCAAGAAGGAGATAGGAAATACCCCCCAAGAGGTTTTCCTATGGACAACAGGTTCCCGCCAGATGACCACCGGCGCTTTGGTCCTGATGACAGGAGGTTCCCACTTGGCTTAGATGGTTTCAGATTTCCTGGTGATGAAGGCAGGTTTCCACCCGAGGAGAGAATGGGGATGCACCAAGATAGAATGAGGCCAGATGAATTTATGGGGAGAAGACCAGGAGATAACCCATTTGCACCTGAGGATGTTAGGTTCAGGGAGAGGGAGGAAGAATTGAGACAAAGAGAATTTGAGAGAAGCCGAAGGGGACCAGATGATAGATTCATGCATGAAGGTCGGCCAGGGTTTAGAGATTTTGAACCTAATGAGGGGAGGTTTTTCCACCCTGATCGCCGCTTTCCACCTGAAAGAGGCTTTAGGGGAGATGTGGAAGATTTCAGAGCTCCACCTGGTTTTATGGATGATAGAAATGAAGGTCCGAGCAGATGGGATCGCTTTGGTGGAAACAGAGAAGGGGATGACAAATTCCCAAGGCCTGGGGGAAGAGCTCCATTGCTTGAAAACCCAGACCTAACTGCTGTGAGACGTCCTGACAGAGTTGGAGGCTTAGATTCTACTGAGGTACCAATGGATATGGACCAAAGGGCAGGGAGAGACATGGAGCCCATGAAAGCTCATGGCATTGATGCTAGGCCTGGATTTGAAGGTAGAAGGCCAGGATTTGAAGGGAGAGGTGGGCATGGGTTTGATGGAAGGGGAGGATTTGAAGGCCGTGGAGGCCCAAGATTTGATGGAAGAGGGCCAGGCTTTGGAATGGAAGGGCCAAGAGGCCTTGATGAAGGAAGGAGACCTGGTATGGGATTTGATGAAGGATTTAGAGGACCAGGAATGGAGGGAATGAGAGGGAGAGGTATGGAAGGCATGAGAGGAAGAGGAATAGATGGAAATAGAGGAAGAGGCATAGAAGGAAGAGGTGGACATAATGAACCTTTACCTAAACCTGGTATGGGTATAATGGATGAAAACCGCTTTGATTATGCACATGGTCCTCTGGGTCGTGGTGGACCAATGGGTGATGATGAATTTGGAACTGGGGATTTTGACAATAGATTTCCAGGGCCACCTGGTAGGGGCGGCATGTTTGAAAGACGTGGGAGAGGGGACCCCTTTATGAGGGGCAGGCCAGGTCATTATGGAAGAGGACGTGGAATGGATATGGATAGGCGTCTGGATGAGGCTGGTCATGAGAGCAGATTTAATATGGATGTGGATGCAAGGAAAATTGGAGGTCGCCCAGATGGCCCACCTCTAAGACCTTTTCCTGCAGATCAGAATAAAGGACCGGATTTTAATATTAAGCCTGGAAGCGGGAAAGGCCTTCTGGGTGATGCTCCCCCACCTGAAGTAAACAAAGACAATGAAAGTAAAGCAGAACCAGATCGAAAAGATGCTTCTCACTCAGAAGCATCAAAACGAGATTATGATCACAGATCAAGAAGAAGCAACGATAGAGATAGAAAATCATCAGACAGGCGCGATCGAGATAGAGATGACCGCAGGTTTGATGACAGAGACAGGTCAAGGTATCGCTATGAGAGGGATCGGAGAAGGTCAAGGTCTAGAGACAGGGGCAGCCGAGATAAAGATGGCCGCCGTAGTCGTGATCGACCTTCTTTTAGAGATCATGACTCTAAAACAAGTTCACCCAGAAGACAGGAGGCAAAGACCAGATATGTTCATATTAGAAACTTGCCACTGACTGCAAATTATAAAGATGTTAGAAGATTTTTGCATCCAATAGATATTCCATTTGATGGCCTTAAAGTAATAAATGATGATCAAGGACAGCGAATAGGAGAAGCTTATGTTCAGTTTCGACGATTAGATGATGCCTCTAGAGCTCTGAGAAGAAATGGGGAAAAGGCCAATGGGCAAGTTGTGAGTGTAATCAGCTGTACAGAGGCTGAATATGATAAAGCTGTGGACTCTTTTGTACCAGGCAGAAGAGACACAGCAGCTTCTATTATTAGTCAAGATAAAGATAAAATGAACTTAGCAGCAAAGAAACCAGCAATTGATGATAAAATCAGATACATAATAGAATTTAAAAACCTGCCTCTTAGTGTCACAAAGCAGGATATTTCTCAGTTTTTTAGGGGACTTGTTATAGAGAATAATGGTGAAGCCAGCTATATTGAATTTGATGCGTCTGGACAAGCCACTGGTAATGGCTTTGTTGAATTCAAAAATGACTTTGATTATAAAAAGGCCTTAACGCTTGATGGAAGTGTATTGGGAACTTCCACGGTTAGGGTTTCTCCGGGTAAAAAAGAAGAAGCAGATGAATTAAAAATGAAACAACAAGAAATGTTCCAGAGGGCAGCTCTTCGTAACCTGAGTGGTTCTAGAATAGTCCAACAAAGCCCATCAGGAGCAACTGGGAGGCCTGCTCTGATGGGACCAAGACCAAACACAGCACAGCAGAATAACCCACCCCCTCAACCCCAGACACCAACTAGCAGCAGCAGAGCCTCCACACCACAGCAGGATCAACAGAACATCGACACTGTTTGTGTGCACATACAGGGACTGCCACTCCTTGCTACACCACAGGACATCCGCGAATTCTTCGCAGACTGTCAGATAGCCATGAGAGGTATCAACATAGCTCATGATGGCAGAGGAAAACCCCTGGGTGAGGGGTTTGTTGAGTTCAAATTTAAATCAGATTTCGAGAAGGCAATTAAAAAAGATAAAACATCTTTAGGGCGGCACATTGTTGCCGTGAAACCTATTGGCAAAAAAGAAATGCTTGATAGACTTGACAATGCCAGGCAGAAAGGGTTGCCCTTACAGCAGTCTCCGCAGCAAATTCAAACCCAAAGCCCTGAGGATGTGCAGAAAGGTCAAGAGCAAACAAATCAACCACCAGAAGCTCTGAACCCACAGGCAGGTATTCAAACCCCACAGAACACGCCAGGTAAACCTGCAACACCCAACGCTGGCTCCCTACCCCCAGGCAACCCCGCAGCACCTGGTAACAAACCAGAAACTCCTGCGACACTTGGGAGTAAATCTATTCCACCGGGTGTTCTCAATAAAAACTGGTTCTATGTGCGCTGTCAGAACTTTCCAGCAGATATCTCTATTGCAGAAATTTTACACTTTTTCCAAGGTTTCCGCCCCATTGGTGACTCAATAAGACTTCATTACTCTAGTGAAGGAAAACCAACTGGAAATGCTGTTGTTGGCTTTGGATCAGCAGAAGAGGCACAGAGAGCTTTACAGTGTTTAAATCTTAACAACTGCAGACAAAATATCATCACACTTTATCCAGCTTAAGGTATGAAGTTTAAGCAGATGACTTTCTAAAATTATTGTTCTATTTGTTACATTAATTAAACAAATTTTTCTGATATAAAATATAAATGTTTTTTTAATCAGTTACATGTTCTTCTGTAAAGTTTCATTCACTCTGTTAACCAGTTATATTTTATATGTAACAAGTTGTTGAATACATAAAATCTATATTTTGTTCATATTAGATATTATTAGGGAAAGGATAGTTGTGTAGTCAAGAGATAGTTAACAATTTGTTGGTTCTGGGCATAGACTAATTAGTCTACATCAGATTTTGAAAATTCAAATTACATAATAGGTGAAACTTTGTATAGTTCAATCATTTGTGTTCAGAAGGGAAGCTTTGAATAGTTTTTGGAAATGGAAAATATAAGTATATATATATATATTATATATATATATATATATATATATATATATATATATATATATATATATATATATATATATATATATATACTATTATTAAATTTCTGCTATCTTCTTTTAACTTCAGATTAGAACCAAGTTAACAAGCTAATCAATACAAGGATGCAGATTTGGAATTCTTTCATGTACTATACGTCCGGCCTGGCTGACTATACTGCATCATCATATTGTGTATTGGTCTATGGAGATAACATACATTTCTGGTCTGCCTATTGCTTGTATGTAATTAATACATAGTTAAAATAGAGATGTACAAATGCAGTTTTTAAACGTTTAGTATTAAATGCCAAGCAAGAAAGTGTATGGCATTGCTTTTTAATTACACTGTGACTACTCTTGTTGTGTTTTTTTACATTGAAATGTTTTGAATAGTAACATTGTATTCAAAGTAATTGTGCAGAAGAATGATACAATTTTTATCACTCTCCCGTCTATTTGTTGTAGATACTTTCATTTGTTTACTAACATGCAGAAAGTTGTTGCTTCAGTGATGTTTGAGATAAGTAAATAAATTATGTTGTTTATTTAGACATCTCAATATGTTGTTAAATCTGATACACCTAATCATGCTATAGGATGCCAACAGCATCATAAATCCTAATACCAAACAAATTATTACTGTCGGTGTCATCCTAAACCGTACCTAATCTAACTAAAAAAATGTATGAGTTACTGCTGTAATGATAGACCTATAAGCATTAAGCATGGGTAATAATTTTTTGCAGTTCAATGCCTGCTACAGGAAAAGCCTAGTTTTCAGGTTTAGGGGATTAGTTTGAGTGAGGTAAAGTTTTAGTGGTGCCACTCCAAAGTATTACTACTATTAATTATATTGCTTATTCATTTTCATTTTGAGAAAAACAAATGTCTACTACACTACTGGTTACCCCTATTGTAAAATGCATTTATTTCCAAAGTCTGCTGTTCTTTTAATTTTATTCTCTTGTTTTGAATTCAATGTATGCATAAAATTTTAATCTTAATGTTCCAGTATAGTATTGTATGTTGCAAGTGCATTGTCAATAGGATGCTTAAAATTTATTTTACTTTTTAAACATTAAAAACCAGCTTACCATTTGAATTTTTCAAATGTCTTTATACCATTGTATTGTTGTTAAACTTGCCATACTAATGTAGTATGAAAGTATGAATAATGTACAGTGTCTGTTTTGGTTAAGTCTGCAGCTTTTCTTCCTACTTAGTTTACAGCACCTAAGCAAGGTATGGACTTTTACTTATTGAAAGGGGTAACACACCAAAATATAAAGAACAGCTTCAAAAGAGCTAGTAGTATTAGCAATCAATATATGATGTTATATAACACAGTATAAATTAAATTAAAACATTTTGAAAATTGAAGTGAGATTCTTACAACCAGTAGAAAATATACTTGTGCACAAACATAATAATAAATTAAACCAACTCATGAAAAAAAATTAAATTTCATGATTTTTTAAAAGGAAAAAAAAGTAAATATAAAATTCTTTTAAAATGACATTAAATAACACTAGATCTAGTAGTAGTAGAAAACAAGTTTCTTTTATATTCAGAGGAGGCCATAATTTTAATGAATTATTTAACCTATTGTGTATCATCAGTTTGAAAATGATATATCAATTAATATTATTGGTTATTTATATGTGCACCAAGACTGTCTGGCAAACTCAGAACAGGCTTTAAAGTCAGTCACATTATCCTTTATAAGTTAAGCGATATAATCAGTAGTTCATTTTAACTTGGTATTGTAACACTTTTTATCAAATTAGTATTTATACATGCATGTGCAGAATCATGCAAATATAACAAAAATATAAACATTTTTTACCAATGACTTTTCCATCACAAAAAAATAAATTCTGTTGTAAAGGTAGAACAGAGGCAAGAAACTGGAAGTTTGTGTTCATTACAATTAGTTTTTATTAGAAGCTTATTATACTGGTACATAAATCATCAACCAAATTCCTTTTTGAAAACTAAAATGCTCTTTCGCTTATATTTTTAAAATAATTTATTTGTCGTCAAGTTTCATTTTCAAAAGTCTATATACAATTGCTGTTGACACTTTTTTTTTCAGTTTTTTTTTTACTTTTTCTGATAGAATTTCTAGTTGATTGGTCTTTCCTTTTTTATAACCTTTTATCTGAAACAGAAGTAATTACCATAACTTCAACATTCTACTAATTTAAATTTTAGAGTTCATAAAATATTCAAAATGTATAAAAATTCTAACAAAACCCTCACCATTAAAAATAATATTACTTGTGAAAAAAAATACTGTTTTTTGTTTTAAAATTCAATAATTAAACGGTATAGTGAAGACCTAAAAGTAAACATAATTCTTTAATTTGAAAATATTTAAACATTCCAAAACTCAAGCTACATTACAATTTTCCTAAAAGCTAAAACGGTAAGTAATACACAGAGTAGGATAGTTTAAAATATAAAAATGGTTTAGTTTTAATTAAAAGAAGACAGATATTGGACAAAATAACTTACAGCAGACGGATTTTTTCCACAAACTTCATCAATTACTGCATTTATGACAGTTTCATCGGTAATCATCCACAGATCTTTCTTATTTATAATATCTGAACAAGATGCATCTGGATTTTTAACTATCTCATCAAGAATCTAAAAATAAATTAATCATTGTTTTTAAAAACCATGAGAATTTGGGGCAACATTTATCATTTTTTAACACTATAATTACATAAACTTGTATTACCTCAGTGACAGAAGCCTCACTTATTTTCCTATTCTGACATAACTCTATAACTTCTGAAAGGATGTTATCTGTAATGGGGCTGTGCAATAATTCAATTATTAAAATTAATATTATTTCAAATAATATTTAGATTAAATATTATTTTAAATAATATCAAAATGTTAAGAAATAAAAAAAACATGCTAGTTGTGTTTTAGACAGAATAAACAATAGTACAAAAGTTCCAAAACTTGTAACATATCTACAGTATAAGACCAACTGAAAGTACTTGCAGTTGTGGTGTTTCCTTGTATAGACTTAGTATCAAGTTTGTTAAATTTGTTTTTGAAAGTAAGTTTGACAACATTAAAAATATATTTTCAAAAGATGATAGCAGGTGTTATCACAACCATATTGTTGAATTTCTTACCTGCTTGTAGCTTCAACCCCAAGTTTGTTGAGAAAAACTGAATATACATTCCTGAGTACAGATGAGGTCACTTTAGGATCACAGCCATGTTTGTTAACCAGTCTTTCAAACAGGTCAAACAAGTTAGCTCTCTGGGAAAAAATAATTTGTATAAGGTGAATCAAATCAATGAACAGGACACTATAAATAGTTACTAATAGTTTCAGAAAGTAAAACAATTACAGTCTAATTATCCATCTTACAACTATGATAACTGCATTCCTCAATGTGATTTGATATTGCTCTTCCAAACATCGGCGTTTATCATCTGGTAAATCTTTCACCCTTGACCTGATATCTTCAAGCACCACAGCATTCCTTGTTGCTACTGTTGTTGACCAGTCTTTGTGAATAACTAATGGTGGGAGATTAGGCTCTGGCATAAAACGATAGTCTAGTATCTTTTCTTTCTCTCTCATTGGAACTGTTTCACTGGATGAAAAAAATGACATTATATAAGACTTTATTATAATAAAAATAAAGTTCCCCTTTCAGGCCTAATGATCTATTGGACAGAGGAAGTAGAGTTCACATGCTTCTTTGTATAAGAAGGAAATGGTGCTGTCAGCAATATGTCCAGTGGCCTTTACTATCCATGGAGTGAGGTAGCCATCAGAGCTGGGTGGACTTAGGGACCCAGCAGACCCAACCCCAGACCAAAATCTAAACTCAACTTTTGGGTTAGCAATCCAGACCACTCCATCCCATATTATATACTAAAAAGAAATAATACATTTTGCTTAAAGTTTTATTTAGATTATGTTATTTGCAATGCACACTGATTTTTTTTTAGATCACTTAAAGACTAAATGTATCTTTCTTGATATACTGAATCCAAATAATTTTCTTTTAAACATCAGTTTCTCATTAAAAAAAACAAATCAACATACTTATCTTCTACATCAAAAGATCGAGTTTCATTTTCAATTACCCCTCCTGATTCAAGAATTTGTATTTGCCGACGTACTTCATAATCTAAAAGAGAAATAAACAATTAGAATAAGTACATATTTGTTTCTGAGCAATTTAGCTTATCACTAAATTAAAATAATTTATATTTCAATTTTACATGAATCCTGCTGAAATAAATTGCTTTGATGTGAAGGCTAATTAAATCTTGTCACAAAAAACGTTTTCTTTTAAAAAAGTTAAAAAAAAATAGTAACATCTTAGAAGAAAAAGACACAGAGGTGTCTCACTAAGAGATAACTAAGGACAATCAGAATCTTACCTATAGCTAATCTTATGCTCTTGAGTGAATTTAAATTCTTGACTTCTGTTCTTGTTCCAAGTGGCTCACCAGGTTTGTGTACAGATATATTGGCGTCCACCCTTAGAGACCCCTCTGTGAGATTTATCAATAAAAGTTTGGGAATTATAAAATAAAACATGTAATCCTCTATGTCTGTCTTCAAGACTTTATGAACGGACTGAGCCTTGGGTATAAATAAATACTATAAACAACGTTAATTCTTTTTAAAAAGCCAGCTCTGAAAAAATTAAAGCTTTCTAAAATGAAATATAACAGTACTTATAATAGTTTCAAAAAAAGTAAAATATATCCCTCACAGACCTGCCATTTTGCCATCACAGGAACCAACAGTTACAAGTATGTCTCTCAAGTCTCTTACAAAGCTTGATGCATCATCTCCATTTACAAAGTCTGGTGCTGTCACAATTTCCATGAGACCAATACCTTATCATTGTATCAAGCAAAAAATTATTTTAGAACATCAGTAGCAGTGTAAGAAGGCAGTTTAATGAGTTAATTACTTTAAGTTTTACTACAGTAGGCTCCTAAATTACACTTAACAGAGAATTCAAGGATAGACCATCTCTTTGCCTTCCAAATAATTAGAATTTTAAGGGGGGAAATCTAAACAAAATTAACTAAAATTGTATTTGTTGAGAATGACTAATTGAATTCATCAGTACAAGATAGAGTTTCAACGACTTGATTAAAGCTAAAATAAATGAGACAAACCTGCTCTGTTTAAATCAATTAAGCTGAGTCCACCCTGAGGATCGTGTAAACTTTTACCACTGTCTTGCTCCAGCTGGATCTGTACAAGTTTAGCAGATCTTCTTTCAACAGAACTTGTTTTGGAACATTGGAAGACATAGGTAACTTGTCCATTAACAGCAAATGGTTTTCTATATTGGGTAATCTGATAACCTGCCTTTAAATAAAGTATTAATAAACTCATTTAAAGATTTTTTCCATTAATAAATCATACAAGCAAAGTAATAATTTATATACAAAAACAATGTAGAAATATCTACTTTGGATTTTTAAAATTTAAGTAAGAAGCTTCATCAGATACAAAGCACAATAATAGCATTAACTGGTGAACATAAGTTTATCTTCCAACTTACTGGCATATCAGCATAAAAGTAGTGTTTCCTGTCAAACTTGGAAATGAGGTTTATATCACAGCCCAAAGCCAATGCCGTTACCACACCAGCCTCAACACATTTTTTGTTTAACACCTAGAAAAAACACACATTTTAAATAGTTGACAAGCAACTTGTAAAGACACCTCATTAAAAAAATAAAGATGATTTTTAGATTTACATAAATTATGGTCTTAAGTACTTCGGTATAAAATTTAATTAAAAATGAGAAGGCAGAAAAAGGTTAATTATAAACAATTTGTTAATAACTAAGCGTAGGAATATATAAGAATTATAAATTATTACTGGCAACGTTCCTGGCAATGCCGCATCAAAAAATGCAACCTGAGAGTTAGTATTAGCTCCATAGTGAGTTCCAGCTCCAGAAAAAAGCTTTGATGCTGAAGCAATTTGGGCATGTATTTCAAGACCGATCACTCCTTTCCAGGCTGTTGACTCTTTCCTTTAGAAAAAAAATGCACTTATTGAAATTATGAATAGGCCTTTATTTTTATATTAATTGTTATCAGGCCTACAAGCTTTTAACTTTAACTCTGTGTGAAGTTTTTAATTTTGCAATTTGATAATTTAAAACAGTGTTTCAGTTGTGGTTTTTAAATTGCTTTTTTTTAAATTGGTCTCTTACTAGAATCTATATAGATCTAGATTTTGTTTAACTTTCTAATCAAGAAATTTTTACTTTCATATATTTATATTATTATATTTAGGCATTTAGGGAACCTACATTAGTAATAAAATACTAATACAAATAAAAGTGGATTATAAATTATATCAATATTATAGGCCTATTTAGATTCTATATATTATATATTATTATATTATCTATCTAGAATCTAGTCCAATCTACTACTAGTCTACTAGGCCTAATAAAAATATTTTAAAAAACAATCACAATGACTAATGAATGACTGAATCCTACAATCAGTACAATTTACAATAAAGTACATATTATCTCATTAGTACAAAAGTAACAATGACAAAGTCATAAATTGTATTAAATTCATAATGTCATAAATGTAAAAACAATTTACAATAAATGAGTTATGATGAGTTATGTATGTAATGAGTAACTTATGAGTATGAGTGACAATGACAATGATTCGAAGAAAATTAAATAGTAGATCTAGATCTAAATAAATCTAATCATTATCAAAAGCACCTCTGAATAGGCGATGCAGTTTCTTTCGTAGAAATAGATTTAAATCTTTTCGCTAGTAAAACTCTTTTAGAATTATGGTGAAATAAGTGTGAAGTTAAGCAAAATGTACACTGTTTGGAAAAATAATGTTTAGCAGTGGTGGCTGCCATTTTACCAAGGGAACTTACTCTAAAAATTTTATTTAGCACTAGCATAACAAAGCTGCTGTTCAGAACCTTCTTTGCCTTACCTTTTGACATAGATCTAGATTCTAGATCTAGGCCTATCTAGAATCTAGAATGTCTAGATCTAGATCTACTTTACACAAGCCTAAAACTAAAGCTACCTTTAGTTAGTACTTAGATCTAGATCTAGATCTAGATTAGTAGATCTACTAGTCTAGAGGGGGAATTTTTATACCAGTGTCCGATAATCATAATGCTAGCCTGTTCTGTTCTCTCATCTGTTAAATTTAATCATGTTAAAAGTTAATGTTAGAATTAGTAGACTGTTAAGACTTAAGTTGTTAGATCTAGATATCTAGATCTAAGTAAAAGTACTAAATACTAGTAAATAGTTAAATAATAAATACTTACTAAATTTAGTAAATTTAACTAAATACACACATTCATTGCAGCTATGATTGCTGATATAAAAGTGATAATATTAAATAATTTATATAATAATAAATTTAATAATAATACTGGATTCGGATGATTTTAGATACCAGTGTACGATAATAGACTCTTCCATAAAATAGGTGTGTTGGGTTCAGGGTTGTTACTTGTTAGTGTAGTATTGTAATCTCAATTTTATAATGAATAATGGTTCGAAATTACTTAGGGTTAGGCGTAAGGTAGGACTAAGGCAGCATTGACATTAGCCAGCCATTTGTAACCGAACACCCCTTTTTTAAAGAAGATTCTGTTATCAGACACTGGTATAAAAATTCTCCTGATCTAGTATTAGTAATACATACATTACATACTAACCTGTTGCTTTTTATGTGTTTTTTTTCAGTGTAGACGATTTACTATTTTTGAAAAAAAAATGGATGGCGCGTTAAGCAACACATCCAATTTTATGCCTAAGGAAAATCAGTACAACTCTGGCCCTGAATTAGCCAGAGAAATTGCATCAGCTGTTTTTAATGCCTATAAAAAGTTACCCAAAAAAGGAAAGCCACAGCAGATGAAAGAATGGACACTACTTTCTGGAGTAGTTATGAGGGTAACAGGTAGGTGTTATTAAATTTAAAAATCAAATTTTAAGAACCTAGAACTCATTAGCTGTTTCTAATATTTATACTATGATTTTGAATATATTTTCTTTTTGTACTAGATCTAGTTTTAACTATCAGTTAGTTCTTAACTTTTTAAAATGCTTTAACATTTCATTTCTTTGAGTTCATTAGAGGCACTGACAGTAGTGGCAGTGACATGTATCCTTTCTTAAAAGTTTTAAGTTAAAACCAATTGTAATTGTAAATTGATAACACATTCCAATCATGTATGATCTTATTTATTCACAATAAATAAGTTATATATTCAGTAATAGTAATATATTTCTTCAATGTTAGATAATTCAGGTGTAGAACTGAAAACAGTCTCATTAGGAACAGGCTCAAAGTGTATTGGGAAATCAAAAATGAGCCCTAAAGGTAAGTAATTTGTAATGTCAATGATAGTTACAATTCTTCTATTTTGCAATTATTAGATTTAAACCTTAAGAAAACAATATTTTCATCTGCTTCTGTTAAATTCCTGTTCTTTGCTGTGTTTGCAATATGCAATGTATCATATTCAATAATTTTTGTTCTAGGGGATGTTTTGAATGATAGTCATGCGGAAGTTCTTGCACGTAGAGCTTTTCTAAGGTAAGTAGAAACTAAAAGATATTGCCTAAAATTTAAAAATGTAATAGTTAATTTGAATGATGAAATGGTATGTTTGTAAATCTCTGTCCACTCAGCTCTACCGTTTTGTACAAATTACAGTTATTTATTATTATCTTTAAAACATAATGGTAGAATAACATTTGGAATTTAAGATATTATTTGTAAATCAACAATAATCACTGTATTTGCAGGTTTCTTTATAATGAGCTTAGAAAAGCCTATGAAAACAATTCAAGTCAAATATTTACATCACCAGATGCAAGTAATGATAACAAGTGCGCTTTAAGAGCTGGAGTTACCTTTCATTTATTTACAAGTCATACACCTTGTAAAAAAACATATTTATTCTCATCAAGCTGTGTTTTTTTTACAACAATTAAAACTTGTTTTTTTTTAAAAATCTATTAATGATTGCTGCAGGCTAGGTTTATAATAAATTTTGCACTATCTAAGTCACTAATTTCTAAAAATTCAATAGCGATTTTGGAACTCATGAAAAGAAATTAATTCTGAAATGTTGAAAAAAAAAACAATACTTCTATTGATTTGACTGGCAGTTATATTTTTTTTTAAAATAACTTGAAATATAGGCCTATATATAATTATTTTTAAAAAACAGCAAAACATTATTCAGACTCAATATTTTTTAGAATACTCATATCAGTATTTTTCCCTTACTCAAGATTATACTATGATTTTTGTTTAGATTATATTCACTCATCACAAGATTTTAATTAATTTAATTAATGCGATAAGAATATTTCAATAATCTTCCTGTAATTCTAAAACCTTGCTGAATTTAATTCATCTTAGGTGGAGATGCATCAATTTTTCCAAAACATGCCAACATTACTGAAGCCTTACCACATATACAGAGCGATACCAATACACAGAGGAAAGATTTTATTAGTGATCTGTCTAACCAAAGCAGTTATTTACCTGTAGACCTAGCTGTAGACTCAAACAACTTTCATAGGTCTGCTGCTACGGTGCCTCCGAACTTAGACAGTGATGGAAATCAACCTGAAGTTGCTTTAAAAGATAAAAAGTTTGGTTCTCCACCAATCAAAAAGAGAAAGATAGAACTTATGCCTGATGATGATAATGATAACATTGGCCATGTTTGTGGTAAAGAAAGTATAACTTGTGAAAGGAATGATAACTTAAGCCAAGAAAGTTTTGGTAAGTTAAATCTCTATTTAATTTAGGCCTATATATGGTATTTTTGTTTTGTTTGATCCAACGAATATAAATTTAGATGTTAAATTAGAGTATTTAAAGTTAGAATTTATGTTCTCAATACTCTTTTAGCCCATATATAGTTCAGTTTTACTTTCAACATTTTACTAATTGACCATTATCATATTAAAGTTGTTTCAAATTAAAGTTTTTTTTTTTTAAATTTCCACAAGATATTTATAGAACTGGTGCCAAATGTGTTCCTGGCGGTGAACAAGACAGTCTCAGACCAGCTGCTCAGTATCACACTGTTGGTGTGTTAAGAACCAAACCTGGTAGAGGAGAAAGGACAGAAAGCATGTCTTGTAGTGACAAAATAGCTAAATGGAATGTGCTTGGCTGCCAAGGGGCACTACTCAGCATATTTTTGAAAGAGCCTATTTATTTCACCTCTTTGGTTGTTGGAAAGTAAGTTATCTTCAGTAACACATATCTTAAGTAACACATATACAATACTTTTTGAGTTCTTTAAGTTATAATTTGTGATTACAGGTAGGTGAAAATTAGTAAAATTACTAAATACTTTACAGACCCACAATAATATAATTGGACTATTAACTTAAAGATAATTATAACTTGAAATATCATGCTTTCTTACTCTTTAAATCCTGTTCCACATTAAGGCATGGTTTTAACAACTTAATCCTGTTCCAAATTAAGGCATGGTTTTAACAACTTTTATTAATAGAATTTTAAAATTGTTGCTTATAACAGTATATGTATCTTTCAAGCATGATGTATTGTAATGGGATAAAAATGTCCGTTATATCACCCACCTTTACCTTTTGGTGTTGCCTTATTGTTGAGTTTCCAACACTTTACAAATAGTTCTATAGCCATGACAAATTTTGATTTAATTTGTCTTAATATAGTAGTATTTTAATTTATTGAATGCTACTTAATAGTATATTTTCCTAGCTAGAAACACAACTTTTTAAATTGACAATTTTTTTCAGGCCCCCATTTTTCCTTTTAAACCTCCCTTAAAGTATAATTTTGAGAACCATTATTTCTGTACTTTTAAGTTTTCTTATTAAGTAATATAGACAGTTACTTTTGTGGCATTTTTAATTACTTACACTTAAATTTTAAATACCTAACCACAAATCTGTGTGCATTATATTTATAGAATAAAAAAGTTCAAAATGCTTAAGAAACCTTAACTCCAAATAATTTTGGCTTTTTCTGAAAGAAAGCCATACATGTAAAATATATTCAAACTATTGTATAGGGTTAGCACTTTATAATAAGCAGATACTTATTTCTCTCTAAATTTTGGATATTTATTTTTGTAATATATTTTAAGATGCCCATACAGTGCGGAATCCCTGGCTAGAGCAGTCTATTCAAGAATTGCTTACATATCTGCAACATTGCCTCCACCTTACAAAGTGAATCAGCCACTGCTTTATCAGGCTGAAGAACTTGAGTTTGAGGCCAGCAAACAAAGTCTAGAGAGGATAAAAACCAACAATCAAAAAATTGTCCCTTCCTCATCAGGCAAGAACATATTTCTTTAATAATTTAATTCAGTTTGTCATCTCCAGGCAAAATTATATTTTATCAACAGGTAGTTGGCTGAATCTTGAAAGTGGCCAGGTCACTACTCTTGACCTGGATCAAATAATGTTAATTTGGCTCATTTTGCTTCAGTCTAGTTTTTATATTTTATAACTCTGCACACAATTTAAAAAGTAACTATTATATCCTTTGAGTATTTTGTGGGCTGTTGCCATTCAGTTATATTTGAAAATTTTAAAAAGTTAGTTTCTTATACTTTAATTTGTACTATACCACTCTAAAGATTTTGCTGATGATGAATACTTTTATCACTAATTTAATGCAATTATAAAAAATTATTTTACTATAAAAATTATATTGTACTCACAGCTGTGATTTGGTATCTATCCGAAACAAATTCTCACGATGTTACTGTGAATGGTAGGCGTCAGGGAATAACTAAAAATGACGTACATAAATCAAAAGCAAGGTGAGTCATAAAAGATTTTTAGAAGTTTTTTTTTAAATTAATACATTCCTTTTAAAAATGAAATAATTTTTTTTTAAAATGTCTGTTGTTTTTGTTCCAAAAATATTTTTTAAAACATCATACATCATGATTGCTTTTTGATTATTGTATTAATACTAAGCAGCCTTGTTAATCTATAATCTAGTTAATTTTTTGTGTGGTTGTAATAACTGTGTTGCCTTTTTTTTTCTATTCATGTTTTCTACATTTTGAAGGAATTCTTATTTTTCAGGAGTTTTGTGTGCAGTTTATCATTGTTTCAATGTTTTCATGAGCTCGTGTCTAAAATTGAACCAAAATTATTACCAGAACCTCTAAGGTAAGTTTGCAGTGGCAGTCATACATTTAGGATAAAATAATGTATTTTAACATATATCACAATTCCTTATACTATACTGTAGCTATTGTCTGGTTATCATAGGGTTTGATATTTAGCCATGTTCTTAGTGTAAGCTTGCTAGCACATGCAATTGTTAGAATTTGTTTTCTGTCAGTATATCTTTTTCAAAAATGTCCCATTCAAGGTACACTGAGTGGGATCCTTAAGAAAAACATACATTTCAAAGCAGCTTTTTTAGAATTCCCATTTATGAATTTGTATCACCAAAAAATTGTTTTCATTGTTATTTGTTTTGTCTACCAGATGTGAGAACCTCAAAGTTTCAACATACTGGCAAACAAAATGTTTGGCTCAAGCTTATGAGGATGTGTGGTCTAAGCTACAAGAGTCTGCATTAAACACTTGGCTCTTGAAACCAAGAGAGTTAATGCAGTTTCATTTTGATGTGTCATGATGTAATTCAAATAAAAATGTAGCATTCTTTGTTTTTATTTTTTCACTATTATTTTGGGGTTGAAATCTCTTAGATTTCAATTAGCTAAGCAAGTACAACAAGAAAACAAAACTGTCAAATAATCATTTTTTCAAGGTAAATGCTTAAGCTAAAAATACTATAATGGAGAATTAAAATAAAATAACATTTTCTTTCTTGGCTCAAAACTTGTTTAAAAAAATCAATTAATAACCAAAATTGTGCATGTTATCAATAAAATTTATTAGTAATTAATATGCAGTTAAAATACAATGCTGATTTCTAATACTTACAATTATATTTATATGCTGGGGTATAATACAAATGGTATAGATGGATGTAATCATGAAACTTTAATATACAACACTGTAAACAAAGTATAATTCAAGAAAGTCCTAATTAAAACTATTATCAATCATCTTTTTTTTCAAACTTCTGTGCCATATTTGTAACATACTCCCATAAGCCCAATGGAGATGGCAATCTGGGAATCTGAAATTATATTTTAAAAACTTCTCAATACTTTTATAATTTCATACTACAGCATTTATGGTTATGACTACATTCCTACATAACAAAAAAAAAATATTGTTTAATGGTATCTTGCACAAAATAGGGATTCACTTAAAATCAAAGGAACAAAAATTGAAAAAAAGTTTATAAGCAGATTATGAGCCAACAAGACCTAGCACAATTATTACTTACATAATAATTTTGAGCAGCATATACTCCAGCATATCCTCCAATTATCAAAGACAGCTAAAACAAATAAATTTGAGTTAAGGCTACAAATGTATAAAAGCTAAACAAGTTTCAAATTTTTTTAATGCAGGTGATATCTCAACAACTTTAAAATGTAAGTTTCTATTAGTAATTTTACCTCATAACTTAAAATGGTAAAACCTAGTAATTCAAGGAAGACAAATGCCTTTAAGCTTTCTAAATAATTCCTGAGCAGTTATGTTTATATTACAGTTAAGTAATTATCTCTTACCACTCTTGACATTTTAACTGATGGTCTAATTCAGTAAAGAGCTTCAATTATTTATCTGTAAAAAAAAAATCACTCATAGTTACAGAAATATTTTAAGTACCATTGAATTAAATGAAAATGTAATGGTACCATAAAAAGTAAATTTCCAATTTTGACCTGAAAGTCAACATGACTGATAAGGTAGAGTTTGTTTGACCTTGGATGGGATTATATGGTCAGCACTAATTCTTTAAGTCTTTACTTTCACCCCAACTTGAGTCAGGTCCGGCCAGAGCTGGATGGACTCAGGGACACCCTAATAACTGGAGCACTGGAAACAAATTTTAAGCTTTTGGAAGCCGGCAGACGCACCTGATTCAATTTAGTGAATGACTATGATACCACACCTTATCCATATTTTATCGCACCTTTTAAAATGAATGTAATGCGGAGGATGTGCCTGATTCGAGTTAGTGAGCTTCTATAGCAACCCATTGTATTAGTAGCCTATCACACTCTTGAAACAAACGTAGGTGCCACAGTGTTCATGGGAAGCCAAATCAGGATGGGCAACAATAACTGTTGACTATATCAAATCTGGTGTGTCTTCCACTGCTCTCCCCTAAGCATTTCTCACCTCCATGTCATGTTATGTATAGTACACATGGCTCATCAGGGGAAAGTATCAAGGCAGATTAGTTAGTACCACCCTTTTTACATCAAAGAATCTTAACTCTGAACAGCTACACACTAGGTATACTAATGTACCTACTGTAAACTACAAGACTGTAGACCCTATGTAGATCTACAATTGTATACATTTAGGACTGGTCCAATGGGGCCTAGTGATAGCTGGTATTATTTAAAGTGTGTGTACACAGCATAAACTATTTTGGGGTTAGAAATTAATTATTTTTATTGTGGAGTTAGTATAAACTAGGAGATAATATATAAAATTAAAAATGGTAATGGCTCAGCTACATTTGTCCCAAATGCTGATTTTGGGGGGATGGCTATAAATAAATGCTAAATTAAACCAATTTTAAGTAAATTTAAAAGCCTTTATTATTATTTTTATATTGCGTAACTTGTGTTAGAATCTTTTTCTTCTTCTTCTTCGTTCTTAATTTTTAGTGTTGGAAGGGATCGAGCCTTATCTTCCAGATAACTTTTTTTGAATTTATCAACCATGAGCTTTGCCGACTCGACCATGCTTCCATCACAATTAAGCGTTACGTGTCAACTGGTTATGCACCATTAAGGCCATTGACTCCAATTTCAGCCTGCTTTTCCTTTGGATTTGCTTCCATAGCCTTTGTCCAACCAAGAACAATCTACAAGGCAGCAGATGTTTGATTTTGGAGTTTTCTCTCCTAGAAGAGTGGCTATCCCCAGCTAACAAGCCTCATCAGCCCAAGGGTTTGAACTCGAGACTTTTCGGTTTAGCAATAATTAGAATAATTTTGCATTATTTTCATTATTAGAAAATACTTGGAATAGTAAACTAAACATCTTTTAAAATCAATGTAGATCCTACACCTAGGTGACAAAAAGTGTGGCTAAAACTACTAAATTACTTAATGAGTACTAGAGTCTAGTACTGTTAACTGTAAATGTAATCTAATAGTTAATACATAGCTTATTACTCTGGTAAGGCCACGGTAAGGTAATAAAATGAATAATAATAATTAAATAAAATATTTTAAATTTTTATATTTTTCTAAGCCTACACTAGAGATTTTAAATTTAATTTTTATGACTTATGCCTTATGTACTAGTTATGTACTTATTACTTATGTTTATGGCATGGTGACTAATATTATAAATTTTGAATGTATTGATATAGATTCTAGTCTATTATAAATAAATAATAAATAATGTATAGATCTAGTACTCAACTGTAAAAAAAACAACTAAAAATTGTAATACTAAACTAAATAGCCTTAGACTAATAATAGTATTATTATTAATAAAATATCATTGGCAACGAAAAATGTGAAAATCTTTATTTGTAGCCAGATCAGTGTGGTAAATAGTTTGCCTTACTAAAAAGTCAAGTAAAAGTCAGTTACTTCACGACCTTTCACTCGATCAGTAGATCTTATATAATACATAGGATAAGGTATATAAAATATAAAAATAAATTTCTGGGCAAGACAGTTCTGGCGTTATTCATATTATTAGTAATCAATGGTCACTCAATGGTGGTTTTAAAGGAAGATAATAAAATAAGGGGTAGGTCTAAGCACATTTTGTAGCAACGATTATTTTGTTTACTTTTTAGGAAAACTTAGCGTTCTTATGCGCTGAAAACACATTTAGTTCAGTGGTTATCAACAAACCTGACCTCCCTCAATCACAGCTCTGCCTTTTAACTAAAAACTTTAAACAAAACTTTTTTTATGATTCAGTTAGAACGTCTACAGCAACAGTACTGCTAATTTTTTATTATCTTTATTAAATAACCCATCTTTGAAACATTTTAAAGTCTAAAAACTAACCGCCATCTCATTGCATAGCAACAGCCTAGGACCCATAAGTCCGACTCCGAGGCAAGGTGAGAACTGAAAACTTATCTGATTCTGTCTTCTGAATAAGAAAGAATTCAATATACTGAACTGATAGATCTATATGTATCCGTTGCTTTTGGTTTATTAATTAATATTATTCAATTATCTAATATATATAATAATATAATTATAATAAATTATATTATAAATTATATAATTATTACAAAGTGACTACTCAGAAAAAGATTTTTCGCACCAGCGCCTCCACCTGGCTGGTTGTCCAAAGATAGTCCTGCGCAGTGACCTTAAAAGCTGAGCTAGGGTTAGGGTTAGGGTTGTGGTAAGGGCTAGGGTTCTGCGGTTGTAAACACACATATGCGCAGTACCATGAAAACATCGCCGCGAAGGCTAGGTGTAGTTAGTTTCTCTCCATTGCGCATGCATATCTTTTTCCGGCTAGAATCGGCCTAATTAATTATTTTTTACCTAACTATTATAATCAAAATGTTTCATACAAATATTATTATTTAATGTATGAGTCACCTTTCTTTCACATTACTAGCCGAGGCTGATTTTATGTATGCCTACCTAAAACAATAGATTTACCGACAATCTGAATCATTCATGTATGCCTATTTCTATTTCAAATTACAACAATAATTTAATAATGTAATTAATGTGTCAATGTATTAAAAGTTTAAGTAGTCTAGTACAGTATTATTGTTTAACAACTAAATTAAGATTGAGGTAACTAGTTAGTTACTAGACTTTAAAGTTTATAAGTAAGTCTAGTTCATTAAGTCATATAGTAATAAAAATAAGTCTTACTACTTAATTAATAATAATATAATTAAAATACTAATTTAATACCTATGCTCATACTAATGGCTAATAATAGTAAAGTAATAGGCCTAGTAACTTTACTTTAGGCTTAGGCCTACTTGATTTAACTTTACTAGACTACTAGTATTACAAAAAACCACTAAACAAAACTAATTGACTGGCTGGTGAAGCAAACTACAGACAAAAGGCAAGAGCCATTGGATGGTCACTAACAACTAGTCTAGGGGACCTTCTAGATTTTTCAGAGGACATAGCTCTACTCACTAGTTGTCAAAAAGGCAAGCAAGAAAAACTAAACAGACTATTTCTTTTGTTAATGGGGTTGGACTCGAATTATGCATCCTTCTGTATGGCAGTTAATGTTGGAAAGCAACCACCACTATCATCCGATGACTGCATTCTTCTTTAACTATGTGAAGAATAAAATGCATCCACTAGCCACCATTTCCTCTAATAAGTTATTAAGAGAAACTAAAATGGCAGCTCTTTCAAAGGTAATTTAAAAAAGATTGCATTGGATGGGACCATGTTTTAACGATGAGCCCAGATTATATCACAGAAATGGCACAGAACTGGACCCCTTAAGGAAAAAGAAGATCAAGGGAGATGTGGAGGCTCACAGCAGAAAAAACCGGCAAAAGTGGAAAGAGCTTTCTGTGGTGGTGTTTCCTCAGCACGGAAAGGAAACAATGATGTTGATGAATTTCTAAATTACTAAGTAACCACTCCTAACTAACATCTCTACTAGATCTATATAGTATGTACTAACAAAAACACAAGTCAGTCTAAATAACAACAAGACTAACACTAACTTAGAGCTTCAGTTCAGTTAACTGTTAAGGGGGCTGTCCATAAATGATGTCATGTTATTTTGGATGGTTTTGTAACCCCCCCCCCCATCACTAATATGACATCACAGCTCAACATACAACCCCCCCCCCCCCCCCCACCTCATTCAAAAATACAGTTTAGTTTTTAAAACATTGATTCCTTTATAAATATTTAATGAGCTTGGTTATCATTGAGTATATTAATCCATTTTTATTTCTATTAGCATGAACAGTAAATAACTAAATAACTCTAAATAACATTAAATAACTGCTAAAAATTCAGTTTCTACCATTACTTTTTAATATGGAACAAGTGTGTTGTCACCCCCCCCCCCTTTTGGGTGTCACACATCAGTCTCTCACATCAAACATTGTCAAAGTCATTCATAAACTATTAAGCTCATTTAGTAGTTATTACTCAAGCAAGATTTACTTGTGTTTGGTGTTAAAATAGTTTTATCAATTAGGCATATATGGTGGAAGTGTTAAGTTAAAAGTTTATGACACAAAAAAATTACTTTTAAATTAATCCATGTTTTTCTTTCACCAGTGTTGCGAAATAGCTGAACTTTGTTCTAAGGTTTTGTTCCTCCCTAGAAATTTTGAACCAACACCATGTCTCGGGTGGTAAGAATTGTAATAATTTAATTATTAGAACTCTAATTAAATATCAGAAATATGAATGATGCATTAGAGCTACCAACTATACTTGTATATTTTGAAGAACAGTAAAATAAACATGTATTTTGTAGAATGGGTATTTTATAATTACACATAAACTTGCGTTCAATTTCAGTAGAAATAATTGGTAGTAATTCTAATTTCTATTCATTTAGTTTCAAATTTATCCACATAAGCTCTGAATGTATTTAACTTTTAGAAAAGTTTGCTTATTTCTTGTATGTTGATATCCCATTGTTATTGTGATTACTAATTTTTTAACTCTTATTTTTCAGCTATTTTTCATAGTTGGCACATACTCAGGTTTATATGTTGCACAAAATTATGAGGTGAGGAATGGCTTCGCTTTTATTAGTTAGTCGCTTTCTTTTTACTGCACATTTGTTGAAAAATTTCAGACTTGTTCACTTTACCTTTATTTTATGAGGTCCTAACATGCAAATTAACATAAAGCAGATCAACTCATATGTGACAGGCTTTTCTATTGCTACCATTCTCATCTAACATCATGTATTTATTAAAGCTGAGTAGACTCATGAGGCTCAATGTCATCATACATGACTAGTATTTAAACCTAGACATTGTATGCCCATGGTAAAGTATACTAATTTCTTTTAAATGTATGTCACTTCTCAAGAGTCTTTCTTTAATTTTAGGTTCCAAAGTTGCCTGGTCCAATAGGATTGATCGATTACATAAAAGAACTGGCACAGAAATTTGAAAAAAAAGACAAATGACAAAGGCTGACATGATGAAACATTTACATAAGAACTTGTTTCAAATACAACTGTTACTATGTAACATGATCTCTTGTGGTTAAGTTGTGATGCATTTGATTGTTAACTGAGATTTGTCTGATTTTACTTATATAAAGATTGTTCCTCTTTTAACATTTGTGAGGTTTGTATTTGTATGAAACATCATTTTAAACATTTATTTAATTTGCAGTCAAACTAATTGTTTTACCTAATCATCCTACTCATAAAAATAAACAATACTTGAAAGCCTTGTAAAGATTTGTAAAATAAGTAAAAATTAAATTTGTGTCCTGCTATTTCCTTTTTTTAGCAAGTCCTATATTGTTGATAACATAAAACTAATAAACACTTTAAAACCAACACTATTTTAGTTCTTGATTTTAAAAAATTATAAAAAAGGATTTGTATTTTTCTTAAATATTACCATGGTTAAATTTTCTATCATTACTGTTATCTAAATTGCAGGAACGTATCAGTGATCAAGAACTTATGAAACAAATATCTGGTTTGCAATGCTGAGATATTAAAAAGACTGGCTATTTTATTATTTCTAAAAATCACCCTTTAAAATCGTAATCAAATTCTCAAGCGCCATTAGGTTAGACATTTCTGCAAGCTGCACACCACACATAATAAAATAAAAAAATCATTTTCAGTTACAAATAACCCTGTTTTGTTTATTAAAAAAGTAGATCTTGTGTAATTATTATGTAGATGTAGAGATAATCATATAAAAAGAATTCATACACACATGAAGTTTCAGCATAAACAATGACAGATTTTTCATACATTTTTTTCACTAACATTATCATGCTAGCTTTAGATTGCAATTATACACGACTGTAAGTCCAGGCAGTAAATTCTTGTTTATAAAATAATAATATAAAAAACATTTTTGGTACAGTTTGTAAATAATTTATAATGTATATACACATAGATGTATGTAATACCACTAAATTACATATGAAAAAGTCATACATTTTTATATTCCATAACCATTAACTTGTTACAATAAATACTTTTGGGGAAATGCATTAACTGGCTTTAAATAAAACAATCTTTGTTTTGTTTGCACAAAAATGTAAGTCTTAATAACCTTTTTTTTAAAAAACAATTCAAAAGAAATACATTAAAATTATACACATTTAGTTTAAATATCATATAGACTCCTGTATGTATATTTTTTTAATTTAGAAAATTCCATGTTAAATTACATCGGTTGAGATAAATTAACTGGAACAAAGGCAACACAGAAGATGCATAAAGATTTCTTTTAAGGAACTTTGTTGTGCTCATCAAGCACCTGAGAACAAATACACATGCATGATAGAAAAAAAGCAGACACCCACAGGAAATGTGCATTTGTACTCATGCAAAGTGGTTAAAAACATGATGACATGCATGAAGCCAATTAGTGAGATCCTTTTAAATAAAAGGTAGAATAACTTCTCAATAAACAAAACAACATTTAAACAATACATAGGCCTACTTAAGTTACATTAGAAGAACAACTGCATTTTGCAAAAGAAAATATCTTTCATTTGAGTTGCCAAAATAGCAACTGTAAAAGAAATGAAAACTTCCAATTTATCACTAACCCCATGTTCATAAATATGCATGATACTTGCAGTGTATGACAATCCTGGTAGTTAATGAGGTAAAGATTTTCTTTATCTCAGAACAGAAAAGTAAATTTAAAGCTTGAAAAGTTACCCTTTAGGACTGATGATCCATGGGGCAGATGAAGTAGAATTCGCCTGTCTCTGTAACCCTGTATAGGTACTATGCTAGGCCATCAATATACATGAGAATTATGGTGATACAATAAACTTAATAAAAATAACTGGACACATGTAATAATTATGCAATGTTAAAGTCAAATAAAAAAAAACAGATCATGTATTGGAAACAAATTTTCACAGCACTTTAAGTTAATAAAATAAAACTAAAATAAAAACCAATCTTTAGGACTTAATCTGGGAAAACAACTTACAATATGTTTTGTACAAATAAACTAGACAATTTATTATCTTAAAAAAAAGTTAAAAGCTCTTTCATAAATAAATATTTTTATAATTGAGCAAATCTGATTCAATAAATTTGATTGATATTTTTGTTATACCCATCATTCATTTAACCATTAATGTCCCATTCATTCTACCAAAACTCCACCCATGACGGCCCAATGTAAGGAGCATAACTCTGTATGATCAAGTGAATAGTTTCACAAAATATTTGTTTTTGTCTAAATGAAATTGAAAATTAAGATAAAAAGTACTGCTTAATGTTGGGAATAAACCTGGCTTTCCAACAGTATTAAATAGAATATATTATATTCGGTAAAAGTACAGTATAAAAATAAAAAATGTCTGAGAAAATTCAAAACAGGTCATTTTCGGTAGTCAACTTTATTTATTTTTGTCTTAACAACTATGCATCGAATTTAACAGTTAAATATCAATTTGGTTATGTTTAACATATATAATTCATAAAATACATGCCTAGATACGTTTAGAGGCAATAATTTTTTTTATTTTTAATATTAAATCTACTAAAAATACGACAGATGAGTCGAAAATTTCGAGATAGAAAGAAACTATTATTTTTTATCTTTCAAAAGCGCCATTGAAATTACAAGACCGGAATAGGATGCTGAAACCATCCGACTTCCTGTTTAGTTAAAAATTAGGATTTGTAGGCCAAATTTTAATGAAACAAATTTAATTTTTCTATGCTTATTGTAAGCGGGCGGCAGCGGGCGTTACGGGACATTAACGGTGTCGGGCGGCAGCGGGCGTTACGGGACATTAATGGTTAAAATTAACTGATTAAAATAATTGAAAGTTAGTTTACTTTCATAACTTATTTTAGACTTGATTTAGGTAACCACAATGTCACATTTCTTGGATACTTACGATCATTGAGTGCTAATAGTAAGGGGCGTTTCATTATTTACATAACCCTCATTAGTAAATAAAATGTGATTGTCACTTGAAATAAATGCTAGCTTTCTTATCTTCTGCGCAAATAAGTAAAATGCCAGCATATTGAAATCGGTTCAACACATCTGTAAATGGTTATAACAATTCACTTTTTAAAAATCAGATCAACAACCCAGTCTATCGTTGATCAGGGTTAGAATATATCCTCCTATAATCAGATTCTGATGATCTCGCAGATCGGGCAGCACCACTAAACTCTGTAGAAATAGATCTCCGAACAACAGGACTAATTGGCTGTGTTTTAATGGGGAGAACAGACTCCTGACTGTGGGCGAGAATGTCAAGAGCAGCATCATAGTTTGGTGGTGGTGTTCGAGGTTCCTCAAAACTTGTTATCCTGGCCTGATGTGAAAATAAATATTTAAAATGTTAGGTTTTTTTCATTCTTAAAATCATATTAAGAACTATTTGAATTGTAATGAAGTAGCAAGGAGCTGTATTGATTTTCTAACAATATACAAGTACAGTAAGTTTACAACCACACACATCACTTAAAGAACAGATGCAAGTTGACTTTGGTTACTTAATTATATTAATACAATAAAATTGAAACTTGGATAAATATTTTAAAGTACCAGTAATTAAGTTCCTGGAGTAAAAAACAACAGTCATTTAAATATTGTTTCATCCAATGTTTTAAAATTTTGAAATAAAACAGTTTGAATGATTCTTTTAACATTGAAAAAAACTTACATTTCTCTGGAAAACTGGTGTTACTGGATAAAGATTACTATTAATGACTTCATCATATGAAGGAGGAGGCAAGTTCATGGATGCATTATCACCCTCACCAATGACAGATTCAAATGCAGCATGGTCTGGTGAAAAAAAATTCAACTTATAAATCCAGTAGTACATAACAATTATATAAATAAAAAACAGATGTGCATGGCTGAATGTGTCTATTTACTTTATTTAGATAGAATTAAAACAATACCACTACTACATGGTAGTCTATTGATGATGTCACTTAATGAGGGGGGGTGAACAAATGTAACATAACAGCCTTAAAAGTAAAGATACTAAAGAAACTGCAAGGGGTGGGGAGTATGGACTTTGTGATGTCACCATTTTAGGGGTTGGACCAGGCCTTATGTGAGGGTGGAGGCAAAAATTGCCTAAAGTAGTGTCACATAATCATTGATAGACTACCCCTTATGTTCACATCTTTTCTGCTTTATGCAGTTGTGACTGGGGAGCAAATTCTTTAATTATGCAAGTGACTCATACATTAGATGGTTTTATCTCATTTAATATGAGGAAATGACTACTGTTTGTCATTTTTGGGGGATTGACTAGCATTTAGCAATTGTATTTTTTTTATCTTTAGCTTGGGGGATTGACTAGCATTTAGCAATTGTATTTTTTTTTTATCTTTAGCGTTATAATCTGCATGGTAATCTCTAAAATAAAATACATAGGCCATAAAATGGCAGAATGGCCCAACCTGCTTACTTTTTGTGCATAAAAACCCTTGTGGATGTCAAAAGCACCTAAATGGTAAATGCTTTATAACTTCATTTAATACCATTTTGTTTTGAATGGGCTCTTAAGCCAAAGTAAGATGTTTCTGCATCACTATAAAGATCTTTTTGCCATGCTTATCTGTTTTAGTTTTGTATACAGAGTACTTTGAGGGAAATGAGTCAAGACACATGCTACTTTTAGGAGAAAACAACCCAAAGTTCTCCATGTGACTAAGTGAAATCTTTGTATTCCAGCTTTTGCTTATTGAATCATGAGTGTTTAGGGCATAATTCTTTTCAATGAACAGAAAGTTAAACTAAGCAAGGCTAAAACTATCAAAATATTGTCCCAAGTTTACCGGTTGTTTTAAAAGTCAAATGCTGAAGGTTAGAGTTCATGTTGTTTTATGTTTAATTTTTTAAATTTTGTCACTGGGTGTTTTCCACTTTACTTACAAGGGTACTAATTTTAAACGCCCATAACTCATTAAATATAAAAGTCAGACAACCCAATACACCAGGCCATATAGTATGCCTAGGGCAGGCATTTAAATATGGGTGGATTCCACCTACAATGTAGTGAATCATAATCATTCAAAGATAAACCTCTTCTTGGTCTAAAGTTTTTTTAAATAGATTTAAACTTGACCTCAACAATAAAACTAAAAGAGTCAACTTACTAGAACTATTATGTTCTTGTCTTCTCAATGCCTTTCTCTGTTTGTAGCAATACAGCACTACTAAAAACAAAATGCATGCCATTCCAACAACCAGCATGATTATAATTGTATTTTGATTCAGTTGTTGCTCTTCAGCTAAATTATAAAGATACAAAAGTCAGTTGAATTATCAAAGTAATACTAAACCTGATTAAACAATTGTAATTATGTGATTTATTGATTGATAATTATAGTATTAAAGTGTTTAAAAACTATTATGGTATTTTAATATGATAATTATTTAGATATAACGGAAAAATAACAAATTAACATTAGGGTGTAATATCCGAATTACTCACGGCATAAATCAACACTTGCAATACAACTTCCATCTATACAACGCCTGTGTCCACTTGAAACACAAGGCCCAGGGGTATAAGGTGGTGTATAGGTAGTGCTTATTTTATTCATGTCTGTTTTAAGCAAAGGTCCAACAAATACTTCCAAACTTTTGTCAACTTTCCACCAAGGTCCATTTACAGTCACTGGATGAAATAAAAGTAAAATATTTGAAAAATGCAAGTAAATGATTAAGTGAAAAATGCATTTCATTTAGTCTGTTGGGATAATTGTTCAAACTCACAAGCTACCATCTATGTTCCCTGCAGTATATTTTAATTAGAGCTATGAAGCTAACAGTAACTACACAAATGCTAACTCTAATATCTCAAGTTCAACCTTTCTTGAGCCTGAATGTTTAGTCCCTTAGCTAATCTTTTATACAATTCATTAGCTCATATTCCAATAGTTCACTGTTTGTAATCTGAGCTTCACAAGACCCACATTGCCAAGCAATCGTATGATGATAGACCTAACAACTAACAAGAATCACTCATTAAAATTTGACATTCACTCTAACAAGGTTCTCGACCTTGTTTTCATTACAGCTTTAAAAGTTTCCCTTTCAAACCTGACGGTCTATGAGGCAAGTGAAGTAGAGTTCACTCGTTTCTGTGACCTCGACATATGAAGAGATAGTGTGGTCAGCACTATGCCCAGCTGCCTTCACTTTCCCTAACATGCGTTAGGTACCCATCAGAGTTGGGTGGACTCAGGGACGTTCTACTGACTTCACCCTTATTCGAACGGGTTAGCAGTCCAGCTCTCTACCGCTAGACCACTCTGTCCCATCATTACAGCCTTGCTCTTGTTAATTTGGTTCAGGCATGAAACACAACACTATGAGTACGTAGGAAGTGGCCTGACTGTTGTGAATGGACTTTGTTGTATTGAATGATTTAGAGAGTATGTGTGTAGTGGAATGTGTTTTAATAAAGGATGTTGAGGGTTTGAGAGTATGTGTGTAGTGGAATTAAAAGAGTATGTTTTTTGGTTGTTAAAGCAAATAGTTGAAGTCAGTTTGAGTCTTGTTCTTGTCGCAGGAGGGTGTAGAAGTCTTTGTCATGTTTGTCGTAGATCTAGTAATGTAGTAAGATGTAGTCACGTATATTATATGTAATTATTAAATTAATGATGAGAAATGTATCACGCCGTCCTGTCTCATTTTCTATTAAATCATCGTTGTATTTGTACGTATTCATCCAAGCATCGACCCTGTCCAGATCCTCACTTCATAACACTGACCAGTATAAATGAGATTGTTTTAAGTTTATATTTAACTCAATGCAACTCAATGTGCCAAGCCAGAGTTTGTTCTGCAACTGCAGATATTAGGCCTATATTATTAGGTAATATAAATAATAAATAGGCCTAGTCTATAATAGACTATAGTATACTAACTTACTGAGTAAGTAGATCTATACCTATAGGCCTAGATTCTATGATTATTATTTTTATGACCTCAAGTCTCAAATTGACGAAATTGATGATAGAATATATGAAATAGATTAAATAGATTAGAATTAGATTTTCTAGTTCTAAATTAAAATTATAATTTTTGGTAATCTATCGTTTTGGGTACGTAAAATCGCCCGCGGCTATTTATGTACGAAAACGTTACCTCATTGTCAAGGCTTTAATAGAAGTATATTGTCATACTTTTGTGTCAAATATTATAGATAAATGAATAATAAACCTAAATCAATGGCTAAATATATCGATATAGGCCAGAAATTAACTTTAAACAGCAGTGTTTGAGAGCAAGATTTGCTATATAAACAGCAGCCATTTGTAAAATAGAGTGGCTTCCCCCTGAATCTGGCGCTAAAAGCTTATAAAAATAAAACTTAGACAAGATGGCTGCTATAGTAAATGAGCATGGTTGCATCTGTTGGAAACATCGCTAGTCTTCATTTATTACGGAAAAGTTTTAATTCAATTGTTTAAAAACAGGTACATAAATGAATCAAGGAAACATTTTTGAATTTTTAAATACATAAATCCTCCTCAAAATGTGAAATAATTATTAAAATTTAAGGAGTCACCTTTTTTTCACATTACAAATCGCGGGCGATTTTACGTACCCAAAACGATAGATTACCTAGAATTTTTTTAGCTATTTAAGTATTTTTGTTGTGCTAAATCGTAGAGATTATAGATCTAGAGTAGATTACTTTGTAAGCCAGCTTTGAAGATAGACACAGGTGAACTCTTGTTCTAGAATCTTTAAATAATAAATATTCTATATAGATTCTAGATCTAGATCTATATCCTGCTGCTTTGAGTCATCCATTCTAATCTAAATCCTATTTTTTATCCTGTGGGCGATAAGTCTATTTTTTCCTCACACGTAAAAGATCGTTTTGTACGTACTAGATCAGTAGTTCCCAGACTGTTTCGAGTGGCGACCCCCTTTAACAAAAGTAGGTGACCCGCGACCCCTCTGGAATTAAAAAGTCGACATTAATAACAAAATTTATAAGGACTGAAGTAAAGTTTTCTGGTAGAATTTCAAAATGAATAAATATTTATAACTGTATTAATACGATGAGTATAATTTCATGTTATTAACTACAATAACTAGCCTCAACATTCGCTGTTTAGTTTTTGTTAACGCTAGCGGCTAATCTTAGTCATCTTAGTCATTCTCATCTAATTTATTTCTATGTTTTGTTTTTAATGGGAGAAGTGTTGAAAATCTATTCTCGCAAAGATATGTAATATGTAGACACAAAAGGAACTAAAACTCGAAAGGCAATCAATTTAACGTTTGGGTTATAAATGGTGCGTACCTCACCGAAATTGTGAGCAGTTTTTCATATGACGCCGAGTTTATTCAGCAAATTTAAGAATTCATCCTGTAATTCATCGGGAAAGTTGGCAACATCAATGGACGCAGAGAATGGGTTACGGCACAGTGCAGTTACTTCTTCTTTCAGCTCAGGGAAAATAACGCCGCGGTTCGTTTTCTAGAGATTTAAGATGCCCAGAAATCTCCTGTTTCAATTTTTATTTATCTCACAATCAGATTCATCTACCACATTGCAGAGTTTTTCAAACATGGAAATGTTTCTAAGATTTATTTTTCTTCGCCAATTTTGCAGCTCTGATATAAATGCCACGAGATTGTCATGAAAAGTGATAATATATTCGTTAAATTTGTATGATGATGTTCGAATATATACCGGCTAGGTATGATACTCTCTCCAACCACATGTCGTTAAAAGCAGTACCTCGTGATATTTATTCATGTATTGGCACAGTTCTTGAAACAGACAAGTGTTTAGGGCTCCAGATTTAATATAATTTACGACTTTTATTAGCAATGTAGTCGGAAGAGTTTTGCTGGCAGGGGCATACCGGTGAATCGTGCAGTGGATTTCCCTTGTTAGGGAGCTAAAACTTTTACTGTTTTCTGAAAGCCCGATTTTGACCCAAACATAGATGGCGCACCCTCCGTACAAACCCCGCAGCCATTTTAGCATTTTAATCACCCATTTACTGAGTTTACTTCAATTTTTCACCCACGCGAGAGGATCGCACGGGTCTACACTGCGTGTTGACGTTATGACGTTTACTCAGTCAATACCTAATCAGAGTTTCTTCCAGGCATCTCTTCAAGGGGGGGGGGGGGCAGAGAAAGTCTACCGCCCCCCGAACGAGATGGAATTTATATAGTAAACATATACTTTTACTAGTGTCCCCCCCCCCCCACGGAAAATGTAGACCACCCCCCCCCCAAATATCAAGTGACCCCCTCGGAGAAAAATGTCTGGAAGAAACAATGTACCGAATTGGGGGAGGGGAGGGAGTGTTGTCTACTGTGTGTCAATTTATTGTGACCGCGTGAATGTGCTAGAAAGTTTTTTTTTTTTTTATAGCCGTTCACTAAATTGAATCAGGCGCGTCCGCCGGCGCCTGGGCAGGGTTCGATTTTTCGCGATGGGCTATATCATGTGAGCGCTATGGGTTTGGTTTGTGTTTGCTTTGCGTTGTGTTTGTGTTTTCTTTTGTGTTTCTGTGTTGCGTTTGTGTTTGCGTTGTGTTTGTATTTTCTTTTATGTTTATTTGTTGTGTTTATGTTTGCGTTGTTTTTAGGTTTGTGTTTCCTTTTGTGTTTGTGTTATGATGTGTTTTCTTTTGTGTTTGTTTGTTGTGTTTGTTTTGTTTTTACAAGCTTTTATTTAACTCACTTCCTCGTCAGTCGTCAGTCGACAGTCTGTCTAGACCGAAACGCTGGAGTGAAAATTCGGAAACTTCTACTTGACCGATACGTTTCACATTTGACACGTGGGTCAAGACATGAAGACAATGCAATCTGAAACTAAATTTGACTTAATTGGATGCCTAATTAATTATTTATGAATTAATAAAAATTTGGACCGAATTAGTAGGCATGTCTAGCCAACCACACCACACGCGTCATCACCTTCAATAGCTGCGCCATCACGTAATGGCTGCGTTCAAAAACCATTGCGCGCCTACTGAACGTGTTGTTCAGTAGGCGCGCAATGGTTTTTAGTCATGTAACTCTATTGTAAATAAAACATGTTAAGTACTGAAAAAAAAATTCATAAAAAACGTTTTAATAACAAGCTTTTATGTAATGATGCACTAAAAAGTAGAAAATAAATTATAGACTACTATTTAAATAACTATAAAGAAAAGCGTGGGTGTCTTCCTTAACATTAGTAAAGGTATCCAATAGATACTAAAGTGACCCACGCTTTTCTTTATAGTTATTTAAATAGTAGTCTATAATTTATTTTCTACTTTTTAGTGCATCATTACATAAAAGCTTGTTATTAAAACGTTTTTTATGAATTTTTTGTGTTTGTGTTTCCTTTTGTTTTTGTGTTGTGTTTGCGGTGTGTTTGTGTTTTCTTTTGTGTTTGTGTTGTGTATGTTTTTGCGTTGTGTTTCTGTTGTGTTTTTGTTTTCTTTTGTGTTTGTGCTTAGTTTTGTTCTGTTCCATAGTTGGTACATTTAAAAAGATACCCCGTGGCGGAGCACGGGTATGCAGCTGGTGTTTAATATTGTTATTTGTTGAAAGTGTGATCGCGAATGGCCTACCACCCGATATCAACCACTATTTTTCATCAAGTTAATCAGTGGTTGCAGGCAGCCTTGACAAATGTATGGTAGGGTGAGCTGGATGGGGCTGTAGACCGAACTTTTTGTGGTTCGTCTTTCTGGCTATTAATGATGATATGGATTCTAGGTAGGGGGTGAAATTCCGTTAGTTAACGTGACGTTATTTGTGGATGGCTTCTAGTCCGTGCAATAAAAAATAACCATATCCGCGTAACTTTAGCAGAGATGTAACTTTTTCCGTTTTCACGGAACGGCTTTTTATATTACTTTTACTCAACTTTGCTGACTTTTTTGCTACACGTTTCTGCACAACACAAACCACCTCTTACTGTTGCGCTGTCCGTGACGACTTATACGACACCACCTCCCTGCGATAGCACAGAATAGAATTGCGGCGAAAAAAAGCATTGCGCGCCTAATTAACGCAAACGGGGAGGGAGTGTCTTAAACCCTCACCCACACCAGAAAAGAGCCACGAAAAAAATTATTACATTTTTTTTTTCGTGCAAAAAAAAGAAAAAAAAAAGAAAGAAACAAAGCTCAACTTTAACAGAGACATTTCCAATGAGAAGAAACCATATAACATTGGTATAGATTATTAAGCATCGCGTTGTGCACATGCTATTGAATTATGATACTGCAAGTTGTGTTGTCTTGAGAGAACTATTAATTTTTGTGTGGACATCCACTTAGAGTGTGTGTGTGTGTGTGGGGGGGGGGGGGGCGGAGGGCGACACACACAATGGATGTGTGAGGACAATGCGTAGTGGGGGGGGGGGGGGGGGTCTAATTTGAAGACGCCATAAATAGATTATTTTAAGTAGGCCTATCATTTGTAATGAACGTCTTAAGATTACATTTATTATGTTTATTTATGGCGCACAATTATTGCGCACTTGTAAACTGTATGCTCAAATTAATATAAAGATTAAGAAAAGCTTTTCAATATATATTTTTGCTTTTTGTTGTTTTTTTTTTTTTTTTGTTGGTGTAGTAGATTTGTACCTACTAGATCTATAGGATTAAAACTATGCGAAAGGAAGTTATTTTGTCTAAACTAAATACAAAGGCGGCGAAGCTTATTAAAAGAACGATCCGTCACTATCACTCATTTAAATCACGATATAGCGTCGGTTATTATTCCGGAACTGTACAGCAGTAAAAAACAGTAAAACCACGGCGTAGTCTGTCGAGCCGTTCCGGAAACCAACGGAAATACCGTAAACCATCATTTATTTGCTGCCATATTATTTTTAATACATAGTTTAAAAATGTGCAAGGATTGATTTTAGTTGCATTTTAAATACTGTTTTGCTAATTATTTTGTATTTCTAATTATTTTAAGTGTATGTGCTAATTATTGCTGCTACTAAACATTATTCTAGTTCTTCTTACTACTTTTAACTTTAGTAAATCTAATCGTCTTACTTTACTAACAGAACTAGAGCTGGTTGTCGCAAATCTTCTGCAGGTTTTTTCTGTGTTTCTTAAAAAAACAATTACTACACTCGACTTTATTAATAATATTTAGATTTACTAATTGTTGCTAATTTTTTGTCAGTTAAACATTAAATTAAGTTAAAACATTAATTTAATGCACTTGACTTTATTTTTCTTTCAACGGTCAAATAAACTATGGTTTACAGTAACAAATGTTACCGAAACTCAACGAACATTACCCAATAATTTCCGACGCTATATCGTGATTTTACCAAGAAAGTTACATTTTAGTTATCTAGGGAAACGACTAAAATGTTACAACAAATTGAAAATTGAAAATTTTAATTAAGAAATAGTAACAAAACACGCAATGAAATTCATCTGAGTGTATCTAAAACAACAATAATTTAGCCACACTTAGCCTGAGTTTCGGCATCTAGTTTGACCGCTTCCCATGATGCAGCGTCATTCTCTCTATACTGAGCCTAGCCTATCATTGATTGGATTGACATAGCATGATAGCAGTCGTTGCGTACAATAGTCTAGATCTGTTGCCGGTAGTTTAAATTAGTTTGTGAAATAAATCAAAATATGGCTGGTGAAAAAAAAGTATTCAGATTATCGGATGTTAAAACACATAACGATGCAAAATCTACATATCTTATTGTACACAACAAAGTTTATGATGTTACAAAATTTTTGGAAGAGGTAAGCTTATGTCACGATCTGATGATCATCATCATCATGATCTGATCATGGTGAAATTTAGACTTTAGACCTTTTTTTCTTAACGAGCCGACCCGCGGTGTATCATACACCGCTATTAAGTTGTTGTTTTTTCTACTTTTCAGTAATTCATAATTTGTGAATTCGACAGTACCAATGCTGCCACTGAAAATATTTGCTTTTAAAACACTAACCCCCCCCCCCCTCCCGTGAGAGCAGCCTCCTCTTAGTTACCTCCTCTAAGTTTAAAATCGTTTCAAACTAAATTATCTGCCCCTAATAGCCGTCACCCATGATAGTAAAAATTTAGCGTGAACCACAGCTCACCAGACCATGTGAGGAGGGGGGGGTGGGGGAGGGTAGCGATAGAGAGGAAGAGAGGGGACTGCAAGGCGCGCTTGCAGCTTGTTTTCTAACGTCTCCCAGAAGAGAATTATATATATAGATTACTTCAATGAGCCGACCCGTGGCGTATCATACGTTGCTATTTAGTTTTTATTTTCTACTTTTCAGTAATTCATAATTTGTGAATTCGACAGTACTACTGCTGTCACTGAAAATATTTGCTTTAAACTTTAAAACACTATCAGTAAGTCGTTAAGGACGATACCCCCCCCCCCCCCGTGAAAGCAGTCTCCTCTTAGCTACCTCCCCTAAGTTTAAAATCGTTTCAAACTAAATTATCTGCCCCTAATAGCCGTCACTAAACCCGGCTTTACGATTGTAAACATTTAGCGTGAACCACAGCTCACCAGACTTCCTAGAGAGGAAGAGAGTGGACTGCAAGGCGCGCTTACAGCTTTCTAACGTCTCCAAGAAGAGAATTATATATATATTTTTCAGGCCCTATCTAAATTATAGTATCTATTGGAATTAAATCAATGAAATTCTATTTTGATCTAGATTAGATTTTAGATATAATCAAATCTAGATCAGCCTATAATACTAATAGGCCTACATTTGTCTTGAATTGTAGGCCTACTCGTTTTGGATTTTTGTTTCTTACAAATACAAACAGCTGAAGTCTACAATCTAGATATCTAGGCCTAATTGAAATAGATTTTTAATGGAATAGCTTTGCAATATTCAGAGTACAATATCATCTTTCCTTCTATCGTGATTTTTTTCTGTTTTTGGATTCATTTCGTCTTGTGTTACATTTTCTGTTGTAAGAATTGGGATGCTCCATCCCCTTCAACTTCATCGTCTTTGGTGCCAGAATCGCACACTAAACAATGATATAGCTTTAAAAACTAATTCAAAATACATTTTTAAAATGCAAACAACATTGCAACAAAACCATGCCATAATAAAAATGAAGCTTGTCTAGGCCATATAGTATTGACCAGTATGCTACATTTGCACATTGACTTTTTCACAATTTGCAACAGCTTTGAAATTATTTATCAAGTTTTTTTATGTCATTTATTTCAGGCCCTAAGTCAGTTTGCCCTTAAATTCTGTGTTTGGTGAACGATTATTAAGCCTAAACCTATACTTGAAGAATCAAGAACATGTTGAGATAAATAAGTAGGCTATAAATAGGGCCTGCTAAAAATTTATTTTACTAGCTATCCTGGCCAGGCCCTGCACTGGCCCCTTTGAAAAGCCTATATGTAAAGGACCATGAGTATTGTGTTTACTAAGCAGCATTGCCTGGTTAAGAAATATATTACTTTTCCAATGAAAATTAAATGTCTATATGCAAATATGGACATTTCAGAAAATCACACATAACCCTAACTTAGCTCTCAACTTAACCCAAACCACAACCAAACACAATAGCAAACATAATACAAACCAATATAAATTTTCTAAACAGAAATTTCAACTCCTTTATATTAGACTTCACACGCTAGACCGGCCCATATTACTCACACTTAGTTGCTTCACCTTGAACTAAATGAGCAGCGGAACCTTGGTTTATGACATTTGTCTTGATTGTACAGACTTATTTTCATATCTTATAATTGTACTATGTTATTTATTCTGCATTGTTATGTTATTCTTATTTGCTGTTTTGTTCTTGTATATACACTATTAATATTAGACACATACATTCGGCTGTAATGTTAGTGTCTTTTAATATCCATTATCAGTGACGACAGTATTATTGTGAATCATTTTTTACATTTGACCATCAATTCTATTTTTATCTACAACTACTACTTATGACATAATTCTCTTTGTATACTGTTCTCGATAGTTTCAACTTTGTAAGTTGTGTTACTTCTGATAAGATTATTTCTACTTAGTTTCATGTGATTTCATTCTCTCTGCCTGTAAAGCTTTTAATTTTGAGTTTTTTTACTTTATGTGCATGTGTTCACACAGAGTATAGATTTTATTCATTTTCCCCCTTACCTATTTTTTTTATAAGGGGGGGGGGTGTTAGTGTTATAAGTACTAGTCTGATGCATTACAATAACAGTAATAAAATCATAAGGGACTTGACCTCTAATTTTGATTTTGTTTAATTTATCACTTTCCCTTGGGTTGGTATTACGGGTCATAATGTCAAGCTCCAGTGGGGGGGGGGGGATTAGAAGTTTAAAAAAAAACGTGATGACACACTTTTGACATACTGTTAAAGACATACTGGAATAAAAAACAATATAGGCCTATTCAGTTTTTTTTTTTCAAAAGCTACCATCTTAATTTGACATCTTAAATTCAGGATTAGAGTTTTGTTCGTTTTAAAATTTAACTACTTCATTTTTCATGTAGGCGTCATCAGCATGCTTAAAAGTTGCAAAAAAGTGTTGTTAGTAAACTTGATTAGCTCAGTGTGTAATCCTAATTTGATACATGAAATGATTTAAAGTTATATATCTTATAGTATAAAATGGTTAGTCTAAACTGACTATGCTCAACCAGTTTCAAAGATAACTTAAAAATATGTATTGAATGTGTTAACAATATTGCACAATCCAATTTTGTAGTATCTGTTAAGTCTAATAAGAGTTTTGGGGGTCACATTTTCAACGCAGTTGAAAATCGAAAGCTAGGTGTTTTTTACCTGTGTCCTCCCACACATAATGGTTATTTGAGAAAGAGGCAACAGTACTGTATTAGGTTTAAACTATTTGAAGTTTATTATGATACAAATAATTTAATTAATTATGCTAATAGAAACTCGAGTATCTATCAGACTGTCAATTGTATTTGTAATTTTTTTAAGTTAACCTTTTAAAAAGAAATATAACACCATGTAACTAAGAAAAATGAATTAATTTTGATGATAGTTTCAAGTGTACCACAGTTAAATACTGTGTTCAATTTTTTAAAATATTATTTGTCAATGAGCAAATGTAAATTTTTAGTAACTTGATTCTCTCCCACTTCCATCTAGTATTGCACATGTTGGCACTAACCTATGAGAGATAGGTGAGGACAAATATGTCCAGGTACATTCCCATCTCCCTAGTCTGTTTTCAGTCAGGGTTTTTATATGATGAACTGTTTGCTTTATTTTGCATTAAAGTACAATGTTGCAGACATTTTTATTTTTTAAAAATGTATAGAATCTTGTACTTGATCATTATTTAAATAGATTATTTGGTGGTTCAACTGTTTTTGATTCACAATACACTATATCATATTGACTTAGTATGGTCAGGAAATGTAATTGCATATGTAAATGTGACACACTTGATAGCCGAGATCTGTTACATTTATTGACCCTTACTCTTGTACCTGAACCTGAGCTAGCAATGCTGGTCTAGCTAGTTGTGGGCCAAAGTTCACAGAGAGGCTACTAGGCTTGCAACACATGGTGCAAGATCCACCATATATTTCATTTCTAGAAAGTTCTAGAAAGTGACCTACTTCTGCTAAAAGTAAACAGCAGTCATGTTATCATGTCTTTTTAGGTTCTAGGTCAAAGGCAATCCCACCATAATTTAAAAAAAAATTCTACACTGTTTTGTATAGCAGATGATATTAACAAAGTCTCTTAAAATTTATTTACCTTCACTTTTGATAACTTTTTTTTACTTGAGTGTGAAAATCAGTGTCAACTTTATACTGAAATATTATGAACAAATCCTGGTCTAAGATACTGAAACTACCATATTTTTAATGGCTTTTTATGAGAGGACTAGATATTTGGGTTATCATTTGAATAACATTTTTTTTTAAAATCTACATAAGTAAATCTTAAGTTTTGGAGTAAAACTGTAAATATTCTTTTTTCTATTTAAAGCATCCAGGTGGAGAAGAGGTTTTATTAGAGCAAGCAGGTGTGTTTATTTTTCTTAGTAATTGAGCTAATTCTAGATTTAAGTATTACTGTTTTGTCAAGTATGTTTTTACTGCTGTTAAAATGATTCAAGTATTACCTATACATGTACATTTTTAAATGTTATAAAATAGGATTTACATTTCTCTTAATGAATATCCTAAAAATTTTATGGGAGCTTTAATTTTATTTCATTTTTAGGTGGTGATGCCACAGAAGCCTTTGAGGATGTTGGGCATTCTACAGATGCTAGAGATCTAATGAATGATTATTTTGTTGGTGATCTACATCCGGTAATGACATTCTTTTGTGTGTATTGTCTTGCTCTCTATGTTGTATAATTATTTTGGAAAATTATTTTTTAAGGTAACCATTATCATACCATAGTGTTATCAGTTTAACAATGTTTCACTTTTTTCTTTTTAGGATGACAGATCAAAAAAGACATATGCTGTAAGTTTTGATAAAATTTGTTTCTAACCTTTTTCAAGTGTATAATTAAAATGGTTATAATTTGTGATATATTACTAAGAGACAACCACAGCTGTTTTTATTCTATTTATTCCAGACAAACACAGGACCAACAGGGACAGATTCCACATCTAACAGGTATTTTAAAGAAATCACTTGTTCTTTCTAAAAGTTCTATCAAGAATTTACTGGAAAACTTTTCTAGTTCTGATTTGGGGCAGTTTTTACTCAATTATGTATCTTGAAACTTTATATTTCTAAGTAATTTTGTTACCCACTCTGAAATGTTTTCAAATCAAAATTAGCACTGCACATTTGTTTTGACATGGGAACAAGGTTTTAATGAAGCTAGTGATAAATCATATTCAAAGGGTGGTTTTCTGTCAGTTAGATTTTTATTTTGTTGTCTCTTAACTGTTAGGTTTTGTGATAAGAAACTGTTTCACTTTATTTCTGAATTCTTCTAAAAATGCTTCCCCCTCTTTACTTGTGTAGTAATGTTAGTTTGGTTTAGCAATTCATACATATAATGATTGTGTATTGACCTGCCTGCTTTAGTTGTTCCTCTTTGATTTTTAAAGTTCTTTGTGGAGCACATTATTTGCTTCATGTTAGATGATTGGTCCTTAAAAGATAAACTAGGAGTTTTTAAGTGTTTGCAGTTAAGTAGGTCATAGTATTTTTATAATGGTGGCTGTATGTTCATATATACCATACTTATGCTTTGTGTTAAATTGTAGAGTATGCTTGCTACTTACAGATAAATAATTCTAAATTGTCACAACTTGTAAAGAAAAAAATAGTCAAACTTAAATTTATACACTAATTTACTAAAGCACTACATTGCCATGAGGTTAGAATAATTAAAACACATTGTACTAGAGCCGCATGTTTGCCTACATGAGTTTTATTAAGCAAGATAAATGGTAATTGAGATATACTGAGATCATTGATTTATCTCTTATCAGATAGCCAAGAGAAGAACAGGGGTGGGGGTGCGGTTGGCTTTGTATGATTGATATTAGTTTCCTGCTATGGTGCAACCAGCTTATAGAATTTAAATAAAAAAGAAATGTAAACTTAAATAGTTCTAGTTTATTAATAGATTGTCTAACACAGCATTCATATAGCTTGAAATAGGAACTTGTAGGCATATTTAGTATTAAAAAAATCATCTTCAGTAGACAATATCACAAACTTATGATCCCTTGCAATAGTTTTGTTATTGTTTCTGTTTCATAAAACTAACCAGTTTCCTCCCTTATTATTTGCAGCTCCTCATGGACTGGATGGCTTTTGCCCATAGGTGTTGCCGTAGCAGCAGCTTTTGCCTATAAGTACATTGTATCTTCCTCAGCTTAGAGAACAGTAGCCTGTTTGTGATTTTTTTTTTTTCTCTGTTGGTTGTTGCTCTGTACATGAATTTTGTTGTAGTCAAAATGAATTATACAAAAACAAAAGAATGTTACTGTATACTGAGGTCTTATTTTCATTAAAATTTTTAAAACTATCTTAAACAGGAGATGTAAGTAAGAGGAGCAGATGGACATGTATAATATTTATGCATTGAACTGTTTTTGGTACTAAAATGACCAATGAGAATTTTTTATTTTTCAAGAAAAGTTTTCACCTGACATTCTATCCCATGAACTATTGTTTCCTTAGGTGAATTGTGTACCACTGTTCTGAGTTTTTACTTGAGAAAAATAACTTTTTGTAAGCTATTAAAAACATGTGATACAGAAAGTTTTTTGTTTTTCATTTTAATGGATTGAAAATCTATTTTGAAAGAGGCAAATTTCTAATACTAATACTTTAAAAACTGCTGAGCAAAGAGATTTCATCTGTCCCAAATTTGGATTATGTATAAATTTGATCTGCCTTCAATTTATTTTAGTTACAATGTATGGCATTACATCACTGGAGTAAATGATATAAAAATAACGTTACTATCTTAAAGAAATAGAAGGTTGCAAACAGAATTTAAAAGGTAGAACTAGAACACTTGCTACCTTACCATGAGTTCAGGAATTTCCAGATACCACCTCCAGGTGTAATGTAGCCTACTATTTGTGATAGCTTAAGTCATTGTGTTAAAATAAACAGGAGATCCAACCAATTAACACTTTCAAAACAAAGGATTAGTAATAGTATTTTTAATATCATTGTCAGATGAAAATTTACAGTAAGAAATAGAAACAGTGGCTTTTTAAACACGCTCCTAGTACAGTAACTGAATAAGGAAAAATTGATGTAATTTCTTGATCATGGAACTGTGCGCAGACCGTTCATATACGACTTCAAAATGTGGTCAACTGCTATTTCTAACAAGTATAATTAAAGATACAAATATCATAATAAATTTGTGAATTTGGCTAAAGGTGGTGTCAGTTGAGTGGAAAAAATACAAGCCAGCTTGCAAAGCTTTAACAGACTTAAACTGAACATTCATGCCACCAATTCATTTATCATGAATCATTACAATGATTTGAGGGGGTGCCCTGCCAAGCAGCCCCACTTGCCCATACACATAATAAAAAAATCAGGTTCATTGAACATTCCCAGCCTTGTTGGAGGTATGCTGACATTGTTAGAACAGATTATTGAAACATTTTTTGGTACTGAATTCTGGTTTTGAATTAAATTAAGGGCAACCACAAGTTATCAGATAGAAAATTCTACTAAGTTTATAGATTCAAACAAAACAGTTCCTGCAATTATCTACGCAGCTGTACACTGTCAATATACTTGTCATACAAAATATTGCATGTATTGGTTGACAAGCCAAAAATGAACATTTAAGTAGGACAGCGTTGAAGTTTCCAGTCCATTATGGATAATTGGAATGGTGTCAGTTGAATTATATGGGCAACTCTGGAATTCTAATTAAGTATTTAACAATTTTTAAGAGGTGCATTATCAACAAATATATTCAGGATTTTGTTTAGATTAATGTTAAAATTGCATTATTTAATAAACCTCTAGGGGTTTTTGTCAAGGTGGAGTCTCACAGAGTGGGGTAGGTATATTGATCAGGCACCCTCAACTTAGTACTGGCAGTAATGAGTAATAATATTGTACTGTGGGCTTACAGGAGACTGCTATTCACATGCAATAATTTTTTTCTAATAAAAAATTTATTCATCAGAATACATTAACATACCATGTTACAATCATAACATTAAAATTTTAAAATGGTCAACAATACTTCATAAAACAATTTTACAAACAAGATTTGGACTGTGGAGATAAAGGGGCTAACAATACAAAGCTTCAGCACTAAAAGTAGTCTATAGGGTTAGATAAACAGGTGTTGGAATGTTATGATTTAGAGGGTCGACATGGGTTGGCATAGCTCATGGTTGCTAAATTGAAAAGTCCTGAGTTCAAACCTCAGGCACATGAGGCTCAATAGCTGGGGAAAACTGCTCTTCTAGAAGAGAAATACTCAAAAACAAACAACTGTTGCCTTGTTTAGTTTGTTCTTGGATGGATAAAGGCTATGGAAGCAAATCCAGAAAGAAAAGCGTGCTGAAGTCTGAGTCAACTGCCTATATCAATATAACACACAACAGCTTGACATATACTGAATTGTGTTGGAGGAAAATACTAACATTACAATTATGAATGAAGAAGAAGTTAGATAGCTGTGAAAGCTGTAAGCTTATAGACAGCGGAATGGGTATTGAAGTAAAACCAGGTGACTCAAGACTTCTTTCTCAGTATTCGCTCTCATGTACACTAGTGCGATTAAACCCAGAGTTTGTCCAAATAAGTTATACTATGGATAACATTTATGTTACACAATTTGTCCAAACTCTTAGGGTTAAGTCTACATAAGCAGCTGGTCTGATTAACTGGTGATCCTTAAGATACTGGAGATCTTTCAGATTACTAAATCTTATATTGTGTACTATGCAAGTACAAGATTACACCTTATCATTAATTTTAATGGATTAATAACAAATATTTTAAAAACCTTGAAATGAAAACTTTTAGTATGCATTATTTTGAAACAAATGGTGCAATTCTCAAACTTTGTAATCAATAGTGATCACAGAATCAAAACAACTACATGCACTCTATGTTGCACCACTATTTTCAACCCACCAGAACTATTTACACCAAATATAAATGGATGGCCTATGGTAAAAATCATTAATTAAACATGAATCTGAGCTTGCTTGTTAAATTGATTATAAAATTCAGCAAACATTTCATTAATAAAAAATTTTAAATGCATGAAAATGAAAACAAATGAAATCAGTCAGTACTAGCTCTTTAAAAAGGGAAATAGAGAAACAATATTAGGGTATTGGTAATCATGAGGTTACATTATATAAAATTAGCCTATTTTCGCATGGAAATTATTTAAATTTCATTCACACCACATAGTTTAATTTTAGAGACGAACAATTCTATTATATATCATACTGTGTTGATTCCCGATCTCATAGTTGAGAACCATCAGTTTAAAAAGCATGGAAAAAATGAAAGACTGTATATTAAGGAAAGTATAAATAGCTATACAGGAAGATATGTATATCTTTATATAACAGCTTATGATTTAAAAATTGTAAATGCCAGTATCAATCAAAAGAACCATAACTAAGCATATTTTACATTAATTACATAAGTATCAATAATCATACTATTTAAAACAAGTTTTAAAAATGTTTTTTTTTACATGAACCACTTTCTACAGCAATTAGGCCTACTGCTCTTATTGCTGTGGTTGTTTAGTTGTTCTCTTCATACTTTGCAAAATGCAGTATTGAACTTTGAAATTTTTTATTGAATCTGGAAGTATCTAAAGACCTGTAGAAATTTTTAAAAATTATTAACTTAAAAAACATAAATTAAATTGTGCACATAATTGTATATTTTGATGTTTCATTTATGTCCTTTTGAAACTGTTTGTATGCATACATCATGGTTGTTAAATTAATTTTTCTGAACATAATATAAAAAACCCCATGGGGTGGGAGAGCACAGGATTGGTAACATGAAACTTCTGAGTTCGGTTCGTCAACCACTGGGCAGGTGAGGCTAACTAGCTAGGGATGGAAAACCATTTAAGAGAGAAAAAACCAAAAATGCAAATCAACTTTAGGCTATAAGTTAGGCTTGATGAAAATAAATAGAAACGTAGCCATAAACTAAAAAAAAATATTTTGAAGATCTCTAGATTTGCAAGTTCTATCACAATATGCTGAAAGGATTTTCGTCAATTTGTTTAAGTCCATTAAGAAAAAAATATATACATATAAGCACCAACTGACCTTGATTTCATGATCAGCAGAACCAGAAAGAAGATAATCTCCATGGAGAGTTAAAGTGTTAACGCTGCTTTGGTGGCGTGACAATGTTTGAATAGGTAATAATTTCTCCAAGCTCCACATCTGATTTAAAACAGTTTTATAACAACAGGTTGGGCATAATTAACACAATACTAGTGGTTTTCTTTCCATTATGAAATGCAATGTAATATTTTAAGAAAGTATTTTAACAAGCATTCTCATTCAGTTTAGATATTAAATAGCATATAAAACAGCATAATGTTTTTGAAAGCTTATAACAAAAATGCAATGAAAAAGAAGACCTGCTTAAGTTTATTTATATTACACACTTTATGCCTGGGAGAATATAGTTCATGAAAAAGCTTACCTAATGTAAGGGCACTTTATTTTCTCACCAAATGTAAGGCCACTTTATTTTCTCACCAAATGTAAGGCCACTTTATTTTCTCACCAAATGTAAGGCCACTTTATTTTCTCACCAAATGTAAGGCCACTTTATTTTCTCACCAAATGTAAGGCCACTTTTCTCACCAAATGTAAGGCCACTTTATTTTCTCACCAAATGTAAGGCCACTTTATTTTCTCACCAAATGTAAGGCCACTTTATTTTCTCACCAAATGTAAGGCCACTTACTTGTATATTACAATCATGTGAAGCAGAGAACAAAAATCTTCCAGAGGGAGAGATGACCAGAGTAGTAACAGTTCCTATGTGACCAAGAAGGTTCTGAATGAACTGATAGTTCTCAACATTAAACAGCTGTATATTCTGGTTGTAAGTACCTGTTGGCATAAAAACATTGATTTAGAGATCGTTCAATAGGAACATGAAAAAGTGTTTCAAATTATTAAGATGTTGATGTAGAAATTATATTTGTGTGTATCATCTATCTTTATAAATTTTTAAACAAAGTTTAAATATGTTTAAAATTTTCTCAAACAAAAACTGTCAAACAATTATCTTCATTTTTTAAAATGTATATATCACGTATGTCATCTATACAAAATACTTAAGAAAATTCAATCCAAATGATACTTTGAAAGTAACAAAAATATTTCCAATATCCATTCTCAACTTAAATTTGTGATTATCATGTATTTTTAATATAAAAAATTAAATTTACAACAAGAAAAATTATACAAAATTGAAATATTTATGTTCCACATATTCCACTCATTTCAAAAGTTGAAAAAATAAAAATTTACCTGAGTTACCTGCGATAAGGTATGTCTTGTTGACAGCAAGTGAGTAAACTGACCCACACTCATGCTCTATTGTGGCAAGTTTTTGGAAGTTCTCACAAGTGTCCCACACATTTATTGCGTTGTGAGAACCACTGAAAAGTTTATCCTACAACACACAATCAATTCTAGAATAAGATTTAAAAACATAAAACTACTTCAATAAAACTTCTATGGACCTTTTTTAAAAAGTTATACAGTTTTAGCTGGATTAATAAAATAGCACCAAAGAGAAAGTTACATAATTTTTAACTTGAAACTGACTTTTTATATATTTACTAAAAAAGAAGCTTAATAATAATAACTGATGTAAAACAATTAATGGAAAAGATCAAGTAAAAAAAAATCTTGATGACAAATATCAACAATAGACTAGGTGTTAAATGGTTCCTTCATAGACTTGTAATTATCATTACAACAGTAATACATTTTTTAAAAATTCACCACTACAAGCTAGTGGCCATCATCCAATTTGTAGTTTCTGTAAGATCTTTGGAGTATTAAAACCATAAAACAAAGCTGTGAGGATCAAAACCTCCATGAAGAAAGCATTGCCTCCATTGGTTTTTGTTCTGTATTTTTTAGAACCTAAAAACTGTGGGGTTAAAACTTTCCACCAAGAAAGTATCAGCTCACTTTGTTTGTGCTTAAAGCTAAGGCTCTAACCCAGTGGTTCATGCCAGGTAATGTTGCTTTCAGTTCCAGTGATTTCAGATCCCAAACCTGAATCAAATGACAGTGAAAAAAAACTGCAACACAAATGTTTAGACATCAATTTAGAATTTTAAAAAGTCGAATCATTAAATAATGTAAGCTTTGAATTCAGATAATAATTGAAATAATTGAAAGTGGCAGATGTTATGTAATTATTACTTTTATAGTTGTTTTTTTTTCTTTTTTCAACGAACTGATTTATTTATCACCTGTTTATAATTGTTTGCAAATGTTCTTATAAACTTAGGATTTTGAATTTTCATTCAAGAAAGATAAGTAGTAACAAACTGAAATTAACCAGCTTAGTTCCTTACCTTTATGACAGCAAAGGATGAAGTAAACAACAAGTTAATGACTACAACCATGGAACAGATTATTTCATTATGAGCTTCCTGTGAAAAATATATTCTATAAATAGAATTTTGTTGAATAAAGTGATTGATTGTGATATTCAAAATATTGAATAGAGTTGAACATAATAAAATTAAAACATAAATCATATATCTATGCTAGTTTCCTTACATTAATAAATAATCAAATCAGTTTAAGACAAGTTACAGTTACCTTCATTAAAAAAAACAAAAATTGAGAGTCATGCAATTATTGCCAAATATATTTGAGAAGTTGTGCAACTTAAAAAAATTAAAACGGGGTTAAGTATGTCTTAAAATAACAAAGGTAAGAACAAGTACCTCTATGATATTAGTCTGTTCACTTGTCTCAATATCCCATAATGCAATAGACTTGTCAGCTCCTCCAGACACTATAGTGTTCCCCCACGCAGCTAGACAATAAATCTGAGGAATTTCAGGATACATGAGCAGCAGCAAGGGAAATTGCCCATTGCATCTGTATGACAATAAATAAGTAAATTCGTCAAACTCATCAAGCTTTACCTCCCCAATTAGGCCTGACAATTCATTACACACAGAGAAGAAAGAGCAAACACCTCAGCACCTTACCACTGCATGTTCTTCACTTAACCTAGACTTTAAGGTGGGTTACATTAAACCTAATTTGGACTGCCCTTACTTCTACTTCTTTATCCCATTTGGCTATGATAGAAATACTGCATCAAATTAGCTACTGCTAATTATCTTCATTTCACTTAATTATACACATAACTAGAAAAAACCGTAATCAAACTAATAAGAAATGTATGCAGCTTGTCAAACAAACCATCAAAAACAAACTTCAATTCCATTTTTTAAAATATGTAATGGTAATAACCAACGTTTCCTCTAAGGGGAGAAAGGTATTGCGCACTTGTGTGTATTTTTTGAGTGGTGTTTAAAAAGTTTTATATAAGAATATATGTATTTTACAAAAATGACTGTGGACGCATAGGTTAGAGGGAACATTGGTAATAACTAAACAAACTTTTCCCATAAAATAAGATGTAGAAGATTTAGATACAAGCAGTGAGAGTAAAATTAACCTACAACTCCAGTGTGAGCCTTGATATTGTTGATGCATCCTTTGGCCAGCTGCTCCAGGCTCCACACTTTGATTATACCATTGGCATCACCACTGAAAATTTTTCCCTTGCGTGTTGTCATACACCACACAACATCTTTATGGCCCCTGTGGCATAAGGGAATTAATCAAATATAACTTCATTTTTAAGGGATGGGTGATTGAATGGTAGAGCACCTGAGCTCAGGGTTCTGAGCTAGTTTTGGTACAGTATATATTTCTATTGTGGTCATAGAAAAAATAAATTGGGAATGATGTCCCCTAAACATTCTCATATATTTGTATGTATATATTTGTATGCTTGGATGGCCCTTGCAGTGCAATTGGGGTGTAAAAATATAGAAGTTTGTGACAAAACTGCACATTTTTTTGAGAAAACATATAAGAGCTATAAGTTCTTAGAATATGCTGCTTTAAAAATTATAATATAAAATCATGCAGTTCTTATGATTTTTGAGAAATTGGAAAAAGCTTAACAACTTATATCGGTCATCAAAAATCTCACAAAATTTGAAAAATAAAAACCCAGTGCATAAGATCTTATACTTGTATCTAAAATTATGTCCACCTAACTGAAACACTACTCTTTAAATAAGGCTGTATTGAACAGATCATGATAGTTGTGGGTTTTAAAGTAAATTTTGTAAAGACTATTGCGCCCTTTTATCTTTCTTTCAATTAAACCTTTTCTTTGTTTTATTTTACTCTTTACATTTTTCTTTCTTCCTGCCTAACCTATGCTGTAAAAGAAGACAAAACATTAAATACACTTATTTGTAGGTTGAGGTGGGGTTGAGGAAAAAATACCTTTATAACCAATAGGGCTTAAATTACCTTAAGGTTCCAATACATTTAAACTGAAATGGCATCTCCCATTTTTCAAAGCTGTGACCAGGACTTGAGCCCCTAAGTAACAGAGCTGAGGTTGGACTGTTAATTCCAGGGCTACCTGGGTTTTATATGATCAGTAAAAAACTTTTAAGAAATATGAAATTTGCATACGTCGTTAAGTTAAATTTCAATGCAATCTTAAAGAACATAATCAAAGAGAATAAATATATCAGTAGTGTCTACTGATTCAATGAAACTTTTTTTTTTTTTGTGTAAAGGTTTTTACCTCATCATATTTTAGAAATCACTATTTATATTAATATACCCTTCCTTTCCTTTAACAATACATTTATAGCTTTTATTACACAAATACTGAAGTCTATTTAGGCTGCAAATTGAATGTATTACTTTTAAATAATGCAAAAGCTAATATGATACACAATATACAAAAGATATCTTTTAATATACGATTTAACTTGCCTCCATCTAATGATACCTGTGATGCTGACATTGGTCGCCGAACATTTACAATATTTAACTGGTCAACTCTAGATGTAAGAACTTCTAATTTCAGTTGAAGACTCTGTATAAAGCTGGAAAAAAGGGTTAAACAATATAAATCACAATATAGTAAGGAAACATTCATAGCCAATTTAAAAAGAAGTTAGATAAAAAATGTAATAAAGTTCGTAATCTATCAAAAACTAGGTTTAATTATGAATGCAGTTATAAATGTATGTCATCCCACTAAATTAAACAATAAAATTAGTACAATTAGACACCAAAATCAGTATTAAGAAAATATTAACCGCCTATAAATAAATGTAAATGAATGGTTTATATAGAATAAAAAAGGTATTATTTTAAAATTTGTTTTGCAGACTGACTTAGTATTATAATAAATAACATTTACTTCCAGTGTTTTTGAAGTTGTGTTGCCATTTGACTTTTCTCAGCTTCTAGTTCAGCTACTCTACTCGCCAGCTTTACATTTTCAGCCTTGGTTCTCTGAACATCCAGAGCTAGCTCATCAACTTCCTTATTTACATTACCAGCATGTTCTTCCTTTTGCCTAAATGTACACACTAAGCTGTGGTCTGTAACTTTTCTTGCTGTGCTTTGGAAGTTGCAACCTAAAAATATATATTTCAGCCATGTGTTAATTTTAATTCTTAATGAAAATTCTTATTATGTTTGTTATAAAAATACTGACAAGATTATACAGAATGGTATCAAAGTTATTTTTTACTCTTGTATCTCTATTGAGATGAGAACTAGAGTATTGCAGTGGTTTATTTCTTAATACCTACCTATCAAGTTATTTTCCAAATATTTAACTAATCACATAAGTTCTTTATTATCTTACCATCATTTTTGAAAGGACAGGGTACATAACTACACTCTAGTAGATGCTTATCTAAGTGTTGTCTCTGTAGAGATTTACACTGATCTGAGTTTGGGCAGGGTATAACAGCAAATATACAAGAATTTTCATGTTCATTGCGCTTTCCAAGAGTTAAAATCTGTGGACACAGTGATGGATCAAGTCCCCACTCTCCATCCTCTTGTTTGATTAACCCATGGCGACAGTAGATCTGGAGATCTTCTATTTGTCCGACAACCAGCCTGTACAAAAAATTAAATTTATATCAACACTATATTATATCAATATATACATGTAAAAAAAGACACTCAAATGAATACTTAAATCTATTATTGTATAGCTGGGGCCAAAGAGTAAAATACTGGTGACTGGTTGTTATTCAGACTTTAAAATCCAATTGTAGATGTTAACTATATGAAACTTATTGAAAAACTGCTTTTTAAATTATATTTCACTTTTTAGATCCTACATACATTTAATAAAGTTCACACTCTTTTTGGAAAACTTACCTGTTTATAACATACTGATTTGTATCACAATGAATGTTATCAATTGGGCAATGGGTAATCGAGAATATACAACTTTTACAAAATGTGTGTCCACACTTCACATTTATTACTGGATCACGATAGAGACCCCCACAGATGGGACACAGGAGATAGGATGAAGGTGTTTGGATGTATTTTGTTGGTATTGTCTCCACACTTTCTGTGCTTGTACTTGACATTTTATTTATATTGAAGTTTTAAATAATTCATAGGCTGAAAATGAAAATAAAAATGGTATGAAATTTGTAAAACCATAAAGTTTTAATTCTAGCCTATCAGGCTAAGTAATAACATAGTTCAACCTTATAGTCAAGACCTGAACTCTAAAGAGTGCTATAGATTTATTTCCATTGCTTATGGTGTAGGACTCAAATTAAATATCAACAAACTAAAATTATAAAACAGAATGCTACTAGCAAACACCCCCTCCCCCCATTAAAATAAATAACACACAAGTAGATCAAGTTAAAGATTTCTATGCAGAACGCATGAAGATTGAAGAACATTCCCTCCAAGATCAAATTCAGACTTTTTAAAAACAATGTCTTTATCAACTTTCTGTACAGCAGTATTTTCTGTAAAGCAACCACTGCTACTAACTGATCACTAGATCTTCCAAATTAAGTGTTTGCAAAGGATAACAAGTACCCACTGGCCCAACACTCTTATTCCCCAAGGAACAAAAAGGAAAAATGATGATGATGATGGCCCAACAGCATCTAAAAAAAATGTTATTTAGTGAAATAGCAATAATTTCAGGAGTGAGTGGAAAAGGGGGGTGTTGGATGTGCTATGTACAATATGAATATACTGAGGATGAAGCCAGAAGGCATTCTCTACTTCACCTGCCCAGAAGAATCAGGCAGCTATGTGCACATTACCGTGCTGAAGTGGTTTACTTTAGATTTATGACTATGTAGTTCTTTCATTCAATGTATTTATATAAAACATTGCTTTAGAAACATTTTCATATTTAAGCAGCACACAATTTTTTTGGAGTTAGGGGAAGCAGCCAAGTATTGTTTTTATTCAGTTCAACAACATATACCAGTTCTAGACTCTATATATATTATAATATTAATATTTTAAATTTTAATATTATTATTATTCTAGCTAAACTCTGCAAATATGAACAAAATACAACAGCAAGTAAAATAACTATGCTCATTTATTCAGGTCTGGTGATCCATGACTTGTCACAAATGGCCAATGCAAAAACAAGGGGATTCTACTTCTGACTACTTCTACAACTACAACTTACTACAAGGCTACAAACAAGGGGAATAGCTTAAGCTAGCTTAGCTACTCTACCAGTGGACTACCACTACTCAGAAGTTAGATTGAACAAAATTAGATCTAGATCTAGATTCTATAAAATACGCACACCTGTTAAGTAATTTTACACATAGTAAAATTAAAGTAGTAGTCTAACTACTAGACTATTAAGTTATTAACTATAAGTAAATTGGGTAACAATGATTCATGCATCGTCTTATTTTTTTATTTTAGTCCAAGCAGGAACTCGTTTTTCGTTTTGTTTTCTTATTCCAAAATTTTCTTAGCTTAGTTAGGAAAAAAGTCCAATAGCTAATGCAACAAAACAATCTTTTCTCAATCAAAATGTTGGTACACCACTTTAGTGAATCACTAATAAATATTAGAATCGACATTTTTTTATCAAACGAACTTTTTATCAACAATAATGTCAGGAGCCCATTTATCTTGAGTCAATATGTCGGGAGCCAATATGTCTTGAGCCTATTTGTCGGGAGCCCATGTGTGGGGAGCCTATATGACTTTATTAACACTATATGTCATTGTCATATGTCGCGATTCAACATGACGGGCCCTTTTGACGAGACTATTTTGACATTTGTCGGTGGCCAATTTGTCGTTTTGATGGGGGGCGTTTTTGCTACGGGCCGTTTTGACGGTGCACCATAATATGTAGATTCTATCTCAGGTTAGTGGATCGAACCTAGTAATGCCGTACGTTGCGTGAAATTAACAATAACTGACACAACTCCAGTTCACAGATATAGGCCAGTAACAGTTTATTTATAGATCTATATGTGCACGCATCAAACTATTCCTAACTCTTAACTGCTTTTTAACATTCGACTTTATCTTAAAAAGCTAAACCGATCAACTCAGACATTGCGTCAGCACATGGGGTCATCACATAGGGTCTATTAGGTCTATTGATTTAATGCAAATTACAAAAGAGTCTTTTAAATGTAAAATGACTTAAATAAAATGCAGTTAGACACTACTTTTTAATGTTTTCTGACCCCTCTTTAACCCCCCCCCCCATTTAATATGGTGACGTATGAAGGATTTCCTCCCCCCCCCCCCCCAATTTCTCATTTTTGACTGCTACTAGCTACTCTAAAGCTAAACGCTCTACGTAGCTTATTCCAAACTTTGAAAAGTGAAAAGCCGACAACGAAGAGAATCTTTAGGCCTAACTAATCTCTCATACTATTTTATTTAGATCTATTTGAATTTAAAAGTTTGTTTAAATGATGGAGAAGGGTATGAAAATAGCCGATAAACATGGAGAGTCCCCCAACTCAAGCCAAGGATCATGCCAATTAATCTGTTTACAAAAGACGCACCCATCAATTTCTCTTCCAGACAGAGTGGCGGTTATCGTTGGAAGAAGCCCTGACACAAAAATCACAGATCCAAGATGTTCTCGAAATCAAGGCATTAGATTATGATTTAAAATTATTACATTATTAATATAGGATAGTCTAAGACTCTAAGGATAGGCCTAGATCACCATTGAGCTCGCTTTTCCTTCCATATCACTGATATTACTAAAAAAGAGTGTCAACTTTACACTTTACTCACACTGCTTTACAGCTTTCTTACATTCATAAAACCCTATTGTTGATAATAGTTATATTAGTTTTAATATATTTATATATAGAATTTAGATCTAACTATAAATATAAGAAAAAAATTCAAGATAAAGCTAGAAATTTAAATTTAGTAGGCCCTATTAGTTTCAGTGGAAAACAATCCAACTCCTCTAGCTAACTCTTTTGGTTTTGGGATAAAATACTCCAAAATACTTGTATATGCTTCTACCTAGCCTAATTAGTATACTTACTAATAAACTGGAGTTTATTCATAGCCTAATGAATAGTGATTATTATATATTGCTAGCTGCATACCCGTGCTGGGCCTTGGGGAATCTTTTTAAATGTACCAATTTGGGAACAGAACCAAACTCAAAAGGAAATGCAAACACAAACTAAAACACAATGCAAACACAAACAAAAAAAAACACAAATGCTAACGAAACAAGTAAACAAACACATAAGAAAACACAACACAAACACAAAAGAAAACGTGCTAAAAACATATATTTAAATTTCTATGCGCATATCAGACTACCATGTTAAGGAATAATTTTTATCATTTATATTTTTATTGTAGTTGAATTAACTGCCGATTGGAAAAACCGTAAAGTGAAGGTCAAGCAGCTTGGAGGAAATCCTTCATCTGTTGATGGAAAAGATGTTTGTCAAAATGAAGAAGCCATCATGACTAAAGATTCAACTTTATTTATTCTCTCAGGTAAAATAAGCTGATTAGCAATATATTTTTAAAAACTATGTGTCTGAACTCACCTGAAGCTGAAAAATATATTGAATGCCTGCTTTGTTCTTATTTATAATTTTGTTTTAGAGTTTTTTTTCCAATCTAATTACAACTACTTTTTTAGGTCAGTATCCTCATCAAGTTACTTTTACCAGTACAAGAAGTCAAAAAAGCTCTACAAAACAGACCTCTTCAGTGTCAGAAGTTGAAAAGGCCAAATCTGTGGATAAAATTGAAAACCACTCAAAACCATCTAAACGGCCTAGTTCTGAAATAAATTTAAGTGATAGTAAAAAACCAAAACTTGAAAGTCCAAGCTCAAATGAAAATAAAAAGAAATCTCATAAAAGTAAAAAGTCTGAAGCACTAGACCATGTAGTTTGTGAAGAGGAGGATGAGGAAGCAAAAATAGCTGCTGCCAAGCTTTCTCAATTGAAACATAAAGTTCATTCAGAAAAAAACCATCAACATAGGGTGGAAGCCAAAAAAGAGAAAGAGTCTTCTTTAAATACATCATCTTCTTCATCTGGAAAAGTTTCATCACCTCCAAAGCCAGCAGCAGAAGACTCTTGGAGTAGCCATGAACAACTTTTTGTTTTTACATCCAAAGGAGTGACGTCAAGAAGTAAGGTATTGTATAAAATAGTGATTAAAAAAAAGATTTCTCCAAATGTGATGTTGTATACGTTTGTAGCAATTTGATATTGGGGGGGGGGGGGGGGGGGGGGTGAACACATGATGCATATTATTCATTTTTATCATAATGTATGAACAAAAATGATGATAAAGAATTAATGCAAGAGATGTGTTAATGGGGGGAGAGGGTGAGGATTAAATTAAAATTAGCTCTTTTTTCCAGTATAGTTTATCAATGTTAAGAGTTTAAGATAACAGGATTATTCTTTTCTCAAATACCTGTCATACTGTTTAATCAGTTTTATAATAATACAACAAAAATAATTTTGACAGATAGCCTCATTTGATTTAGATGGAACAATAATAGTTACAAAGTCTGGTAAAACATTCCCTACTGATTCCACTGACTGGAAGTAAGTAATTTTCTTTAAGCTTGAATGATCACATCATCAAACAATATACTTTTTGTAATTTGGGTCTTTTTTTTTTACAATTAAAAAGTTGTATACAGTAATATGATAATGAAACATTGCAAACACTACTGTACTACAAAAATGAGAACTTTATTTTTCTTTGTTTCTTTTTTTCTGATAATTCATTCATGGTTTTCAATGAAATGTCAAATTTGAAAAAGAATATGTATGAAGACATACATTTTACAATAACCATGACTAATTTTACTTTACAACTATTGTTTTACGTTAAATTTGCTTATAATAATTTATAACAACTTTTGCATTTCAAATAAGTTTTTATCTTACTAGTCTTAATTTTGAACAAGTTGAATAATACCTTAAAAAAAATAATACTTTATCTAAGAAGCCAAACTTCTTGTGACATGAAATTTTTTGTCCATAGAATTATCTACCCTGAGGTGTTCAATGAATTAAAAAGACTGCATGTAGAAAAATATAAAATAGTATTTTTCACAAACCAGGTAAATACATCAAAACTTAAAATAAGATGAAAATCAATTTAAACCCTAATTAAATTGTAATAAAACAGTGTATTAAAAAAATTCCCTTATTTTCTGTTAAACATTTAGCTTGGTGTTAGCAAAGGCAAAACAAAAATTGAGGATTTAAAAGAAAAAGTACAGAATGTTGTAAGCAAATTACAAGTTCCTGTACAAGTTTTTATAGCTACCCATGATGGAGAGTACAGAAAACCAAATGATGGGATGTGGGAAAAATTAAAATCTGGAGTAAGAAGTTTATTTTTTTATGTGATTACTGATTATCATTATGTTTTAATTGGTTCAAGAAGCAGTTAATTTTATGTGTGGATAAATTAATGTTTTTGTTTTCATTTTCAGTATAACAACAAGCTGGATATTGATGTTAAATCTAGTTTTTATGTTGGAGGTAAGTAAAGTATGAAATGTTAAAGTTTGATTGATTTATCTTTCAATTAACATTGTTTTTGTTGAAATAAATCTCAGGCGTAGTGTGTTGGTATAATAAATTAACATGACTTTGGTAAGTCCTGTTTTGGAACATGTTTGCATATATGTCAAAGCAAGTAGAGAAGTTAAGGACATTTTTTTGGGGTTTTAAAAATCCCCACAGCTCCAACCCAGCTCTGTTGTAGTAATGGTTTGGTAAATGTTTGTCACAAGATACTTTACTACTCATCCATAGTTGATAAGGATTACAGTTTTCATATGCCATAATCAAGAAATGTATTATTTTTATTACCTAATAATTTACAAAATCGAAATATTTAATTAAAATAGTTTGAATTGCATTATGTATACATGTACAAAAGAAATAAATGGAGTTATTCTAACCTAGTAAATTTTTTTTTTTTTAAATTTTTTTTAGATGCTGCGGGAAGACCAAAAGACTGGGCACCTAAGAAGAAGAAAGATTTCTCAAATAGTGATAGACTGGTAGGTTTAAGTTTAGGGTAATAAAAATGGCATTTTTTAAGCAGTAATTAATACTTCTATTTATTTGATATTTTTATTTTGATACTATTGGTTAATTTTACAAAATTATAAAAACATTTTTTAAAATTCTTATTTTATGATTTTATTTCTATACAGTTTGCACTGAATATTGGTTTATCATTTAAAACACCTGAAGAGTTTTTTCTAAATCAGAAGCCAGCACCATTTAACATGCCTGAGTTTGATCCTGTAAGATTTTTATCTCTGTTTATAACTGTGTTTTTTTCCTATTAACAGGTTCTTGTAAAGTGAATTGTGCTGTAGACTTGTTATAAGCTATTAGTTTACTATTGTCACATTGTCTTTCTCTTCTGTCTGTCAGTCAGTTTGTGGGTGGGTGAAACTTTGGTCAAATCTTGTAACTAATTTTTGACTCAAATCAAATTCAGATACATTTTTTTCCAATGACAAATGTAAGATAATTTAATTTTCAATCAAATAAGATAATAAATTAGTCAATAAAAGTTAATATAAAGATAATTCTATAACAAAGGGGAGCTAATAGGATCAAATACAAGCAATCATTCTGGTGGCTTGTGTTCACAGCTGATTTTACATCTGAGAGCTGTCCACAAACATTGATAAAAAGTAAAGTTCCCCTTTCAAACTAGACAGTTTATAGTGGAGATGAAACAGAGTTCATATATTTCTTGACCGTAGCAAATGAAGGGATAATGTGGTCAGCACTATGTCTTGCCACCTTTACTCTCCCTAACGTGAGTCAGGTGCCCATCAGTGCTGGGTGGAATCAAAAAAGTGCTGAAGCTAAACTAACGGGTTAGTCGTCAAGCACTTGACCACCTACAGCTAAAGGGGCAGATAATTGCCATTTAAAGTTAAAATAGCAAGCTGCTTATCAGTTTTTGAAGCAAATAGTTTTAGGGATGATGGGTTAATTAAGAAGAAATTGAATGGTAAGGGTAAATGTGTTACTAATTGTTTTTGTTTTAAAAACTTTAATATAGAGTTACTATTTGAATTTTTAAAATTACTGAAAATAAAATATAAAACATGTAAATAAGCTTTTAAAAGTTTGTTAAAGGATTTTTAAAATATTTGTTATATTATCTTATAATAAAACATAATACTGTTAAAAGATTTAAAAATTGTATATATGCATAATTTTTTTTCTCCATCTATTTAAAATTCATTAGAGAACATTGAGAAATGATACTCCTCTCATTTCTAGCAAAAGCCAGCTCACAAAGAGTGGAAAAGAGGTATTTATAAGTTTAGTTGTAAGGAGATCACAGACTTCATTTTTTTTAAATTTCTCAAGCTATAAAGCCAGTTTTTGTTACTTGATATAATGACTTGTAATAGTTTCTTCAACAAGAAAGCTGAAAAAAGAAGGCAAATTTATGTATCAAATGTATAACACTATTGGAAGAGTTGATGTAATCAGTCAAACCATTAGGAGACAAAGAGCTGAATACATAGATGGATAGGGTTTAGTCCAATATTTATTTTAAAGAGGGGTAAATGACAGGGGTGTTATGTCCTAACCCCCCCCCCCCCCCCCAGTTGAATTTTTAATAATAAACCAACATTGTAAGTTGTATAAGTTAACAGTTTAATTTTGCTTATTCTTCTTATTCTTAATAGTTTTCTTAATACAGTTTCTTCTATATTGCAGATAATTGTGCTAGTAGGACTACCCTCAAGTAAGTATTTGTTCTAGGTTTTTTATCTAAATGTTAATTTTGCAATCTCTGCATTTCCAGGGTGTATAGTATGTATTAAATGAAATGTGAAAGTATGGAAGTAAAAACACAACTACAAAATAACAAATTACTATCAAATGCCCCCTAGACTGTTATTTAGGTATACTTCAAACATTTAAATACCAACTATTATAATGTTTCAGTATTGTATCATTTAAAAAAAATATTAATCTTTATTTAAATGCTTGCTCATTAATATTGTCTTAAAATAGGTGGGAAATCATATTTTGCTAATGAAATTTTGAAGCCTAAAGGTTATGCAGTAGTGAACAGAGTAAGTTAAATTCCACACATTGTTTAGAAACAGCTGAAGCTTAATTACTGTATTTTTAATTAAAGCAGTTGATGGCATAGAACCATGTTTTAGGTATATTTTGTACAATGATTAATGTAGTCTTAAGTACTAAACCACATCTGTAAAATAACCTAATAAAATTTAAAATGTCTTTTAGGATCAAACTGTTGATGTTAGTTATTCAGTGTGCTGCTGCATATGAAAACTGATATATTTACAGGACACTCTTGGCACTTGGCAAAAGTGTGTAAAAATGGTAAACCAATCACTAGTCAACTCCAGCGTTGTTGTTGACAACACTAATCTATCAAAGGAGGAGCGCCAGAGGTAAATACAATGTCTCTCATTTTACACAACCTTTTGGTTAAGTATTAAACAACTAAAAAGTTTTTAAAAATATAGAGAAAAACTCTTTTGATTACTTGATTTTTGTGTAATAAATTATTAGTCTTATTACTACTTTTTTTTATAGATATGTTGAGTCTGCAAAGAATGCCAAAGTGCCTTGTAGGTGTTTTGTGTTAACAACTTCTGTTGAACATTGTAGACACAATGAAAGAGTAAGTAGTTTTACTGTTGCCTTAAAAAATCAACTTTAACCAACATTTTCGAGCATAAATTATACATATATCTAATGTCCATCTAATGGTATCATTCCTTTTTTTTTTAATGAAAATACTAAACTGATTTTAAAATATTCCATAGCAAAGATCTAAATACCAAGTTTTAAAAATTGCAAGTTGTGTTTTTAGTAAGTTATGTAAATTTGTATTCTATTTCAGTTTCGTCAAATGACTGACAAGTCTCACGCTAAGATAAACGAGATGATATTTAATAAAGCCAAGTAAGTCTGATAGTCTTTTTTCATCATTTTTAGAGAGGTAGTAAAAAAATGTATGGTAAAACTAAATATTATTTTCTCAAAAAATAAATAAAGTGTTTACAACGAGGCTTTTAATCTTTAAATTAAATTAATTATATACAGTTTATTTGATAAGAAAATGGACATAAACATTAAATATAAAATTAACTATGTTAATAAATAAAGTTTAAAATATTTCAATCCCTCTAATTCAATACTTTTCATTAAGTCTACTCAAAGATATGTTCACACTACACTTTTTGCAGTCATTTTTCTTATAACAATAAAAAAAAACACTATTGAATATTTTAATGTTATTTAATTCTGTTAAGTGACTAATGACAACTAGTGGCAAGCAGTGTTTCTTCCAGACTTTTTTCTCCAGGGGGGGGGGGGGGACGACGACGACACTGTTAAAAGTATATATTTTAGTTCAGTAGTTCGGGGGGGCCCGAAGAGATGCCTGGAAGAAACTCTGGCGGCAAGTTATGCTACCTATTGTGCACACTATTTTTCACATGCTTTACTTACATCTTTAACAATGCAACACTGTACCTGCCTGTTATATAATAGAAAAAAATGTACTAAAATTTAAGTTCTGCTCTTTTTTTAGGTCCAAATATGAAGAACCAAATACATCTGAGGGGTTTACGGAAATCTTACAGATTAATTTTGTGCCAAAATTTTCATCCCCAAGCTTGGAGGCGAAATATAGAAAATTTTTACTAGAGAAATAATTAAAAAATAAAATTTAAAAAATAAAAAAGGTTCACAATTATATTTCTTATGCTCCTTCACTCATCATAAACTTCTATCATGTTGTAATTTTAAAAATCTTGTTTACAAACTATTCTTAATTCTTTGTGTGATACAATGCAAATAGAAGTATACAATTGTTAATGTTCTCTCGTGCCCAAATAAAATCTGTCGATGACATCAATATACACTTGTTAGAGACTCATTTTTAGTAATTTTTTACTTAATGAATGATTGATTGTTCATGAATGTAAAGGTAGGATTGTTTGAATGTCTTAAATCTGCACCAGTATGTTAGGCAGCTGGAAATGTTACAATCCTAGAGACTGGGTGACACCAAGGCAAAAAATAGCAAATTATATAGAGAAAAATGATAATTCCACTTAATTAAGTGATGAATTTGAGTGTTAAATAGTCTTTTAAGAGGTGCAAATCGAAAGTTTGAGGGGGGTGGGTGCAAATCAAAAGGAAGGGTCGCTACGCCTCTGGGGGGTGACACCATTAAGTGCTACACCGGGTGACACCCAACCTTGCAACGCCACTGACTGGAGATTATCCTATTGCAATATTGGGTTGTACATACATTAATAATGGCTTTAACTCTCGACCATCATTGAACTCATAAGCCAAAAAGAAAACTAATTGAAAAAATGCTGATAAACTGAGATCAACTCCTGGAACAAAAATGTGAAGTGCTTGTCGGACATTGTAACTGATTACCACTTTCAGCTTAAAAGCTTTATTTGACTGTATATTGATTACCTACCCATGAAGAAATAAACTACTAACTTATAGTTAACATTGTTAGTTTAATTGGGGCACCACTGTTGACTATTTCATAGTACTTAGCCATCTTTCCTGATTCTCTGCTGCTTTTAGTAATTCTGCAAGGGATGGAGCATCAGGTCAGTTCCTTGATGTTCTCACCATTTTCTTCTTTACCTCCCTCACCTTCTCCTGACAATGCCTTCCATGATTATCTATGATAGGCCATTGGATCATTCACATGTCTATGTTATATGGGCTCTTTTTGCCTTGATGCTTTGCAAATTATCTAAAGAACCAATTACATTCATTCTTTTGCTAACCTAATTTTTATGAGTGTCTGTGCCTGGCATCCATGTAAAAATAAGACTGACATGATTAGCAACCCCATAAATTAGACTTCAGTGCAAAGATAAGCTTTTGTTAAAAAAAATGCTCCTTCGCTCACTATGAGCTGTGGTTCTTTGGGCAATCCTTGCTAGTACTTCTGATAATCATTTAATGTGGTTGGTCTAGAACTATGTGCTGTGGTTATTTGGGCAATCCTTGCTAGTACTTCTGATAATCATTTAATGTGGTTGGTCTGGAACTAGGTGGCACATACTGACACCCATCACTTTTGATGTCTGACCACAGTTGGATGTGTACATTAGGTGTCTTGCCTTGGCCACAAAAGCATGGTTACTGCAGTTCATCTAGTACCTCCACTATCCTGGCCAGTGACCATTAACTAGAAGGCCCTACGCCTAGCCATGCCTTGTAAATATCTTCCCCGGCACATGCTTTGGTCTGCTAGATGAATTAGTTTTCTGGGGTATGGCATTAGGCGCAAATTCTGAGAGCTTTCAAAGATAATGTAGATAGCCTGAGATCACTGAGGGCTCAGCGTGCTATACTTCAAAAATACCAACCCTTTCCAGAGTTTCTTGTATGTAAATACAACTAAATGCATAGTTCTTAAAAACAAGCATGAGTGTAAAAGATATATATAGTTATAGTGCATATATATTTATATAAATAAACAAAAAAATGATAACATTGTCAAAATATTTATTTGCAAAGTACAAATGTATTTAAGTATAAAACAATAATATAAAAAAAACAGTACTAAAAGTTGTAAAAGCAGATCCCAACAAGTATTCACAATTAATGCTTGAAATTAAAAGTTATCAAGCAATAGGCACTTTGTGGTTTTATCTTAATTTTTGTGTGTGAAATAATCTCTTTTAAGAACACATAATTGTTCAAGAATATTGCTTTTCAATGCCATGACTGAGTACATAAAAAACAATACATAGTTTTCAAAATCAAGGTGCTCAAATAATTAACAGGACTTATGACAAATATTATTCATTAAAAACAAATAAAGAAGATAATAATTTTGATCGATCAGCATATCTTTCATAATACTTTTGAATCTTGAGGCTGAAACTAAAAATTAAAAAAAAAAACCCATTTAACTCAAATATTTTGATTTAAACATTTTTAAAAAATATGCCATTTTAATGATTGATATGATAATACTGAATTATAGAGGATTTTCAAGGTTCTATTTTTGCACTGTCTGTAAACAAGTTTTACATTTTTAAACAGTTATAAAGATATACAACACAGGTTGGTAACAGTTTTGTTCAATTGTCCTCTACTGCAGAAATATCAGCATAAATTTGCTCATTTCTCACAGACTCTGCTTTAGACTTGGTGATTACAACGTCATCAATAGGGCTGTCCACAGAATTGGTTGGAGTGGAACCAATTTTTTTTACGACATCCAGGCCCTCAAGAATTTTGCCAAAAACTGTGTGGTGTCCATCTAACCAAGGTGTAGCCTTTAATGTGATAAAAAACTGGCAGCCATTGGTGTCCTTTCCTATGGAATTAATTAGGAACATTTTATTATACATTTTTTCTATATTTAAAAGAGCCACACCTAACAGTAAATAAGCTACAATTCAAAACAGGCAGTCTAGATTCTTTAGGCCCTGTAGTTTAATTTTGAAACTTTTCTTTGATTTATGTTACCATTTGTGTACCAAGTACTGACCTGCATTAGCCATGCTAATATATCCAGCTCCTTGGTGGTTAAGGGTGAAGTTTTCATCATCAAAATAACCTCCCCAAATGCTCTTGAACCCAGATCCATCCTTGTTAATATAATCGCCCCCTGATAGGGCAAACACAAGCATGGATTGTTACATTTATTAGCCTGTAGAAACAGGAAACCAGTACCGTGCCATTTTGCAATACTTCAGAAATAAAAAAAACCTATTGCTTACTAAATCACTAAACTAGTTAAAGAGCTAAATTATACATATATGTATATATATATATATATATATATATATATATATATATATATATATATATATATATATATATATATATATATATGTTTATATATGCATGTATATATATATATATGTATATATATGTGTGTATATATGTGTGTGTATGTGTGTATGTATGTGTGTGTTTATATATTTAATTTTAGTACTTAGTTGGCTCAACCTCCACCACACCATATTAATGGTAAATGTCCATGAAACTATAGTGAACTCACCTTGAATCATAAAATCATTAATAACTCTGTGAAATTTGCTGCCTTCATAACCATAGCCGTTTACATGAGATGCCAGCTCAATAAAGTTTCTGGCGGTCTTTGGCACAACATCTCCAAATACCCCAATGACAATGGTCCCTGCTGGCTCACCACCAATACTAACATCAAAGTACACCTTGTCTGTTACCAAAGGCTGAATGGAAATAATAGAAAAGTAAAAAAAAACATTCAACTTTTTATTTTTTATTTTTTTTTAAAAGCAATCTTAACCATTATGTGTGGGTCTATATGCTTTTAATGAAAAAGTATTCATTAATATTTTGTTCTTAAAATAGTTAATGAAATGATAATGGTATTATTTTTAGACCTAATAAATAAATAAATAATTAGCCTACCTAGAGATCATTGAATAAAAGTGTAAGTAATTGTACATACATTGTAAAGAAAAACTGCATGTGGGTTTCCCAAAACAAAAATTATATTCTATTTTGTCAAGAGGTTATTTAAAAATGAAATCGTTTTTTAAAAATAAAGAATATTAGTATGGTTGACTATGACAACATAAGTAATGTGTTGTCTCCCCTTATCAAGTTTTGACGCTTAGGGACTATTTCATAGTAACTTATTTTGACGCTCTAAGGAATGACAGTAGATCCAGACTATGCCCTAGGCCTAGATTAGTAGAATCTAGATCTCCTGTGAAAAGTGGGTCAGGAGAAAAAGAGGCCGGCTAACACATACTAACCAGCAGGCCTTTATTTATTTTTTTATTTTTTCCTCAGTGATTTAATCAAAGTCTGGGCATTAAAAAAAACGGGCTAAACAAAAAACTAAAACAATAAAATAAATAAAATAAAGAGGATCAAAAGTATAATATAGGGCCAAATGTTGATTTTAAAAAATTCAAATGATTTTTAAGCACCTTTTAATAATAGGCCTTTTAAATTCTAGATCTACCCCCCCCCCCCCCCCCGGCATTATTATAGGCCTACTTGGTACTTAATTTGATTTCAATGATTAGTGTTAACTGTTAAGTGTATTTCCTTTACAAACGATTACATTATTTTAATAATTCGAACATAATAAAATGAATAGGCCTATTTAACTATTTAATTTTCTAATCTCCGTATAATTTAAGTTAAGTCAGCAATTTAATTTCCAGTTTGTCTTAAGACTTAAATTAATTAAAATTAATACAAATATTATAACATCTAAAGTTTTGTTCTATTTAAATAAACGGATCAAATATGAAGCATACTTACATTTTCTGCGAAGCAAACTTTAAGTACGCTAAGCACAAGACAAATAAAATTAATGGAATTCATGTCAACTTTTTGTTCTAGAATTTCTGACTGCTCGGGCGAGATTTCTAAGACGGACTGAAGGAGCTGTCTACGTTGCGGGGATGAAAAAGTTTGAGAAACTGTACTCGTGGCAGCCTCGAAGTGAGCAGAAAAGTTCCTACCGTGGGAGTAAACCCCACTATGTAACGTAGCAGAAATTCAGCAGAACTGCCTAGATCCACTTTCTTTCACGTGGCTGTTTACCGCGTCCATCTTACGTTTATTTTTACTAGTTTACTGTAGACCCAGGTAGACCCCTAAAGTGGATTTAGTAGTTAAACTTTTTAGTTTGTGTGGCCTATTTCAAAACATTCTCTGAAAATGCTTCTTTTAAATATCAGTATCCAAATGTATTGTTTTTCATAATATTGAAAGTCTGTCTTATTACTTAAAAAAGTACCTATGTGAATTTATCATTGTAAAATAAGCAAAGGCCTTAAACTTTTAAACTATCAAGAATTAGTATCTAAAGATAATTAGATTTTCAATTCAAATAAAAGTTAGGTACTGTAACTTTACATCGGTCTTTACCATTAGGCTAGACATTTTGCTAAAGTAGCCTACGTTTGCAAAATATATCTCCTTTCAAGCTATTACGTTATCTAAATTTCTGTTATAATGACTAAATAATATTACTTAATCTTATTAATGTGGGTGTGTGTGTGTGGGGGGGGGGGGGGGAAAGAGGAGACCCATTAATGTAGATGGAGTGGGGTTGTCGAACTTGGTTGGTGTCGTAGTGATCCTTCAATGACAAGCAGAGTTTCTTCCAGGCATCTCTTCGGGGGGGGCGAAGCCCCCCCGAAAAATTTTTACCGCCCCCCCGAACGAAATGAAATTTATATAATTTATATAGAAAATATATACTTTTAACACTGTCCGCCCCCCCGAAGAAAGTTTACCGCCCCCCCGAAGATTTCAAGTGCCCCCCCGGAGAAAAAAGTCTGGAAGAAACACTGATGACAAGGGAGGATGGAGAGATAAACTGGGCCAAAACTATGCAGATTTGAACATTTTTCCTAAATGAATTTCTGAATGAGTTCGTTAGTTTTTCTTACACTTCATTACAAAGAGCATAGACTCAAAAAAAAAAAAAAAAAAAAACAACAACAACAGACAGCCAGTGTTTTATAACACGTGGACGAAAGCGTAATGAAATTAATGATAGCTAGCTACCACCCCAGATATATGCATAGGCTAATACCAAGCCTAACCAATACATGTTAAATTTAATATAGCCTGCACTATGTGAGATATTCTAAATAAATGGATTTAATATCTTGTACAACTGAAGTGATCTCTACTCACACTTCAGTTGCGTTATTATCAGCTATGTTGTTATTAGCCACGTATTCTTACATTCGTCACCCCCTCCACTGTACCATCACGCGTGGATCAGGCTGTTTCGTGCTCACGGATTGGTTGCTACTATCCGAAAACTCTCCAGCCCAAGTAAATATTTTCTATAAATAGCTTTTGAAAGTTGTGGTAGGCATACGATGTAAGCTGTTGGCCTACTAACCTGCTGGGCCGCTGATGAGGCTTTTAGAACTCAGTCTAACCGTACCTGCGAGTATGAGCAAACGGTTAGACTTCATGGTTGTTATAGGAACCGAGGTAATCTGAGGTCATATGACGTCATGTGGGCTATACCCGTTTGAAATAAAAATAATGTAAAGGAGGACCAAGCTGTGAATTTGTTTCCGGGGGGGGGGGGGGGGGGGGGGGTCTGCACGTTTGATGTGGGCACAGACGGATGATGTGTCTCAAAGTGCATAAACGCTGAGTAAAACTCTTTAGAAATTATTAATAGGCTAACTTAAGCGTTAAGGTGCGGCCTAACCCACAATGACAATACCTCGTTGTGTACAATTTTAAAGTTTACACTCTCTACTCTATAGACATTGGGATGAAGCAATAACAAAACTTGTGACAGCGTAGTGTTGTAAAAAACAAAACATCAGGAACAAACGGTCGTCTATAAACGACGTCAGGTCACACTCCTAGGAGACAAAATTGGAGTTCGTGTCGAGGGGGTGGAGGGGGTCAGCAAGTGTGAGAACACACTTGCATCGAGTTCTCTTAGTTGATTATGTTGCCAAAACTGATAAAATGAAACTTACCAATTAAGCAAACCGCACTGACCACTACGTGAAAACACACAGATTTCCCCCCACAGCATCGATACCAATTTTGTGTTTTGCGACAGTAGGAGCTAAGATAATGCCTTTAAAATGTGTGGGGGTAGCTACACTAAGTTAATGTCAACACTCTCGACGGGTCGGTAGTAAGAAAGACCAGAGCCGGCGTTAGGAATACGCGGGGCCTAGGGCCAACCATCCGCGCGGGGCCTGCTTTTTTCCATATATATATATATATATATATATATAATATGCATACACACATAATAACACATAAATGCCAAACTGCTCACTTTAATAACAGATGTTTACCTCTCCCAATGTAACCCAATGTTCTTAGTTGTTTTTTTTTCCTTGCTAAGATATTAAATCACTTTTCACAGTTATGTAATTCATACCAAATCACTTAATTAAGAAAATTCAATTACGTGCCAAAAAATTAGAAAAATAAAGTTGTTTAAATTGTTTGTTGATGACTAATTGTTCATATAAAAGCAGGGGCGTAGCGAGGGGGGGGGGGGGTGCGGACCGCACCGGGTGACGCCATTTAGGGCGGGGGGTGGGTGACACCAAGGCAAAAAATAGCAAAACATATACAAAAAATGATAGTTCCACTTTAAAAAGTGGTTAATTAGAGTGTTTAATAGTCTTTTAAGAGCAAATTTGCAAATCCCGACAAGGGTGGAGGGGGTGGGGGGTGGTGGTGGTGACACCATGACGTAAACCTGCTAATGATAGAGAAAACATGCTACATCAACACTTTAACTTTCTTCCAAAAAAAAAATAGTAAATCACTCTGTCTAATGCCCCCTCTGCACGCAACTGAATGTTAATTTTGTTATACCAAGACAAGAGGGCCTTCATATACGACATCTACAACAAGAAAGTCAGGACTAGCGTTCATCAGGTCACTAACTGTCGTCTTCTACAGACATCCCGTCTGCTCACTAATAGGACGTCTTCATCGGTATCACGTTACGCATTTTCCAAATTTACATCCCATGTCAGGTCGGGGGCTGATTCGCGTCCAACTATCTCCAGTCAGCTCAGGTCAAATGCGAGGCGACCGTACCCTACACAAAGGGGAGGTCTGACACTGTTTTTGTATCGAATTATGGGCTTTCCCACGTTAGGTGGGTGATAACTCACTAACATCAACCGTGGCCTCAGTTATAACAATCAACAACTTCGGCATTCGACCATTTAGTTTTTCCCCATTGAATTCAGCAACAATTTATTCAAGTTTATAAACTGATTCAGACAACAATGACAGTGCTGAAGCGCGGGGCCCCTTCAAGCGCGGGGCCTAGGGCGACCGCCCCGTTTGCCACCCCCTAACGCCGGCTCTGAGAAAGACAAAGACCAACATAGCAAGGCATTCTACATAGAATCCCCAACGGCAAAAGAGCCATGCCTAAAAAAGCCTGGTACTAGAATTGAAGGGTGCCAGTTAAAACTAACAGAGGATGTAGTGTTCTTTTCATACATTTTTATCCAGTGGGAGGGTACTTGAAACTTTTGAGGGGATGACACACTGGCTAAGTATATATTTTCTGTATCTGACCGAGGTGGGGAAGGGGAAACTTGAAAGAAACTCTGGGATGGGGATGCAAGCTGTTCTATTGCGACAATTACAAACAAATGTTAAATAGATCACCACTTATGTCATATTAAATTATTTTTGAAAACTACTTGAGAATCCGAGATCATCCATTTTGATGAAGCTAAACAATGGAGGTAAACCCTATTGTTTTTCATTTAAATACCCCCCTCCCAATCAGTTTGAAATTACTGACTACTAATCAGAGTTGGATTAACACTTTGTTGTGATTGGAATCAAATGGAGGGTAAAATAAATCTTTAATTTGACCATAAATTAATTTTTATTTACACATAATTTAAAAAAAAAATTACTTTTATTTACACATATTTTTTCATCAAAAGAATAATAAATGATTATGTCAACATTTGAGAAGCAGGTTGACCTTTTATGGAAGTTCAACCCACCTGTATAACAGGTGTAAAAATCAAATCAAAATAACATTCAACTAACAACCATATTAAAGCTTAAAATGGATTTTGTGTTTAAGAGACAACCACATTGTAAAATGACTTTATGCTTTGATTACTGAGTGTAGACCTACTCACATAGGTTTTAGAAAAAAAAAAATTGTGCCACATGTACATTCGTTTTAGAGATTCCAATAAAAAAAGGCTCTTTCACAAAATACAAATAATGTTTGAATGATATGTTTGATTGTTGGATGGAACATTTTTTAAACATCAGAAAATGAAATAAATTATTTTAAATATTATTGAAACATCAAATAAATTATTGAAAAAAAAAAACATGTTGGAAAGACTGAAGAATTATGACAACATTCAATTCAAGAAATATGAATAAAAAAAATGTAAGTATTTTAAAGTATTAAATAAGGGCAATAATGTAAGTGATGATAGATATTTACTGTAGCCTGAACTACTCCCTGGATATCAACAGCTTTGGATTAAACAGCACAGCAAGGTCTTGAAACACACACATAAATATGTTATTTTCATTTATCTCAAACAAGAAAGTCACTGAAAAATATATGCTGCTGATTCATACCCCATACATACATGTTCTGTTATTTTCATTTATCTCAAATAAGTTAGTCACATGAAGAACAAACATTATTGTTTTTTACCAGATTTAACTAAATTTAACTCTTGCTGAAGCAGAACAATCGTCTTGTCTTTGTCTTTAACTAAACTTTCATAATGCTGAAGCTCCTTCTGCTGCTGTTGAATTGTCTGTACGAGGCGTTTGATTTGCTGCAGAAATACAAAAGCCCATTCTTAGATAACAAACTGAAATCAGATGATCTGACTAGAGTAATGGGACAATTTTATTTTCTAATGTTGAGTAAACAATATTAATTTAAAAAAAAAATATGTCAGTTTCTTACCTGCTCTTGAGAAAGAAACAAAGAACTGTTCAGCAAATCTTGTGCTGATGGTCTTTCACGCTGCTCTGTTTTGATGAGTGCTTCTATTGAGTCTGCCTGTAGAAGTTAAAATGTAACAGGTCAATAGTTGTGCTGAGACTGGTGAATGTGGGTGAGATAGTGGGGATGGAGACTTTAGGTCTAATGTTTAATATGATACCTCTGGGTTATATTTAAGTTTTCAGTCATGTGACAACACACCCAAATTTTAACTTAAAAACAAAACCCAACATTTACCCTCATTTCTCTATAGTTTATAATTTTAATGTGAGGCATTGTCAGTAATCTCCTATTTACTTAATATTTTAATAGCAATTATTTAAAAATAAAAATCTTTACCTGAAGAGGCCACTTTTGTCTGAATGCTAATGAACATTTGCTTTTCTCTCTAAGGGAGATAATTTCATTGACCCTCTCCATCTCAGTGTTGAAGGTGTTAAACATCTCAAAGAGGATAACACCCAAGCTGTACATGTCACTCTGTAACAACAAGCAAAACTAAGTACTCATCTTTGTTTCCTTAAGGAACACAAAGCCCTCTAAAACTATGTGCTAGATTTGCTAAATTAACATTCCAGTAAAAAACCAGGAGATAAATATTTTGATCAAATTTCTGTAATAAAAATGAAAATTGTTTAAAATACTGAATGGGTTATTTTCTCAATAGTGTAGTAATCGTTTGGATATCTATTAGTACACATAGGAAGCTAAGTCTAAATTTTTACCTAAAATTATGTACATTATAGGAGAATATAGAGTGTCAAATGACAAACCTTTATGTCATAAACAGTTCCTTGCAGCTGCTCAGGCGAGGCATAGGCAGAGGTGCCCACTCCACTTGTGTGGTTGTCAAACTCAAATGATGATGCTGGAAATTTTTTTTTTTTCTAGGGTTACTTTTAAATAATCAACTATCACATTTAATGACATTTTTATTTTACAGAAGCAGCCACAAATTATACTTAAACTAAAGCATCATAATAAAGCTAAATTGATACAACATTAAGATAGTAATTATCAATAATCATGTAGAAAAGTACATCTTTTAGATATAAAACACCATATAAAAAAACTCACAGTAATTCATAGAAATATAAATCCAGCAATAATTGTATTTTATCACAGAAACACCAAAAATGATTCAATTAAATATCACATAAACATTACAATAATTTTGTTAGTAGTTTCAAACAAAACACCACAGTAATAGTTGTATATAAATACAACATTAATAATTCTATTTTATAAAAAAAACCACCACATTAATACTATCCGACATCACTATCCAAAATGATTCTACTAGGTATAACAGAAATACCAACAGCAATAGATTTAGATGAACTTGCCTTCCTGATATGAATAGTGGCGCTTAACATCTCTGTCTCTATTTGGTCTGAGCATATCCTCCTTGGCAAGTCCAAAGTCTCCAATTTTAACATGAAGATCCTCTCCAGATAAAAATATATTTCTAGGCTGAAGGTCAAAACAAATGTTAGTGATAATTGTGCAAGGAAAAGCAAATGACATTGAAAATAAATAATTAACATTGGCATTATTGAGATTAATCTGAACAATAAAACAGCTGCCTACTTTAACTTAGAAATGTTTTATAATCCTCTTTTCTCCCAATTTAAAGAGGACATTTAAACTGAAACGTAATAAACATTGAGGAACTGAAAAGTGGAGTTATTGTGGGAATCATTGTTTCAGCATACATCTATAAAAATTGCATTGAAACCCCAGACATTAATTGTTTGACAAAATCAACCATTCCACCTGCTTTTTACACAAGTAAAACATTGATGAAATCAGTTCTTGTACACAATAATTAAAATTAAATACAACTGGCAGAGAGACAAATGATTACTAAGGTAATATTTTTTATATACAAATCAAGTAAGCTGAATGATGTACCTTAAGATCTCTATGAATGAGCCCATGAGAATGTATATAGTTGACACCTAGTAGAACCTGGTGAAATATCCTCAAGTTATCTGAACACATCAGCGTGGCATCTAGATAGAATATATTTTAAATGTGTTGTAAGTATTCTTCAGATTAGCAAGAACACACTAACATGATTTTATTTAAAAACAAATAAAAATATCAAATTTGACTCCACCGTAACTTTTTAACAATTTATGAAGAAAACAGATTATTATTTTAAAACCTAGATAAAAATTGTCTAAAATATGGCCTCAAATGTATGTAAAATACTGACCATATCCATCCCGATTAAATACTGCATTTCTTTCATGAAGCCATTCTTGCAAAGTTAATGAGCACAACTCCATTTGTATATAAAGTGTAATTGAATTCTGCATACAGAAAAATTGCATTGAAATTGAAATTCTAGCTCACTCAAAAACATGGTAAAGAAATATCTGATGAAATTGTTTGTTGATTGCATGCATGTTTTTAAACAAACAAAATTGCTGAGTACTGAATTATGCAGGATCTGAACGAATCAAAAGCCAAACCAACCTAGTGTCAATAAATTACATTCAAACACAACCGTACTGTATTTCCAATTAAAATGATTAACTTATCTTTTTGTTGGCTGGTACCAAATTGTTGATTCTTAAGTAAGCATGTTGGCTTGTACTATATTGTTTATTTTTAAGTGAAATGGTAACTTGGGTGCTTATTAAAGGGGCTAAGGTGACTAGGACTAGTTACAGAAACCCAAGGGGTTAATCTAAGATATTGGGGATGAGCAGGCCGGGGAAATCTAAAATTTAATTAAAGGTTATCGGCTCACTCTGGTCGTTAAGGGCTGCGAGTTCTATGCAGGTGCATGAGTGGCACGTAATGCTGGGAAGACACCCGCGGTGATTTATGTCTAAAGTTGAGTTCGGGCATGCCGCTGGACGTCTCGGTAGAATCATTACTCATGATCTCTGTTGTGGTCAGTTGTCAGGTGTGAAACGCGGCGGGAGTACCGCGTGGTCGTGCGTTAGCTCGAGCGGTGTATGACACGATCGTTAGCCCTGAGACAACGTGAAGATCTATAGCGGTCAGTTATCGGGTGTGCAACGCATGGGTGCATAGTGACCGGTGTTATCTCGAACGTCGAGAGATGGTACGGAGCCCAACTCGGGTTCTATAGCTCTAGGGAGATGATAAGGGGGCAAGACTAACCTATATATGAGGAAGGGCGACTATGTTGAGGTCTCTCTCTCTCTGACAGACACATAGGCTAGACACCATGGTCTAGGCCTCGGATGGTGGCAGCCTTATGGCTGGCCACTAAGGCTGGATTATTGGCCCAGTCGATGTTTTGTTGCTGTACATATGTGTTTCGTTCCAGATATTTACATGTGTGACCTGGTGTTTATACATGTGGCCGATGTTGTACCAGTGGCCAAACGTCTGCCGTGTAGATATGTTCTTCGTTCCAGTGGCCATTATCTTTGTGGCCCGATGTTTGTACCAGTGGCCAAATGTTGTATTCCGGTGGCTGGAAATCTCCCTGCCGCTTGAGTGTCAAGCTAGATTGTTGTGAGTACTGATGAGTATTCATAGAAGGATTCAAACCGTGTTTGCTTAGTGGAATCAGAATTAGTGATGATAACATTTACCGTGTGATTCTGGGATTACATAACAGTGCAACTAGAGACGATGACATTTACGTTTTTGATTTTGAGATTACATAGCAGTACAAGTGAAATTAGGACTAGGAAGAATAACTTTGACAAGTGTGATTCTGAGATTACATAAGCAGTGCAAGTATTTAAGTTAGGACTAGAGGATATGACAAGTGTGAATTCTGAGTTGTGTGAATGTAGATTTGCTATTCACACTTATATATGTCTTTTCTATGAATTAATGTCAGTTACCACGGTGACTAATTCTGCATTGAAATGTAAGTTTCATTATTTTTGTCTTTTTGACTTGTATTAGAAATTCAAGTGATGTTTTCTTGAATATGAAAGACTGGCCAGGTCTTATTTGTATTGTGTCTTTGCTTTTAACATATAAACCTTTGTGACGTCAAACAAAGATAAATAAATGCATATTATGTGTGTTTACTATGTTTTATTTTTAGTTTAATATTGGTGTTGTATAGATTTTAATTAGTTTTGCTCAGGTCTCTTAGACCCCTTTGTCACCACGCAAAGGTGCACGGATGAGTGAATAAGATCACCTCTTCGGTTTAAACCCCACGTAACATTTGGTGTCAGAAGTGGGATATAAGATCTATATTTCTCGACGAACCCCTAACATTTGGTAGCAACGAGTGGGATCCGTGCTTGAGCAAACTAAATTTAGATTTTTAAAAAATTGGTTTTAAATATGTTGAGTATATGTTGGTTTACCTCAGCATAATTTTTTATGTGTATACCTTTTTTTATTTGCATTGTTAACTTTTGGAACGTGTAGAACACGTTTAATTTACTTTATAAATTTTTGTGTGATTACTGTTAATTTTTGTGTGTTCCTGATGAACACATTGTGCTAATGTGACACATTTTATTAGCACTGACGGAACTATTTTTAGACCATTTTTAAAGAAGAATTTGGGTAGCCAGTTGACATGCAACCTTTGTAAGTTTTAATGGTGTTGAACGTATTATTGGCAACTATGGTATTCGTTGAATAGTAATTATTGTAGATGAAACATGCTGTTGCGTAATTTTATGACTGGGAAGACTTGGCTGATATTGGTACTGGACGTACATTATCAGGCCTTGTGGTATAAAATTATGTGTGACTGACTGGTATTTATCTTTATTGATGGCCATTTATTTGTAGTCGTAAGGCGTGATTTGTCCATTTTGGTTAACTACCCTTTAAAGATAAGTACGTGTTTATACCTGGTTTCAGTAGATGTTCATTTTTGAGACATTTTAGTATGCTCATTGATGTTTTTGCCTTCAGTGGCCTTTACTGTAAACTAGAGGTATGTGTTGTGTCAGTAGGTGAACAGTAAAGTAGAATGTTTATCTCAATTAGTTGTCCTTGTTAAGTTGATTGCGGGGACGCAATCATTTTTGCGGGGGAAGCATGTTGGCTGGTACCAAATTGTTGATTCTTAAGTAAGCATGTTGGCTTGTACTATATTGTTTATTTTTAAGTGAAATGGTAACTTGGGTGCTTATTAAAGGGGCTAAGGTGACTAGGACTAGTTACAGAAACCCAAGGGGTTAATCTAAGATATTGGGGATGAGCAGGCCGGGGAAATCTAAAATTTAATTAAAGGTTATCGGCTCACTCTGGTCGTTAAGGGCTGCGAGTTCTATGCAGGTGCATGAGTGGCACGTAATGCTGGGAAGACACCCGCGGTGATGTATGTCTAAAGTTGAGTTCGGGCATGCCGCTGGACGTCTCGGTAGAATCATTACTCATGATCTCTGTTGTGGTCAGTTGTCAGGTGTGAAACGCGGCGGGAGTACCGCGTGGTCGTGCGTTAGCTCGAGCGGTGTATGACACGATCGTTAGCCCTGAGACAACGTGAAGATCTATAGCGGTCAGTTATCGGGTGTGCAACGCATGGGTGCATAGTGACCGGTGTTATCTCGAACGTCGAGAGATGGTACGGAGCCCAACTCGGGTTCTATAGCTCTAGGGAGATGATAAGGGGGCAAGACTAACCTATATATGAGGAAGGGCGACTATGTTGAGGTCTCTCTCTCTCTGACAGACACATAGGCTAGACACCATGGTCTAGGCCTCGGATGGTGGCAGCCTTATGGCTGGCCACTAAGGCTGGATTATTGGCCCAGTCGATGTTTTGTTGCTGTACATATGTGTTTCGTTCCAGATATTTACATGTGTGACCTGGTGTTTATACATGTGGCCGATGTTGTACCAGTGGCCAAACGTCTGCCGTGTAGATATGTTCTTCGTTCCAGTGGCCATTATCTTTGTGGCCCGATGTTTGTACCAGTGGCCAAATGTTGTATTCCGGTGGCTGGAAATCTCCCTGCCGCTTGAGTGTCAAGCTAGATTGTTGTGAGTACTGATGAGTATTCATAGAAGGATTCAAACCGTGTTTGCTTAGTGGAATCAGAATTAGTGATGATAACATTTACCGTGTGATTCTGGGATTACATAACAGTGCAACTAGAGACGATGACATTTACGTTTTTGATTTTGAGATTACATAGCAGTACAAGTGAAATTAGGACTAGGAAGAATAACTTTGACAAGTGTGATTCTGAGATTACATAAGCAGTGCAAGTATTTAAGTTAGGACTAGAGGATATGACAAGTGTGAATTCTGAGTTGTGTGAATGTAGATTTGCTATTCACACTTATATATGTCTTTTCTATGAATTAATGTCAGTTACCACGGTGACTAATTCTGCATTGAAATGTAAGTTTCATTATTTTTGTCTTTTTGACTTGTATTAGAAATTCAAGTGATGTTTTCTTGAATATGAAAGACTGGCCAGGTCTTATTTGTATTGTGTCTTTGCTTTTAACATATAAACCTTTGTGACGTCAAACAAAGATAAATAAATGCATATTATGTGTGTTTACTATGTTTTATTTTTAGTTTAATATTGGTGTTGTATAGATTTTAATTAGTTTTGCTCAGGTCTCTTAGACCCCTTTGTCACCACGCAAAGGTGCACGGATGAGTGAATAAGATCACCTCTTCGGTTTAAACCCCACGTAACATTTGGTGTCAGAAGTGGGATATAAGATCTATATTTCTCGACGAACCCCTAACATTTTGATCGCTTAAAATTTTTTGTTAAACATAAATAGTTCTCTTATAAACCTGTACCATATGCTGCATTTTCACATGCCCACTTTTTTGTGTGTAATTGAACTAAACCTAAACAACTTATAAAAATGAATATTTACCTGGAAGTCAAACCTACGATTACTGCACTCTATAACTTCAGCCTCCTCGTTAAGAACATCTGAATGAACAAACTGTTTGTAAGATGGGGTACATTTTTGTGTGTGATTTATTTGAAAGCTTCTAGATCTACTAGCAACATCAGAATCTGAGTTAGAACTTTCAGAGTCTTCTGAACATGTGAGATGAGTATCAGGCTGGGAGGACAGTCTGCTGTCCATACTAGTTATTGTCTCATTTACAACAGAAGATATTTTTTTATGAGACACTATGGAAGTGGAGTTCATCTCTTGGAACACAGCACCTAGCACTGAGGTAGATTCTGAATGAAAAAATTTGCTGCGCTTTGATGAAGATTTTAAATTAATTAATGACTGACTGTGTTTGGGTTCGGCACTTTTATTATCCAATGTGATAGAGGAAGAACAGACAGTTTCCTGAATAGAAAGAAATTTATCACTGATTGCTGCAAGATCTTCAAGGTCACCAGTTTTCAGAGTTTTTGATTTGGAAGAAATATTAATGAGCTTCTGTACTTCACTGTCTTCACTATGCTGATTTATAGACACTGGTTTGTTTTGTAAACTTTTACTGATTTTATTTTTTGACGTTTTCTCAGATTTAACACTTCTCCCAGAATGTAAAGGCTTGTCCTCATAAAGTGGTTCACAATTATTGTCTGAATAGTCAAAGTTGACCTCAGAGGAAACCTCTTCCTCAATGATCATTTGCATGTTTGTTTTTTTAAGCCTCTTTGCCTTGACCTGACAGGCGTTGTCAGCACCAGTCAGCTGGTTCTTCTCTGTCATCTCTTCCACTTTGACTGTGCTGAAGATCTTTGCATTCATCGCCAGGCCCACACCACCTGGTAACAGGTTTAAACTATTTCTGTCAGCTTCTGCCTCATTTTCATCATCAGAGCAGAAAATAATACTGTTGTCTTGTCTGTAAGGAGAAAAAAACCACCAATTAAAAAAAACTGTACCTTAATTTCAAGATAAATGAGGACAGTTAAATTCTAGCAATAAATAAAAATGTTGTAAATGAATTAAACTCACGTTTCATTAGTAATACTATCTTGTTCTGGTGGACTCTCATTTGAAGAGTTGCCTTTAAAAAAAATGTACGAGCATAAAATTTATAATAGCAAAGAATAAAAACATTGGCAACTTGTTATAAAAAAATAAATATAAAATGAACAGAGTTAATCTTACATTTTATTGAGGTATAGGGACTATCATACTCCATCCATGCAGCATTATAGCCAACAATATTGCTGTGCTGCAGGTTCGCAAGTGCTTTAACCTCCCGTAAAAGCTGAAAGATGAATACAGTTGCTGTTTTACGATTACTTTTATTTATAGTATCTGGTTCATAAAACCCCAGGTGAATCATAAAGAAATTAAAAAAAAATAATGTAAATAAAAAGTTTATTTCAAAAGTCAAAATTTTTCTCTCCTAGAGTCATAAACATAATTACCTTTATAAGCATTTCTGTATTTTTATGAGTAAACCTAATCTTCTTCACAGCATATTCACATCCATCTAAATAATTGCGAGCCTAGCAATAATAAAATCACACACATTGTAATAAAACAAAAAAGCTTATAGAGACTGAGGCCTATTGTAATGATGAATAAACAATTTTTAAAATGCATTAGTTCATTTTGAAACCAGAACAAATAAGCGAAATGCAATTTATTTGAAAGCTACTGATACATGATGTTTTAAGCCAATTAAGTAATTTTTTTATTAAACTATATTAACATAAATATCACTAACTTTATACACGGAACCAAAGCCTCCTTTTCCTAGCAAGCAGATTTCATGAAATTCATTCCTATAGTGTGAGGTGTGCTGCCATATAATGTCCTCATCAGATATGTTCAACCTATCAATGCTCAAACTGTAATGTTTTCAATACAAAAATATGTCTTCACAATAAAAAGAGACAATACAAACATTACCTAACATGATATTAATAAAATGTTCAGAAAAAACTTACTTAAAATTTTGGGATGTAGGAGGCAGAGCAAGCAGGGACTGCATTAAACAGATGAAAAGAAAGATGATTTAATTATTGTTCAGTATACTATCTTTTATATTTACCATATATTTGAATTTAAAAATTTAAATCCATAAAATGTTTCAACTGTGAAATGAACAGACATAAATGTGTTTAATGGTTAAAATGTGAATAAAAAATAAGAATATATTTATATAAAAAACATTCCCCTCGAAAGTTAATTCAATTGTGTCCACGCTAGTTCAATTAATCATTTATGTACTTAACTAGTGTCAAATTCTTTATTTAAAGTTAAATGTTTAAGCATGCAATAGTTTTATAAAAATAAAAACTTTTCATGTTTTGTATGAAACAGGAGCACAATAAACAAAGTAGTCAACACAACCGCTAACAATAGCTGTACCTGATCTATTGATTTCATGGCTGATAGGATAACCTTCTCTAACATTGTTCTGTGTTGAAAACGCAAGCTACTCATCTCATCTAAGTGACTCATAGGAGCTATGACATGCAGGCTGATGAGGCGCTCACACAAAACTAGCAAAAAGTTTTTAAAAAAATTGTTTTGTGTTTAGATTTTAACATGTTTATAGTTCAGCTACCAAAAGATCTGTATTTTTAAAAAAAAATCAATTAATTTTATCGAATTGAAAATATATAACCACTGAGTTATTAATAGAATAAAATCTGTTAAAATTCAAGGGTAATTTTTCTAAACTTACTTTTAAAGAGCTGATTTGACTTAGTTTTATCCTTGACATACATGAAACACAGCTGCTCTAGTAAAGAAGCCATCAGAAGATGAAGGGGAAGACTACTGCTAGATGCTAAAGCTAATGCTTTAGATTCTGCTAGTTTCAATTTATTCTTATTCCTTCCTTTTTCTAACTTTTCCAAATCAGATTCTGAAAAAAAAAAAGATACTTTTAGTAGTTCAACTTCTAGAACAAAAAGGTACTTGAAATTAGTTGTAAAGTTAAAATTGGCCAGTTAAGTGTTGGTTGAAAGAAAAAAATGTACTTACTATCTAGTTGTCTAATGGGCTTGATCTCATGCCGGGGCTTAATGTCTGATATTGCTGGTACAAACGGTCTCGGCTTGCTTGGAAGTTTTGAGACATTGTCTTGTTTCATTGAGTCCTTTAGTACCTGGGTATCACTTGGTATTTTCAAAGGAAGTAAAGTAGGCGGCATTGTGCCTTCACACTGGTTACAAGCTTAAATAAGTAAAAAAAAGGTAATTTAAAATTGATAAAGGATAAAACATGTTTTGTTTATGTTTTAAAAAAATAATCTAACATATTCTTTATTATTCGTACTTGTAAAACTTTAACTGTACGTAGTTAATATTGCCTATAAACTAGACTGTTTGATCTCTGAATTCTAAATCTAGTAGTTTTATGGAGAAAATAGTTAATTAATTAAAATGGCTTGAGGCACCTAGTTACTGAACAAATGTATTTAGTACTATGAAGGCCAGCTGTCAACTTAAATAATAATAATATTGCCTAATACTTAGCCTATCGACATTATAACTAGGCTAATTTTAATTATAATAAACCTATTGCTTAGTACTTTATTGTAGGTTGCTACTACACTTACTAGTCTATAATATCTGGAAACTAGTTTAGTATTAGTAGTAGGTCTAATTCTAGATATAATTATACTTTTAAAGATTCCTCTTTAGACCTAGCAATCCAGTGGGCAGATGAAGTAGAGTTCATGTTTCTTAAAAATCATGATTTACTTATGTTTCTTGAAGATTAGCATTTAATTATCAAATTGGGCTTTAATTTTGTTATGCCCTAGGCACTAAGTAAGATGCCCTAAGAACTTTACCATAGCCTGAAAGCTTTAAACCACTAACTTAGATCTTTATTAATATCTGTATAGCCATGACTCGCTATTCAGACACAGGTCTGTTTAGCGACAGACCGGCTGAAAATGGTCTATAGTTTTCCTTTTATGTTGTTGTGACTCGATCTTTAAGTGTTATGCATCGGCATGGTCAAGTTGAGAGCAGCATGACGGCTTACTAGTAGGATCAAATGCTCAACGTATTTTTGTTCACAGTGCAAATGACTGAGGTACGTACAGATCCAGCCACCGTTATCCCCCCCCCCCCCCCCACCCCCAATGTTTATTGTTGTAACAAGTTTTTACTATAAATACCCCCCCCCCCCCCCTTTCCAGATAATGTCAAGGTGAAAGGGAGCCAACAGTTCATTTGTAAAATCATTAGTTAGGTCTTTCTCTTAACCAATGGATATTGATGGGACATAGACATTTTCTTGAAAAATTCCTTTTTATTGGACCAAACAATGCCGGGTCCAAATATCAGAGCATGGCTATCATATTTTATTATAATGATATCTTGTAAAACTAAGTAAGGGTCACATGGCACAAGTCCAAAAAGCCACTTCAAAGTACAAAACTTAAACCATTAAAAAAATAAAAACTAAACGGGCCTAGAGTCTAGATCTAGTATTAATTTTAAACTATTAATTTAGGCAACTATAATTAAAAAAAAACAAAAACAAATCAGGCCTAGGCTATAAAATAATTAAGGATAATTATTAAATTAATGATAATGAATTGGCCCCTGCCTAGCCTAGGTAGTCTGTAATAGTAAAGGGTCATCCATAAATGACGTAAAGCTTAGGTAGATTAATATTTAATTTAATAAAGTTTTCTAAAACACGAAATAACGGCTAAAATTCATTTCCTAACATAGCTTTTTTGTAATGCCAAAGTGATAACTTATGTCACACCATCTGAATCCCACATCACACACCATGACAAAACTACTAAATTAGTACGACCCCCCCCCCCTACGGGTGTGATGTCATTTATCAAAATAATATAAAAGGCCAACCATATCGATTTAAAGTCTAGTTTTTTAAAGTCAAGTCAGGACTTGTGGAGTAGTGTAAGGCTAGCCCGGCTAGGCTAGGTAGATGAGATCTAGATATTCTAGTGTGTGTAGTAAGTAAAGGCAAAGGTAGTGAATGATGAAATTTCAGGGAATTTTTTTTATAAACTCAGCTCAGGAGATTTTCAGAACATCCTGAAATTTCAGGAGGCTGCTGGGACCATGTAACTTCTAGAGATTTAACTAAATCTAGATAAGATCTAGTTCTAAAAGTGTTTTAAATTTACACTAACACTTAAAAACTGTGTCTAACAGTAATACTAATAAAAGTAATAATCTCATAAGGCATAAGGTCTAACTATTACTAAGTTTTACACACCTTTACTTTGTTTTCTTTTATCTTTCTGTTGCTTGGGACGATTCCGAATTTTGTATAAACTGTGCCAGGTTTTACTAAAGGCCGCTTACATCGATCTTTATATCACTAGATCTAGATCTTTAAACGTTTTTTTCTTGGTCAAAGAGAAAAAATCTCTATAATAATAGTGGATAACGTTATAACCACAAGCAACAATAACAAATGAAGATTTGAATTTAATAACAAAATTTGAAATGCTGTAGGCTTGGGGCCTACTTTTTAAAATGTCAGACTTACCAATCAAGTTCAAATGTTGTCTCAGATTGTTAATTCATTTTGGCAATTAGCTTTACCTTCAATATTCCGATTATTCCGGGAAAATATTTAAAAAAATAAATAAACAATGGACCCTTCTGAAGTAGAATTTCTTGCGGAAAGGGAACACGTTAAAATCATCCCAAACTTTTCGCAAGAGAAGATATATCTAATTAGCGTAAGTTTGGCTATCGGTAGGCCTAGTTACAAAAAATCTTAAATTTAAAATGTGAGAGTGAGTGTGGCGGTGTCAACTGAGGAGAGCCGAGCGAGACTGACTGAGTGTGGCCCAGTGACACTCATAGTTTGTACAAATCAAATTACTTGCCCAGGCGTGCACTATGAAAAGCTTAAGGACCTAAGGAACTTAAGTATACGTTGATCACCCTCTGCTAAGGTGAGGTAGAATACCCCTTGACTGGCAACCACGCATATATCAGGCCAATCAGGCCAATCAGGGGCTGGTCTCTAGTCTAGTAACTAGTTGGTGCCACCAGTCCAGTTAATTAAACTGTTAAACTTCTAAACAGTACTGTAATGCAGTAGGCCTGGCACCAACTCAACAACCCTGTTCCATTTTTATTTTTAATTAACTGTAGTAGCTGTCCATCTCCAGACAGTGGCGTAGCCAGGATCATCTCGGGGGGGGGGGGGGGGGGGGTGTGGGGGGGGGGGGGTACCAAACTTTCGATTTGCACCCCCCCTCATACTTTATATATATACCGAGGGGTCTATGGAGGGGGGGGGAGGATTATGACCCCCCCCCTGCCTATGCCACTGTCTCCAGATGATTCCCTGGTAAAGTTAGACTCATGATTCAAGAAGTACTCTTGACCCCCTGTGCATGTGCAGAACATCCAATCATCTGAATCCATTGGGTTGGGTGCCAACTACTCACCACAGTCAGGGTACCACCCCTCTGTTATTTAAAAAAGTTTATAACCAAAACCTTTTCTGGAGTGTACTCAACAACGACCCAAAGTTTCATTTTGATTGGATTAATGTTGTAGTTATGCAGACAACATACATTCAGTAATAATTTAATTATATCTATAGATAGGGCATTATAGGCCTACACAGATTTATTTAATATTTATGTAACAAAATAATAGGTCTACTAGTATTATGAAAAGGACAATGAAGAAATAGTGGGAATTATTGAACATGCACACTAAATTAAATTTTTTGTTTAATTCAGTATTAATTTCAACACCAAATAAAATAATTCTAAATCAAAATATTATCTTGAAGAGTAAAGATAATAGTGGTCTTGATCAAATAGCAAATCAAATTTTGTAAACCTTATGTGAGTTCTTCTAAATTAATAAAAAATATTTTAATAATCAGTGGAGCCCTAGTGTGTGCTTAATTTGTCCCTGGGTGTCATCATTACCCTGGCACAAGTTTTGTAGAATGTTATTATATAATGTGGCAATAATTTTACTCTTACAGGGTGATATAGGCCCCTTTAGTGCTGGTCTTCCTGTTACAGTTCCCCTGTGGCTTGCAGTAAATTTAAAACAAAGACAGAAATGTAGATTTATTGCTCCAGAATGGATGGACATAGGTATTTTTCTAAGGGTTTATTTTTTATTATTGACAAAGACCGAATTAAAAAAAAAAATTTCAAAAGAAAGAAACACTTTTAAAGCTTTTTGTAGATCAAAATACTTTTTCTCAATTAGATATTAGCATTGTATTTCAATTAAATTTTAGCTCAAATTAATCTTTTTCTTTCTTTAAAACAAAAAAGAGGTTTTGAAAGAAAAAAAACAAGAAGAGGCTGATAGCAGATTTTTCACCCAGATGCCAAGTCCATTCTATATGGAGATGACTCAGCTTTTGTTACAGTGGTAGGTAAAAAAAAACAACTAGTAGCTTGGATGTTTTTGGTGTAATCAATCTACATAGCAAAGAATGTTTTTGATTGACTTTTTTTTTTCATTATATTTTAAAATTTTCACTTAATATAATTGCATTTTATTTATTAGTACCTGTAAATTCTTGCTGCCATGTAATTTTTAATTATTTAGGTTTTTTCATGCTATTTCAGGGGAACAGATGACATTCCCAAAGCAGATGAAATTAGAACTTTAGTCAAAGACATTTGGGATCTTAGGATAGCAAAGTTAAGGAGCAGTATTGACGTTTTTGTAAAGAGTGATGTATCACATGCCAAAGTAAGATCACGCTAGTGCTTAAACTTCTTGTTGATTCTCATCAGTAATTAAGGCGGGAAATCAACACCAATGCTCTGATATATACAGGAAAAAGTTAAAGACTGAATTAAAAATTTATAATAATGCTGTTATACTTTCTATTATTTATATTCTGCCAGTATTAAATAATCCTGCAGATATTATTAAATAATTTTATGTAATAACGATGTTACTAAAATATTATTTGTATGATTTTTGTTTGCTGGTGAACTAAGGAGTTGTAAAATGATTTACACTTATAGATAGAATTTTGTATCTTCTCTTAATTTCAGTTAAACTACTTGACATTGATGGAAATAAATACAGTGCGAAACTTCCTCACCAAAGCATTAAATCACATGCAGCAGCTGCGTCTGATTACATCAGGACACTCAACTACATTTCAGTCTCAGACATTTTGAAATCAAGGGAAATAATTAACATTTTAAAATGTGATATGATTGTGATAGTCTCATTATTGAAAGTAATAAAAGGAAGCAGCTATTAATCAGGAAGTTCTTATTCTTTCATTAATTTAATTTGCGTGTTTTTATTCCGAAAATTCTCAATAATATTTAAGTATCAAGTAAAAAAAAATGGTGGATCATTATTCTATATCACCACCTAATAAAGACATGGATAATGGCCAGGCAGAAGTTTTATCTTAAATCCTTGTCGAAGTTGGATTTTTTGTGTAGTCAAACTTAGTAGGCTTTATATGATACTGGGTCTGCAATGACATCTTTCTCTAGGAAATACCCAGTTACATACCTTGAACAAACTCTTGTATTTTTCTAAGCTTTTTTCACATTTAATTCTACAGATTGTAAATCAAGTCCTGATCAAATTTTAACATTTTTATTTCATAGTTTAGGACAAATTCTTGATATAAATTTAAAATGATTGGGAATGTGTCATAGAGAAGTTTGAAACCATATTTCCGTTAAGGAATAAGACAAAAATGTTACAACACAAAATACTGATTCTAAATATTCTAACTAAAAAATGCTACTGAATAGTTATGACACATTGATAATATCTTTGTTGCTTGACTCCAGAGAGCTAAAAATATCTGGCGTTTCCAATTTTTTTTCTCTCTTGGGTGCTAATAAAAATTTTAGAATATTCCCACTAGACAGTCAACTTCGAGTTAATGTTTTAATGTTCACTTTAAAATTATTTTTTTACAGATATGTACAGTTTTAGTGGAGCGTCCCTATATAAACACCTATTGCTTACTTTTTAAATTAACATACTTGGTAATTTTTCATAAGTTTATTTAACCTCATCTCATTGGATCTGTAAATAAATACTGATTAATGTTAAGAACAATACTTTAATACAAGCAGTTTTCAACTTCACTGAAGTCTATTAACCTGACCTGTTTCAATCAAAACAACTCTTCTCTAGAAACAACCCACTAGTTTCATTAGAAAATGTATTGTAAAACTTTTTGTTTGTAGAACATAATCTAGTTTTGAAATATTAAATACTAACTACTTTAGATAGTATGTATTTATAAAATATTATTAGAGGTAAAAAAATAAAAACTATTTAAAAAAAAAACTACATGTAATAAAATACATACAATTGTTATGTACAGTTCAAGGATCCTGGGGTATTAAGGGAGTGACTATGTCACTAAATTGCACATTCACATATGTAAAACAATAAAAATCATACTGCCTACTTCATTTGTATTAAATAGGAATACAAAATTATACATAGAGATTACTGTATATATAAAAACATTGATTATAAAATTACACCCCATAATTTAATAAAAATTGTTCCAACAAAACAAAAATACAATTAGAAAATAGATTTTAAAAAAGGCACCCAACACCAATAGTCACCACTAGAACTGATGTATAAGGACAATGATTATTATGTACAACTATGTATAGAAAAGAGAAAATGACTACTCTGAAAAAACATTAGACAATAAAACAACAGTAAGTTCTGGCACTAAAAAGAAGGAAAACAAAAACAGGCACTGCCAAGGCAGTGTTGTAAGGTACATATAACATTGTGTGCAGTGTAATAAATATAAAAAGTGACAAATAATTCACAGCACAATATCAGTAAAGAAACAATGTCATGGAGTTTAATTTAGCTCACTCCTTAAATCACTATGATATTTCACAGTTAAGTTTGCCTGCTATTATCATATCCACAATCTGTATATTTTAAAGGCACAATTAAGCACTGGGTGAGTGATACAGACAAGGTATCCTAAGTCTTTGTATCTGACATTACAAATCAGGGTTCATAGAAAGCAAAACTAACTTTCATTTACATAAGTTTAAAAATTTGACAGTAGGTGTAATCTGATATCAGATAGAAAGGCTGTATACAAACATGTACTTGTTGCAGAAGTATTAAACACTACAGAGCTAAAGACACATTATTTAAATTTTTTTGGCAAATAAACTGTCAATGTAGTGATCACATGTACAGATCTTAATAATGTAAGATTTTGGATAGAGTAACTGAACAAATGAAGTTCGATAGACTATTATTAACTCAAGATAATGTTTCATATTTTTGCATGTGGAAAAAACAGCACTTTTTTCCAGCACAACTTTCACTAAATTTAAATGTGCATTTACAATAGTTTTACAATACAAGTGTTTAGAAATCAAATACCCATTGGTACCCCAGATAGTATTAGTAATAAACTATTTTGATTAATAACATAATGAAAAAAAAAAGATTAGCAATATGTTTGCAACAAAATCATTACCTACAAATATTGGGTTTGATTAAAAACATATTTAGACCATATTTATATATTAACAGTCTGCTGTGACATGACCTAGAGAAGTGTATAATAACAAACAAAGCTTAAAATAGTATGGCACCTTTAAGAAAACAATATCAATTTATATGACATATATGACACAATTATCAAGGCCATTTACAAATAAATTCAGAAAAGCATAAGTTTTCAGTCAATGTTCTCAACAAATTCAATTTAAATAAATAATAACTTAAAAAAAAAATCCCAACAACGTGTTCAGGCTGACAAATTAACCCAATTGCTCTAAATAATATGACGGTCAACATATTACATCAGGTCCTGGCAGTTTTTCTTTAAACTGCCAATTTTTTCTTTAAATTTCTTTCTTTCTTCATCCAGCCGTTGTCTTTCTGCCAGCAGAAACTAGGAAAGAAAATTTAAAATTAAAAACAGTAGAGATAGCTTTTAAAAACAATGTTGTTTTAAGTAACAAGAATCAATTGTTAAAAAACCCCAAGTGTTTTTTGAATCAGGTGAAAATTTCTGTACTCACACTTACAGCCATATGCCTGTTGAGTGACTGAGAGGTTTGTTCTAGATTTTCGTTGTCTGCCTGCAGTTCATGACATCGCCCACGCAACAGATTTGCCTCATGTATTTGTTCTGCAGATATGAACATACATTTAAAGCAATCAGTAGAATTAACAGTTTTTTATATTCTGGCTTGTAGTATGCATGAGAAAATAACATTAATATAAATTTACATTGATATCAATCTATAAAGATGAATACCTTCTCTATATTTTTCATAAGACTTCATTACAACATCTATACCTGGCCACTTATATGCATTTCCAAAACCTAATATGAATTAAAATAAATAAATAAATTTATTAAGAAAACCAACCTGCTGTTATTTTATAGTTTCCCCTATTTTTTTAAAAAGGTAAGCATTATATCCAAAAATGGAGATAAAATATACTGAATTCATCGCTTAAAGTTTAAACTGGCACAAAAAGGCTGGATATTTGAATACATGAATAACTTACCTAAAGTGACTTCTGATGAAGAAGGGAGAAGACCAAGGTCAGATAAAAACTTTGACTTCTCTTGAGGTGGAGCATCTTCTTTTAGCAGCTGCAACTTGCTATAGTCAAAATGTAATTGTGAACAGGGCGTAAACCTTTTACACAGAGCTTCACTATCACTAGACTCAAATGCTGCCTCATGATTGTATTGTATGGGGCTAACACTAGACAAGCCTAACTGCCTTCTTCGTCGAATTTCTTTTTGTCTCAATAACTCTGAATGAAACAATTTTTATAAAAATAGATTGTTATATTACTGATTTCAGTTAATATTATTTATGGATGAAAATTCTAGATTCACCCTAACTTTTTTATTTCAAATACAGAAAACTTTAAAAAAATATTATAACACTTTAAAAATAATGATATAGCTTTTTTTCTTTTCAAAAAGAATATTCACCGTTTTTATTCTCCCATGTTGTGACACCAAGGTACTCCAAAACCTCCATTTTCTCAGGACAAACGTCTAATGGAATAGGGGTGACTCTTCCAATCATTGTTAGGCGTATCATCATTCTGTCCTCAACATCCATCTCATTATCTGAGTCTGCATCACTTTTTAACTTCCTTTTGCTTCTCCTTTTTGCCTCATGATCCAGCTTACTCAGGAATTGAGCTTGTTTGTCATCAGCTGTTGCAGTTTCATTTCCTGAGCTTTGGGATTCTCCTGCTGTTGTGGTTTCAGAAACTGATGCAGAAGTGCACTCACGAGCTAAACTTTTGAAATCAAATCTCTCGACTTTATTTCGAACATAACTTGATATAGGGTCAACTATTTTACTGTCACTTGTTATTGATAGTGGAGGTTGTTTTTCAATGGCAGCTTGTGAATTTGAGATATGGGATGACACCTTGATTGAAGGGATAGACAGAATGGCTGGCTGGGGTGTATGAGTAGAAGTATTTGATAGCAAAGACCCTAAATAAATATTTGAAGAGGATCTGTTCACATGGTCATCTGACTTGATTTCACCTGTACTAGATTTAGATGTCTCCTTGTCATCAAACGGTCTGAAAAGTGCTTTAGATTCTGAGCTACATCTAACTTTTCTGTTGTTTGATAATGGTGAAGGCTGATAAGAAGGGGAGAGCATCTGTGGTAAGTGTAACGACCCATGGGTTGGAGTAGTTGCAGGTTGTGGTGATAAAGTGGATGCTTTATCTTGATGATGGCTTGTTGAGTGCTGGCTGAAGGCATAGGAGCTATGGCTGCTTAGTTTGGCCATCTTTGGTGGGCTGTGAGATACATTTAGTTTGTTTCCAGACTCAGAGATCTGAAATACATATTAATTAAATTTTTTTTTCAACAACAGCTTTAAAAGTAAAAAAATTTGATCTGCAACTAAAGCAGTGAGATAATATGACGTTAGATAATAATAATGTTACTGAAGTCATATAACTTAAGGCAGATAATGATAACACACCTAATTCTAATGTACCTTGTGAGAGAAGATAATTGTATATAGCTATTAAGTAATCTTTGATTTATTTACTTTGTCAAGTTTGTTTAGAGAATTGTAATAAGTATGATAAAAAGTAAATTTTCAGCTGAGTGATGTGTTGTCTCCCTTGATTTATTATCCTGGACTAATTTTCAGCGGTATTAATTAATTGAAAACATAAACAGAGATGCTAAACTAAAAATAATATTCAAATGAGAAAATAACTTACATTAAGGTATTTTAAAATTTAGGCCTACATAAAAAAAAATGGTATGTAAAACTTTAAATATATATTTGTAGTATATGCTTGACTGAACAATAGTTAAAGCAGAAATTTTTGTTGATTATTTAGCTTGCTTTCTTTGCTTTACATGCTACTGATTTGCTATGTAGAACATAAAATGATCAAACATTGCTATATCAATATTCAGTTTAATTCTCTACCACTAATGACATCTGTTTGGCAAAAAAAAAAAAAAAAAAAAAAAAAAAAAAAATTCCTCATACTGCTGCATTCTAAAAGAATAGCTTTGGTTTTTTTTAAGTTGCAGACTTGATTAACCCATCCTAGCAGCTAAATGTATTGATATTTTAGTGTGAAATTAATAAGGCAACAGAAACAAATGCTTAGGAAAGAATATAACTTTCACATTTAATCTTAATTTGTTACATTTTTTTCTAAATTAAAAAATATAGATGACATTTTTTATTTGGCCAAAGCTGTGATGCCCATTGAATAGCAGAGCAAGATATTGTTTTGGTTAATTTTACGGGACAAATTCTGCAAATGGTGGGGCAGTAGACAATGTATGGTTAGTAGCAAAGGAACTAACAAAAAAGGGAGCTAACCTTTATAGAATGGCTCTTGGCATATTCTTCAAGTGAGGAAAGGTGTGGCTGGCTAAGACTTTGTAGGAGACTAAGACTTGGGGGAAGAGACCTCTCCAAATACCCATCTCTAGTGCTTACTTTAGAACCTGAAACATAATATCCTATTGTTAACTCTGGAGGAATAATGTTCGTTTATTTCAATAAAGATCACAACTCTTGTAGTTGAAGTATAGGAAAATATTATTAAGTGAATTATGATAGAATTAATTATGGATATGTTTGCAGTTTCAAGACTAATAAGAATGCTAATGCAAACAATTATCAAAATTAAAAAAAACAGATTAGTTAAAAAAATATACAAGACATACCCAGTTTTAATCCATCATACTGAAGTGGATGAAGCGGGGCAGGACTGGCAAGAAAAGGGTTGTTCATGTGTGAGACACCCAGCTGGTTCAGTAGCTGGGGACTTTTTTCTGAGATGGCTGTTGCAATACCCAGGGTTTCAGGTTTATGTTTTTCTTTATAGCGTTTATCTGTCAGCTGCTCCACAACATCATGTTTATATTCTCTCTCTACAGACAGAGGTGGCTCAGATTTTATCTCCCATTCTAAGAGCCGTTCTTGTTCTTTAGATTTTTGTCTAAGGTTTTCCTCTTCCAGGAAAGCTCTGACGACATATAATAATATAAGTAAAAATATTAATAAAAATAAAAATATAAGATTTTGAAAGTATTGCTTATTATTATGATAATACAGTAACGTAAACAAAAAGAAACCTACCTTTCCATCAAAGCACTTTGAGCAGCAAATCTGGGATTTAAAAATGGGTGACTAGGACTTAGATAGGGGTAGTGTTGTTGCAAAAGTTCAATGGGGTATTGCTGAGAAGCAGCAGCAGCAGCCAACATAGTATGAACATCTACGCCTCTAACGTGCTGTGGGAGGAAGCCAGCACCAGAGAAGGGCATGAATGTAGACTGCAGCATTCTGTACTGCTCCAGCAGCATGGGGTCATCAAGCCTGATAGAAAATAACATTCCGTTATACCATCAACCTGCCACTAATTTGTTGTTACCATAAAGGTGGTGGTGGTGGGAGGGGGGGTGGTGGGAGGGGGGGGGGGAGGGGAAATAGAAGATGATGTGAATACAACACACATTCAAGTCGAAATATAATGTTCTTTATTAAAATTTACACAATCAACTTCCTACCTAACTAATCTATACTGTACTACTACTACTTCTATCTAACTGTTCCCTAGCCCTACATATCTCTGACTGTCTCTACCACACTATCTAACTCTAATTCTATACATAACTCTGACCGTTCTCTTCGCTAGCTATCTATCAACTCTCTGGCCTAACTGCAGACCCACGCTTCAGTGGTCAGCTGACCGTCCCATGTGACCGGTCAGCTGCTGTACTTTCATTCGTCTCTCTAACTAACTAGCAATAGCCTGTTTCTATTAACTTCTTTTACTTGACCTGTCCGAACTAAACTAGCGTCATCACAAAAGGATCATCTGTTAGAATCCACGTGGTAAAGAAAGATAACTTATCTTAGAAAATTTTCTACAAACTGATTTACATGTACAGCTAGTATTAACATTGCTGAATTATCAAGATAAATGTACACATTTCTTAGGCTAGTCTTCAGCTCATATTTGACACTGTGTACATATATGACAAAGCAAGAAGAAAAAAGAATAATAAGAGTCACAACTTCTAAGATTAATCTTACTACAAAATAGTGGTGAATATTTTATAAATAAACACCTACGAGTTATACCTAAAAGGGGCCTGACCAAAGACTGCTTGCTGTTGAATTAGAAAAGGATGATATGAAGCAGCAGCCATGTAGGCAGCAGGGTCAATCCGCAGCGGAACAGTTAGACCATGGTGAGCAGCTTCTTCCTCAGACCGATAGTTATGATAATCTCTTGCATACATTTCTGAACTGTAGGATTTATGAGACCACAAGGTGTAACACATATTATTCAAATAGCAAAATGCAATTTAATATTTAAAAACTCATCAACACTTAGTCTATTAACTTTTTACACTATCTCTATAATAAATATTATTTTAATAAGAATTTTAAATGACAAATAGAGGACAAAACCAAGATATCTTTCAGGAAGTTAAGTAAAAATTGAATGATTCACTTACACTCTGCTATAAAGATTAGACATTTGTGAATCTCTTCCACGACTACCATCTCTTGAATCTAGTCGTAGCTGATGCTCAAGGGGTGACGTGTTGCTAGAAGCTAATGATCTTTCAAAACTCTAAAGAATTCAGAAAGAAAAAAAATTTATATATATAGATCTATATACAAAATACTGTGGGGGAAAATCAATGAAAAATAAAAACTATATATCATTAATCAAAACATTTTTTTCGCCACCTGTTTAGTATCTGTTTGGCCTTGAGAAGGCGTGTAGGATCCACCAGGGGTTAATACATTGACTTTAGATGGGAAAACCAGTGGACCATGTGCTCTTTTAGGTGTGGTCGAACGGGAACTGCTATGTGAGGGTGGGGACCTGCTGTGCTTTACCGAAGTTTCCTCTGAAAACAGGAAAAAACAATTTTAGATGTCTTAGCATATGAATGAGATTAAAACAATGAATAATTTAAAGATTTTGATATTAACAGAATAAAAAATTTCACAACACTAGCTCCTACCATTAGGGTCTTTAGTTTGGTGTGCTAATTTACGCAGAGCAGCAGAGAAGCTGGAGAGGCATGAAGATCCAGGGACAGAGTTTGGAGATATGTGAGATGATGATGGCATAATGGCTGTGATTGGTAACTTCCCAGATGAAGAGCTTGTTATGTTAAGTGTAAGCCTGTTACTTACTGGACCTATTTCATCCAAATAACAATGTCATATACATAGCATGGGTAAACTTTTATTTCCTGAACCATATTACACAAAAAAATCAATAGTTACACCAAGATCAACTAGACTTAATTAAATACTCTTGTTTTACAATAGAAATAAATTCAATTACCTGGAATGGAATCTTCATTAGCATCTGTAACATTTTCTTCAATGGCATTAGAAACATTTATGTCATGATTCAGGCCCTGCACAGGAATAATTTACAACTTTAAAAAAATTTATGATTAAAATGAGAAAAAACAATGTCACATTTGTTAAGTGAATTTTTCTATATGCACACAGAAAGTCTGAACAAGCTTGTTTGAAAAAGATATATGTGCAATTTTTGCCCTTAGTGAGTGTGTTGAAAGTGGAAGGTGTGGTTTTAACATATCTAACTTTCCTATCTAAATTTTACATTTGTTGAGTATTTTTTAAACTGTGTTGCTATATACACTAAGAAAGTCTGACAAGCTTATTTGAACTAGAATATCTGTGCAGTTGTTGCCCTTTAGTATGTTGAAAAAATAGGGGTGGGGTGTTAACCTATCTACATTTAGCAAGGAAATAGATAACTTTTTTTATTAAAGATGATACTTTTTTTAAAACTTGCATTTCATTAAATTGATTAACTGTAAGGTGCTACAAAATTTAATAGTAAAAAGGTTTAGTTTCATGAGTAACAAACTTGGACATAATAAAGTACAATACTCACACTACTCTGGGTATCACTATTGTCTTCATTATGATGCTGCACAGTCCAGTTGTACTTGCGCAACTCAAGAGGGAGGCCCAGCCTTTCAAACTCAGTGTACTGGTGAGTGAGGCTGAAGTGGCAGGATCCACAAGCCCCAACCGCTTGCCCTCCCCACATCACCAGGGCGTGAGGTGGAGCTTTGTGTTCCCGTAAAAACTGAAACTTCTGAACTTCTAGAGTTCGTAATTTCTTTCGAGGAACCATCATGCCACAGACAAAACAAACAAAATCATTTAACTTGTATTTGCGTTGCCAACGGCTGCTTTCAGTGTTACCTCTAGATTCTTCATAGTCTCTCCACTGGTTTAACAAGCTGTAAAAACAGTATGAGCAAGAAATGACAACACCATCATCATTCATAGGCTCAGCTCCAGGTGCTGGTTCATGGCTGGCTAAAAATGGGAAGAACGGAACAGCGTGAGACTGCCCACCAAACGATTTAGCATCTTGTCGAACTGGGTACGAGTAAAGCAATTGAGTTTTTGTTATGAGGCATTTTTCTCCACATAGAAAGCAGACCTTCTTAGGCCTCTCACCAGCTTGTTGCAAGGGGTGAGGGATACTAAGGACAGAAGCGGATGATTTGGACTCCCCACTGTAGTTTTTGTTAGAATCATGTCCAGAAGTAGCACTGGCTGATGACAACTGACCAGACTGCACGTATGTTGCATGAGATGTTTTGGCCAGAGAAGGACTTTTACTAGTTTCTTTAACCAAAGAGATTGGTGCCTGCCTGCTTGTAATGTCTTCAGGTTTAGGTTGTAAGTCAACTTCTAAGGAAGCTAACCCAGAAGCTGTGGTAGGAGGCAGCAAGGAATATCTTCTATGAAGAAAAGGCACCCTCTCTGTCTCATACCGATGCCACTGCAATTGTAAATTACTGAAGCAGCTAATGCAAACCTGTACCGAACCATCAGGATTCAATGGCCGTGCCCCATGTGGACGACGAAGCTCTCTTATAAAAGGAAAGTACATGTGGTCCTTTTTCCCACTCAATGGGGCAGTATAAAGTGGACACATCTTGGAAGAAGAACATGTCTGCCCACATAAATAACAAAAATCTTTCGAACTGGCTTTCACCTCTTTTCCTAAACCAGCAATCAAGCTTGCATCATTGCTGAAGAAAATATCATTGACCTTAAAGATTCTAGCACTGTTAGGAGTGCCCTGATGTTCATATGAAAGCCACTGGTGACAGAGAGAGGAGAAGCAGTGATCACAAACCTGACAGATGCCTTGTTCATTCAGTGGTGCTGCACCTTTTGGGGGACTAACCTTCATCAGAAATGGGAAATATGGCTTGTTTGTGGCATGCCTATTGCTAGAAATGAATTTAGCTGCAACACCTTGACTTTCAGCTCCACAGGTGTAACAGATAAAACCAAGTTCATCTAAACTGGACCTGGATGATGAGACTTCTGGTCTATGATGGACTACTTCCTGATTTGGTTTTACCTTACTTTTGTTGTTTACCTCAGACTTGATAGGCACAGATAAATCTAGGACCCCCTCATCACAGTCTTGTTTTCTACTCATGCTGTAGTCTAATTCTCTGTTCCCGCTAGTAAATCCATCCCTAGAATCTGGTGACAATGGTGCACAACTGTCTCCACATGATGGCTGATACTGCAGGCCCATCACCTGAGCCATATACTCTCCTTGAAGCTTCATCTCTGCCCCAGTAAACTGACCATCGTCCAACCGCTTCAGCCAATAAAGACGCTTAATAGCAGGTGTGTTTGTTCGTTCGTAAGTATCCCATTGTTGTGTGAGAAAAGCATAGCACACCCTGCAACTATCCACAACACCATCAGACCCAGGAATGCGGCTTCCTTTTGGTGGGTCATGATGCTCTAGAAAAGGAAAGAAAGCACGGCCTTCATTGGGTCGACTGTGCAACTGAAACTCTCCACCTAAGCTTCCACATACAAAACAAACTATTCTACTTGGCATCGTTATTCAAGCCTAGGCTACATCATCAGTGATTGTTTTTTAATCATGGTTGTTTAATATTATTTGCATTGAAACTTTAAAAACATTCATCTGCAAAGAAGTAGATAAAAAATATATAGAATAAAATGTAAAACATACTGTAAAAATTATTACAAAGGTTTAAGTACAAGTTTAATGTAGTTGGCCTTTTCATACAAATGCTTTAATTTAATGTAATTCAGTTCCTAAAAAAAATTGCAACAAAGTTTTAACATTCTAGATTTAACAGAAACAATATTTTCATTAGGTTATTAACCCTTAAAGTGCGTGCCACCTGGCATTATGTGTTATAAATTTTGTAACAGCAAAGCCACGATCGTGGCTTGGCGTGCTTTCAGGGTTAAGAAAATGAATGTTTTGGCATAATAAAAAAACTCACTTCATTTACATAAAAGAGAAAGTATTTCATACTTGCCTTCTAAATGCATATCAATGTGTACAAAACTTTTTCATTTTATGTAGGCCTATATTCAATCTGAAAACATTAAGAAGAAATGAAGCCTAACTCAACAAAATATTTGTAACAATTAAAAAGCTAAAAATGCATTGTTTTCTTCTGGTAATGTAAACCACTACTAGGTTTAACCATTGCTAACACTAACATTCAATACTTAGTATAAATTATAGGGTATTTAGTACATGTCAACAACAATGATTGTCACAAAAGGAACCTTCTCAAACCTATAACACTAATGTCACTGTGTAGCCTAGATTTCTAAATATATTTTAGTATAAGTTAAAGTAACTTAGGTCTAGATGAGGTAGCACAGACCTACTTTCTTTACAAGTTAATTCACTGATGTTGATTTACTACTAAGACTGAGGCCTACTTACAGTAGCAGGTCTAGATCTAGATTTTTAAGCAGACTACAGCCATAACATACAACAAAATGACTAGATTTAGGACTAGATCTAGACTCTCTAGAACTCGAGATATAGGTAATTTTATGACATAGTGTCGGATATTTTTCTGGAATAGTTTATCAGTAAAAGAAAAACCCATTAAATAAAATGTAGAGTCTGTTGCATTGTTCTGGTTTACACCATATTTTATTTGATGCTATCTTTTAATAATACAGAGCGTTTACAAATTTGGGTAAATTAATTTTAAATGCTTGTTAAATAGGCCTACTGTTTTACCAATATTATTGTTTGTAGGCCTATTGATAGGCCTAGGCCTATTAATTTTTTTTCTTTTTTCTTCTTATTATTGCTGCTAATCAATTTTTGTCAATCACTGTTCTCTTCTGTTTTGCTAATTTAGAAATCTTTTTTTTTTACTGTCACAAAGTTGAAAGTTTCTGCAAATTTTTATTTCTGTGTTTCTTAAAATAACTAATGCTACACTATTGAACTTGACTTCATTATTTAAAGGCCTTATAATTATTATTAATACTACTGTACTAGGCTAATGACAAATCAAATAATGAGTAATTCTGAGTAATTCAGAACTAGAGTAGATTGCAGATTTTAACTCTATTAAATTCAATATCATGTAATCTAGAGAGATACTAGATCTAGAAAGTAGATGGTCTAGATTAGAGATCTATTCTAGATCTAGATTAGATCTAGATTCTCGCTTGTTAAGTGTTTGAAGTGTTGATTTTAAATTTTAATTTTAAGACTGAAGACTGAGACATTGATTCTCGACTCTAGAGTCTAGAGGGAGGGGCATGTTGTTGACCCATGTAAAACAACAATGGTAGGCTAAAATAAAGAAGGCCTAGTCTACCACCACAAAAACTAGATTAGTTAAAACTTAAAACTACGACAAAGCACTTTGGTTTTTTACTACACTAGCGATCAGATAATTCTAGAGACTAGAGTCTAGATTCTAGAAATCTTTTTACCTGATTATAAACAGGCCAGGTAAGCTTTGTTTTTATTATCATTTCGTGTAAGATAATATCAGATTGTATATTCTAGATCTGCATCTATTAGTTTTTCTCATTTAAGAAGTGTAATATTTATGTCTATCTTGAGTTTATTGTTCTGCATAGTTTACCTATTTATCAATCACCCGGATGACGTACTCAACTTTTGGTTCTTCCGTGTCCGCCATTTTAATCTTACAATTTTTAGGCCAGTACGGGTGGGCGCCACAGGATATCGAAACTAAGTATTCATTGTTGTAATTTAAATTTACCCGATACTTGCTCGGCGACCATTATCTGCCCTTGGTTTTTCACGCCATTACAGATAGATCTATATCTTTACATCTCAACTAATCTAGATCTAGATCTATATAACAAATAAAAACACTTTATAATACCAAGCTTTTAATTGCGCTGAAAATAAGAAAACAAACGAACTACTAAAAGCTTTGATCGCTAAAAGATATTAGAGTTCTCATGAGCGACTTAAGCTTTTATTAAAGAAAGCAAATTCGTAATTTCCCTTATTTTCAGTGCATTTAAAAACTAGCTTTTTAAAAGGTTTTTATATTTGTTTTATTTTCCTGCTTTTGAGTATTATATGTCTTAAGAATTCGACAACTCATACAACAAAAAATATTTGCTCGTTCACGGGCGTAAATACAACTGTCCGTGACCAACAGTCAGTGTTTCTCCCAGACTTTTTTCTCGGGGCGGGGGGGGGGGGGGGGGGGGGGGGGGGGGAAGGTGTAGACACTGTTAAAAGTATATACTTTCTATATAAATTCCATTTTGTTCAGGGGAGTGGTAGACTTTTTTCGGGGGAAGAAATTCTGCCAACAGTTCACCGCCGACAGCAAGATTAGGAGTCATTAATAAATGACGTCACGCTTTTTTTGACGATTTTTACCTCCCCCCTCCCCTCCGTCACGCGTCGTCACAAAAAGCCAGACGCACACCTCAGCCTACAACCCCCCTCAAAATTGCAGTTGAATTTAAAAAAAACATCGATATTTTCCCAAAATCTTGTCTGAATTCTGTCAAAATAGAGTATTTTAATCAATTCCTATTACAATTTATTAAAACAGTTTTCTAAAACGCGAAATAACATCTAAAATTCGTTTTCTAACATTGCCTTTTTATAATGCAAAAGTGTGACGTCGCACCATCTGAACCCCCCCCCCTCCTCCTCATCACACACCGTCACAAAATTTCGGACCCCCCTCCCCCCTACGAGTGTGACGTCATTTATGGACGACCCCTTATCAAGCGATCTCAAGTACTAAATTTTGTTATCTCCCCTTACCGAAATCATTTGATTTTATGTCTATCTTATTAAATTAAAAATTAAATACTCTTCCATTGTTATCGATATTTATCTTGAGATTATTATGCCTCTATAATAGACTGTATTTTTAAACAGATTTTCCGTTATTTTTCCATTTTAAAAACTACTTTTTTATATTGCTCCCTTTCGTTTAATGGATCAGTGTCATGTTTATATAATCTAGTCTAGATCTAGATCAGGGATTTCTAAACCTTTTTCAACAGTTTCATTTGCGCTTTCACGGTACGAGCCATTCTTAACAGTACTATCGTCCGCACTGACCAAATCCGATTGTGAATAATATGAGTCGGCTGTGTGCCTTGACCTCCCCGAACCCCCGAGTCTGACTTACCTAACCCTTGAGTATCAGAGTTTCTTTTAGGCATCTCTTCGGTAAGCAGTGTTTCTTCCAGACTTTTTTCTCCGGGGGAGGGGGGGGGGGCACTTGAAATTTTAGGGGGGGGGGGGCGAAGAGATGTCTGGAAGAAAGTCTACCGGTAAGGCCCCCCCCCCTCTGTAATACGTCTACCGCCCCCCCCCCGCCCCGAATGAAATAGATTTTATATAGAAAATATATACTTTTACCAGTGTGTCCTACGCCCGGAATTGTTAGTCCCGTCCCTCTCACCCCCCCCCCCGGCGGAGAAAAAAGTGTGGAAGAAACACTGCTGCGGTTCGATCAATATTTTCTTAACATTTTTGGAGGTGCCGGACTACAACAGTTTCATTTGCGCAGTCACCGAACCCTTCTTAATATTGTCCGCACTGACCAAATCTGATTGGGAATCATATGAGTCGGTATGTATCTTGACCAGTGTTTCTTCCAGACTTTTTTCTCCGGGGGGGCACTTGAAATCTTCGGGGGGGCGGTAAACTTTCTTCGGGGGGGCGGACACTGTTAAAAGTATATATTTTCTATATAAATTATATAAATTTCATTTCGTTCGGGGGGGCGGTAAAAAATTTTCGGGGGGGGCTTCGCCCCCCCGAAGAGATGCCTGGAAGAAACTCTGATCTTGACTTCCCCGAACCCTGACTCACCAAACCCCTGGGGTTCGATCTAACCCATGTTAAGGGGGTAGGCTCCAGAAAAAACCAACTTCTTAATTAAAACCTTTTATTGATTTATTTGTGTATATCTAAGTTAGTGTACTTGAAAGAAAATATTTCCATGCATCAGGCGCTCTTTTGAAAATATGGTTGCCATGGCAACGGCGGCCATCTTGAAAAAAAACATGCTTTTCTGGAGTTCTAAAATTTCGTAAACTAACATAAATATTGGCTATATAACCATTGATCCTTCTTGTACTAACGCTAACAGAGTCAGCTGGCTAGTTTTTGTAACAGAAATCACTCTAGAATTTTTTTTTTTAATTTTCGAAATTTGGTGTGACGAAATTCCAATGAAAAAAACTCTAAATTCAATGGAATTTCACCACAATTTTTTTTTGAAAATTTGAAAAAATTATTTCTAGCTGTTTTTCGGTTAAAAAAATTAGCATACTGACTCTATTAGTGTTAGTACAATAAAGATCAATGATTATATGGGCGGTTTATATGTTACTTTAGGAAATTTTAGAACTCCGCAAAAGGTATTTTTTCCAAGATGGCCGCCGTTTCCATGGCAACCATATTTTCAGAAGAGTCCCTGGTACATCCAAATATTTTTCCTTAAGTGCCCTAACTTATACATACACAAATAAATGAAAAAGGCTTATTAATTAAAAAGTTTTTTTACCCGTTTTTTCGGGAGCCTATCCCCTTAAGAAACACTGATCTAGAATCGAAGTTGTAGTATCTTTGTCGGCGATACCAATTTGATATTGAACTCTTCATCATCAAATTAGTACTCGACTACTCCCGTTTTCTATGTAGTTCGCGAACTTTTTCAAGCATAATTTAAAGAATAAGTTTTAGAGCTAGGGCTATCGTTGATTCGGCATATAATATTAGCAATCCTTTATAAAAATAAGAAAGTTGTTTATAAAAAAATAATTAATTTTGTTTTGTAAAACCCCACAGCATATCGATGATCACTTCTTAGATCAAAATAAAATTATCGATGCCACCTTAACAAAATGGCAGCCTCCTTGGTCTGCAGGAATTTGGGGACAAAGTGTCATTCCATTCTTAGGCTGACTTTATCTGAAGTATGGACACTACCTATTCTTCTTCTTGTTAGGCCTAAAATCTAAATAGATCTCTAGTTAATTTGTTTTGAATGACTCTTTGCTAACAAGTGGATCGTAATCTAGATCTATACTATAAATAATAATCCCCGGTAATCTATCGTTTTAGGTACGTAAAATCGCCCGCCGCTAGTAATGTACGAAAAAGTTACCTCATTGTCAAGGCTTTAATAGAAGTATATTGTGATATGTTTGTGTCAAATATTATAGATAAATGAATAATAAACCTAAATCAATGGCTAAATATATCAATATAGGCCAGAAATTAACTTTAAACAGCAGTGTCTGCAAGCAAGATTTCCTATATAAACAGCAGCCATTTGTAAAATAGAGTGACTTCCGCCTGAATCTTGCGCTTTAAGTCTATACAAATAAAACTTTAACAAGATGGCTGCTATAGTAAATGAGCATGGTTGCATCTGTTGGAAACATCGCTAGTCTTCATTTATTACTGAAAAGTTTTAATTCAATTGTTTAAAAACAGGTACATAAATGAAACAAGGAAACATTTTTGTATTTTTAAAACATAAATCCTCCTCAAAATGTGAAATAATTATTAAAATGTAATGAGTCACCTGTTTTTCACATTACTAGTCGCGGGCGATTTTACGTACCCAAAACGATAGATTACCTAATCCCCATCCATAGAAATAGATAGATTAGATTTGATTAGAAGACGACTAGATCTATATTATTATATTATTAGTACTCATCATCATAGTCAATACTCAATACTATCACTCAATACAGACTAATACAGTTAAATACAGAGTAGGGTTAGGGACAAGGTCAGCATTGACATTAGCCAGCCATGTGTTATTTAGTTAACTACCAGTAACCTAACATCCCTTTTTTAAAGAAGATACCATATTATCAATATTATCGGACACTGGTGTAAAAGTTCTCCCTTGTTACTTGTTTAAAAACAGGTGCATGAATGAAACTTTGAAACATTTTTGTAACTTTCAGAACATAGATCTAAATTTTCCTAAAAATGTGAAATAATTACTAAAATATAATGAGGCATCATCTTTTCACATTACTAGTCTCGGACGATTTTACGTACCTAAAACCATAGAGGATGATATTTCGAGTCGTCCCTTTGAATCCCGGTCAGAACGTCCCCTGTCGTGGCCTCAACCAACCAGCGGGCTTTTTGCATTGACTGACTGATTGACTGAAATATAAACTCAAAACATCAATATAGGCATAAAAAGTCTCATTTAAATTGGTTAGGCCTTAATACATTTAACAACAAAATAGTGGTTACAAAATCATCACATAGACATGAGAATAGAAAATGTTTAAAGGAAACTACTCTCATACATTTTGTAAAGATTGCTGCTGTTTTTATTTACAATATAATGCTTATAATTTTAAAGATAATTCCAGGATATGTTCTAGTAAATTGGCCCTTGATGGTTATTTTATTTTAGTTATCTAGATTTACTAGCTGCAAAACACAATAGGAACAACAAAAAAAACAACCTTACTATATTATTAATTGATTTGGCTAAAAAAGAAAAAGAATCTGTTAAATCACTGTAATCACATTCTACTTACACAAATGAATATTAAATATTTTTTGGAACTAACACACACCAACAATCTAAACATAGCCCATTTTTATTCCCACAGCCAAGAAAGCTTAGAGTTTTTGCCTTTAACCCTGAAAGATTGCAGCCAGTGTCTTCATCGCAAACTTCTGGCCAGTTATATAAAAAAAGCTTTTCAACATCTTCAAATACATTTGATCCTCTTACAACTAAGACAAGGTCACTATCAACAGGAAATGAAAGTGAAAACACAGACCCCCCACAAAGTCAAGATACATATAAGTAGGTTTGCTTTAATTTAAATGTTAAAAAAATCCACATGATAAAGCACTTTATCGTAAAATATACTCACAGTGTGTATTGTGTTGCCAACTGATGGAGAAAAGAGTCGTCACCTGCATGTTTTAATCTCTTTTAGCCCGGCATTCACAGGCAAATCTGGAAAAAACCCAACTGAAATAACATAATTTGAATGTTAAAGCTGCAGATTCAGCCATTAAAAATTACAGAGAGTCCGTAATGTTCTGTAATACAATATTACGAGCTGACCCGCGACGTGGCATACACCGCTATCTAGTTGTTTTATTTTCTACTTATCAACAATTCATAATTTGTGAATTTAACACTATCCACCACCCTGCCTCCCACCCTGCCCAGTGAAAGCAGCCGTTTACAGACGACAATGAAAATAGCAAGCAGAACTTATTATCTCCCCTTAGTTTCAAATCGTTTAAAAACTAAATCATCTGCCACTTGACAGGTGGGGATGAGGGTGGTGGCTAAGCTGCATGGTGTTTTCTATGGTGTCCATGAAGAGAATTTTATATTTATAGATTGTTCTATATACAAATGTGAATGGTAAGTTAATGTGCAGACGTGGGTGCCATTACATACGTGAGCTCAGAATAAATTCAGAACTAACAGCTGTTATAAACTTGTTAAAACTAAATGAAAGATATTATCACTATATTACAATACTTAACTGGTTTATTTCAGAGAGCTGTATATACCCATTACAATGCAGACTATTATTCGGCACCTAATTCAAGATAAAGGATTGTTAACTGATATTGAACATAAAATTCTCCCTGAATTTGTTTCTGCCCTTGATAGTGTACTAGTCAATAAATATTACGGAGTTTTGCAAGAATTAAAAGTGAGCAGCTAAGCTAATTTTGATAATTGGTAATTTAATTCTTTGGTTCAATAATTTCTGTTTATCTGACTGAAGTATTTATACTTGTATTAATATAAAATTATATAGTCTTTTCTTTATTAAACAATGTATTTTATTTTGTTTTTAACACAATTCCTAATTTTAACAGAATTTTAAAATATCATTATTTAATTTGTTAAATATAAAGATTTCATTACTAGTAGTAGTAGCAGCAACCAATGTGACTTGATAGTCATCACAGATTTATTTTAAAGTAAACAAAAGCAGTAAGTAATAAAAAACCATGTTTTCCAGGAATTGTTTGACCCTATCAATCCTGATAAAGATACTATATCAATTAGAGAAATGACCAGAGGTGAAAAATTAGATAAAGAATTTTGGCTTATACAAAAGTTGGAGGATGTCATGAAAAAAGCAAATTTTCATGAATTACCAAGAGATAGAGTAGAGCAGCTTCTTAAACCTCACCCTTCAGAACAAGGTGTTCATGTAAGTCTTTTTTTTTATTTTTATTTAGCCAGACATGAAATATGTAAATAAAAACATTGATATTAAAATATTAATGTACTCTATTAAACTGACTATTTTATGAATTTTGTTTTCTCACAAAATATTAGGTGACTGTTGACCCAAGCCGCTACGATGTTCTTAAATTTTGGGTACTTGGACAGGAAAAACCAGAATTGGAGCTGTCTGCACTAGATAGAACTGTAGATAAAATCTTTAAACTTAAACCTAAGCAACCTGTGGAGTACTATAAACGAGTTGTGGTAGCTGTAAGGTTGAAGAAAGATTTAAAACTCATGTTGAAGGCATTTAAAGAGGTTTGTTTATCATTTTCATTAGTAGTTGAAAAATAAAGTAACATTTCAGGGTATAATTTAAGTTTGATCTCCCACACAAAAAGGCTAAAGATTCCTTTAAATTGTCAAGATTGTTAAGTTTGATACAACTTTGTTACAGAATTATTTGAACTGTGTTTACATGTTTATAATTGTCTCACATTAACACACTACTCAATGTAATGTTAATTTAAATATTAATAGAGGATTATTTTTACATTTTTATGGAGAAATTATTAAATTTGCAAATAATCTGACTTTTGATTAAAATACCTGCTTTTAAAATATTTTCTTTTGATTTCAGATTCCAATAGAAAGCATTGAAACATTACTGCCTGATGGAAAAATAGAAATGAGCCCATTCGACAAAGCTGCCTTGGCTTTTTTTTCATCCCTTGCTGGTCTTGGTGTCTTGACTAAAACTGTTACAGTTTTGGCAGGATTAAATGCAAGTTCAATCATTTTTCTGTTGATTATTTAAATGAAAGTTTACCATTAAGTGGAACTTGTTAATCAGCTCACATGCTCACATTTGGAAGACATGATTGTGATAATTTAACCCTTAAGTCCATACTACCTACTCACATATGTAGTGATGGCTGATTAACAAGAACCCATTTTATTAACACAAGGGGTAAAAAATTACTTTATATTAGTTTTTTATTTTTGGATTTTCATTATTTACATTTTCTTATTTATTTTTTCATATATACTTTTTGTGTTATAAGCTATTTAAATTATTAAAAAAAATAGTGAATACATTCAAATCTTTGTTGTCATTCTATTCTGAGTAGATTGACTGGACCTTGTCATTCACCTTTATTGGCAGCTATGGACTTAAAATTTGGTCTTCACATAATGAAAAGAAAAATGAATATCTAAGGCAACTTTCTAGAACTCTTTACTCAAAGGTGATTATTATGAAACTTTTCTTTGTTATATAAAACGAGCCGACCCGCTGCGTATCATACGCCGCTATTTAGTTTTTTTTTTCTCTACTTTTCAGTAATTTATAATTTGTGAATTCGACAGTACCAATGCTGCCACTGAAAATATTTGCTTAAAAACACTAAACCCCCCTCCCCCCCCACGTGAAAGCAGCCTCCTCTTAGTTACCTCCTCTAAGTTTAAAACAGTTTCAAACTAAATTATCTGCCCCTAATAGCCGTCACCAAACCCGTCTCTATGATTGTAAAATGTAAACAGCGTGACCACAGCTCACCAGACAATGTGGGGGTGGGGTGGGGGTGGTAGTGATAGTGATAGAGAGAAAGAGAGGGGACTGCAAGGAGGCGCTTGCAGCTTGTTTTCTAACGGCTCCCAGAAGAGAATTATATAATAAGAAGATACAATTTTATAGTTGTGTAAGCAATTATAAGGTACATAAATATTTGAAGTCCAATTATGAGATTGTTTAAATAAATGCCTTGTAAACCCTATTGTGAGAGAACAAATGTTGAAATAAATTTAAAGTTTATTAAAAAAAATTTCAAATATTCCCAAAATTGATAGAAATTTACTCTTATTAAAATATTTTCTTATTACTTTATTTTTTGCTGTGGCATATAATAGTTGACAAAGTGGTTTCATGTATTTTGTTACATTCCACTAGAACATTGCTAACAACAAAGGACTTCTGACACTTATGGTAGATAGAGCAGCAGATGAAACTCTAAAAGAAGCCTTACTGACCTATGTATTCTTACTTACATCTCAACCCATGAGTGAAAGAGAAGACCAATCTTCATGGTCCAATAGTGGTAAGTGTTGGATGTTCAATTTTACTCATTGATAATTTCTTCCTACTATGACCCCATGATAGTTTTATGCACACTTTCAACAATGCACAATTACACACAGAGGTATAATAATATTTCCACATTTTTGTGTGGTTTCCATGGCAACTGGAGCTGATAGTTGCAATTTTATGTGTATGCATGTGTAATTCATGTGTATTCCTTAAACATCTTAAACCATGCTAAATAATTTTTTTTTTAAAGGTGGTGTCTTGCCTTAGTTGCATATAACTTAAATTTGATAACCATTTATTGAAATTTTAGTAATCATCACCCAGTTTAACAAATATTTGCTATATTTGTTAATATTAAAATTCAGTTAAATTATAGAAAACCATGGCTCGTTCGGATGTTATTACTAATCATCATATAGTGCTACGTTGCCTGCTTCTAACTATAAGACACATTCTACTAAATATAAATTTCCTTTTTTTCCTGTAGATGGTTTTACAAAACAAGAACTTGAAGACCTTGTGAGTGCTTGGATCAAGCAGAAGACTGGTGTGGATCTACATTTTGACTCTAGTGAGTCTCTTCAAATCTTCAAAACTCTTGGACTTGTCTCAGAGAAGAATGACAAACTGCAAGTGCTTTCGCTGGATGCAGCCTGCAGGATTTTGCCAAAGGTTCCGCTCTCTGTGATAACTAGACGTGCTGCTGAGGCCGATATAACAGAAGGCTATGACAGGGATGAGTACTTGGAGACAGAGGCAGAGTACAAAGCAGAAGATAAAAAATCTCGTAGAAATGGCTGGTTTTGATGAGCATTTGTAGTGTAGTCATCCTATCTTGTACTTTAGACAAGACATATAGAGATGGGTTCCCAGCATTGTAACCATAGAATACTTTTAATTTAAACATATTTAAAGTTCTCTGGTTGAAAGACAATTTCTAAAGGAATCTGTACTTGTAAGTATGGATGTTACTCTTCTTCTTAGCTTTTGTATACACAACTCTACATGTGATAATTAAATTTCTTAGAGCTTCATATACAAAAGTTTCGGGTGAATAGAATTTCAATTTAAAATGTGTGATCAGGTTTTATGAAAACATTATGTCTTCAACAGTGTATTAGCGTTGTTCCTGTTAGACTGCTGACTATGTTTATGTGAGGGACTTTGATGTATATTAGTTATTGTTAAACTTTTAATTGTCTGTTAAGGATTTTCAATGTAATCTTATTCATATGCAATAGTTATGGTTGGTGTGCGTGGAAAATGTTACTATTATTAATATTTAATTACTAACAATTACATATAGAAAAATTTCTTTATAATGGGACTTATTAAGCCTCTTTAGTTACAATTTTAAAAAAAAAATAGTGTTACTTATTAATTAATCCCATAAACAGCAGAATTAATTCATCTGATTAAGTGCCTAAATTTATCAAGAAAACAGGTCAAACTTTCTACTCAGCTTTAACTAAACTGTATGATATAGCTATGTTTCTTTTGTCAATATGTTTCATTATTATTTGCAGCAATGCCACCATAAAGCATTTAGTAAAGATGGTTGGTAAAATTAAGCAAAACATGTTGAGTACATGAGATGATGTTGAAGAATGAATAAACACGTATTAAACATTCTTGTGTGATTTGTTGCTAACTTATTTTAATGTTCTTTTACATTCATGCCGGTGAAATAAAGAACAACCAAGTCATGAAAATCTACTTTATTACTTCTAAACATCAACTGCTTATTGGTCCAACATCAGATTAACATAAGTACTGAATGATTTCTTCACCTAAACACCAATCTTAAAATTCTATATACAAAAAATATCTATGTGAACTAAACAAACATGGGTAGCTAAAGAATAGGTTTATGTATAAACTATCTGCAGTATCTGCTACTATAAAAATTCAGAATTAAACCATCAAACGGATATTTTCAAATTTTACGGGACTGAACAACTAACTTGCCAGTTAAATTTGATAAATAACTTTTATACAGTTCTGTTAAAATTGTTATAGGTTATGGTTAGGATGAAAGTTATAAGAAGCAATTTTTTTTTTGGTTCCTTCAGGAAAATGACTTGATTACATACATGAGGGCATTTGATTGTTGTAGATTAGGTAGGTAATTCAGGAAGTGTAAAATACAAAACAGGAGACACAATTTTTTTGAGAACCCACCAGACTAAAACACATTTGAAAATTCTTTAAGCTGATTATAAATTATTGTGAGGTATTAATAATTAAAACATTTTTTATCTACTCAATACATTTAAAATATTCATTTGTATTAAAATAGTACATTCCAAGTTACTCTTAAAGAGCTGTATTTTGGAATTTCGTGTAAAGATTCAAACTTCAAATCACCAGTGTGACATGCAGTATGGTGTTAACAGTGCAACATTAAATGATGAATGATTCTTGGGAATGTTCATTCAATGATCATCTTTACAAAACATTTAACATTAGACTGCAGCGAAGTTTGCTGGAGGAATTCCACTATAATGTCTCATCTGAAGTGTGGCCTAGAGTCCACTCTAATGGCTCATCTGATGGGTGGCCTAGAGTCCACTATAATGGCTCATCTTATGGGTGGCCTAGAGTCCACTCTAATGGCTCATCTGATGGGTGGCCTAGAGTCCACTCTAATGGCTCATATGATGGGTGGCCTAGAGTCCATTATAATGGCTCATCTGATAGGTGGCCTAGAGTCCACTCTAATGGCTCATAAGATGGGTGGCCTAGAGTCCATTATAATGGCTCATATGATGGGTGGCCTAGAGTCCATTATAATGGCTCATCTGATAGGTGGCCTAGAGTCCATTATAATGGCTCATATGATGGGTGGCCTAGAGTCCACTCTAATGGCTCATCAGATAGGTGGCCTAGAGTCCATTATAATGGCTCATATGATGGGTGGCCTAGAGTCCATTATAATGGCTCATATGATGGGTGGCCTAGAGTCCATTATAATGGCTCATCTGATAGGTGGCCTAGAGTCCACTCTAATGGCTCATCTGATAGGTGGCCTAGAGTCCATTATAATGGCTCATCTGATAGGTGGCCTAGAGTCCACTATAATGGCTCATATGATGGGTGGCCTAGAGTCCATTATAATGGCTCATATGATGGGTGGCCTAGAGTCCACTATAATGGCTCATCTGATGGGTGGCCTAGAGTCCACTCTAATGGCTCATATGATGGGTGGCCTAGAGTCCATTATAATGGCTCATCTGATAGGTGGCCTAGAGTCCATTATAATGGCTCATCTGATAGGTGGCCTAGAGTCCATTATAATGGCTCATCTTATGGGTGGCCTAGAGTCCACTCTAATGGCTCATATGATGGGTGGCCTAGAGTCCACTCTAACGGCTCATATGATGGGTGGTACATGGCTAGAATCATGGCAAATAAAGATGGCTAGGCATTTTTTTTAGTAAACATCTCTTGCAGGGGTAATAGAAACTGGTGAACTCTACTTCTTCAATCCTCTGGAATGTCTGATATGAAAAAGTGTACCTTGTACTAAAAATATACATTTGATTAGTTGGGGGGGGGGGGGGGGTGGTAGCAGGTAAAAAAATAGAATGCTGGTGAAGTATTGCACAGAAATAGAAACTAGTGAAATCTACTTCCCCAACAGTCTTAACCTGGGTACTCAAATTTTGCCTCAAACAAAATAAATGAAAATGATTTAAAATAAATGGTCTAGCCTTTGGGTTGAGGCTATAAGGTTAGAGATGTGCTGTCATTTACTTCAAAATTTTTCATAGCAAGTTAAAGCTACAAATTTCAATCTCAACAATTTAAAAAATATTTTTTTTCCCCACAGAGATTGCATGGCAGTTGAAAAAAATATTTTATTAAGAATAAAATAATAATAACAGAGTAATTAACATCTTAACTATTAGACCTTATGCGAACTTGTTTTTGTTATATGGGTGGAGTTCAAACCTATTTAAGAAATGATAGCAATATCCTATACATGAATGGAGAACTATCTACAAGCATGTTAAAAACCCAATCAGGGAATTATGAGAACAGAACAAACCTTAACATGATTTGGATTAAATGGTGATGAAATTTTTTCTTTGAGAACTCAGTTTTAGTCAAACATTGCTGTATATAAATGTATTACTATCAAAATTGTAATGACTTATATATAGATACCCTAAAAAACTTATGATAATCTCTTTTGGTACAAAGTTTAAAATATAGCAATCATTTCTTCAGTATGGGCAGATTGGGGAAAGACATTCTGTTATTGCTTCTAGTCAAATAACATTTTTATACTTTGTTATGTAGTTATTTAGTACTAATACCTCAAGATTTTATAGTAATTATTACAATTGCAGGCAGAAAGATACATATTTGCTCAACCTTATGTTGACATTTACATTTTCTAACCCAGTTGTAAAAGTTAGGTTATGGTTAAAGTTTTATTAAATTTATACTTGTGATTTATAAATAAAATCACAGAGATCCTAACTTGCCAGTTTGTATAATTTTTCAATGATCCTCCATTGAAATAACATATAAAAATAATTAATCGTTTGACCTAAACATCTAAACACTAGTAGGTGAAACTAGATCTATCAGTACTT